CGATGCTAATTTGATATCATTTGTGAAGCTCATTATTTTTTTTCCTTAGTAGGTAAAGGTGATAAAAAGAAAACGACAATAAAGTGGAAATGGATGAAGCAGAGAAGGCGGATGTAAGATACGGTCCGCTACCAATGCCACCATATACCACTATGAAATGTAGAGAATTAGTGTAAGAGACCCCTTACACCCTTCAATGAATGAAAGTCAACTGATAGTTGAGATAANTAATGGGAAATGGGTAAAAAAACTACCTTTACACGATTATATTTTTAGAAAAATGGTTGTAAACGCTATATTGCTTATAGATAGATAGATAGTAAATAAAGCTAAACACTGTGGTTTTTAGGTAGTTGTATTAGGAGCTGTATTTCTCTGTTATATGGATTTTGCAACAAATATGTAGAGTCACATACGACTCTACATTTTCTTATCCTTTACATCTTTACCTACCTACCCTTTGTGTAACTGACACACCTTGCAAACGATCGAGTACTTTCTTAGCATCAACTTATCTATTCTGAGATAAGTTAGTGTAAAAGTTTAATCTCTGTTGATTCATTAAGTTCATCATGGTCATAATTAACTAGCCTAGTGTTGTAGCAAGCAGTCTACTAATGGACTCCCCAAAAACGAGTCATTTTACCCTGTCTTTGTATTGTCGCATACAACTTCTGTCGGCAATATTTTACAAGTTGTCACTTTACCTAGCTTAAGCATCAACACCACGTAATTATTTACGATTCTCTTATCACCCATCCTAGTTATTATTATTACTTTATAGTCGCACAGCGAAAAGCACGTGGGCTGCCGGCAAAAATATATTATTCAATCTGATACAATCGACACAATGTCAAAGACCTACCGCTCGTTCGGTCTAATTATAATAAATGTATAGTCGAAAGGTCAAGAGATCCCAAAACATGATCGTAATACAAGTAGTCATCTGCAATGTTTTTAATGGTGAAAAAACATTAAAAGTATCTAGGTAGGTAGGTATTTATTGTAGGTAGGTACCATTAATATCGATGAGAGAATTTCGTACAAAGGAATGATTTGGTGTAATAAATAGGTAACTTATAATAATAAAATCGGCAAGACTTGGAGCGAGATCAAGCGCGAAGCTCAAGACCGAACGCGATGGAGGTCTGTTGTGGACGCCCTCTGCCCCATCTAGGGGATATAGTAGGACCTTAAGTCAAGTCAAGTAAGTCAAGTTATAATTAATCCGATTGCACAAACGCTGAAGACTTACAAGTATACTTTTCAACTTGCTTGATTATCACTTAACAATTCGAGTTCTAATCCTTCTTTTAATCAACGCATTGTGAAATTTACACAAATATGTCAAGTGATTGACATTCGCATTGATTCATCAAGTTATCCCAACTAATATTATAAATGCGAAAGTAACTCTGTCTGTCTGTCTGTCTTTCTGTTACGCTTTCCCGCTTAAACCTCGCAACCGATTTTGATGAAATTTGGCATAGAGATAGTTTGAGTCCCGGGAAAGAACATAGGATAGTTTTTATCCCGGTTTTTGAAACAGGGACGCGCGCGATAAAGTTTTTCTGACAAACAAAATTCCACGCGGGCGAAGCCGCGGGCGGAAAGCTAGTACAAATATAATCCGCTTACATGAAATCTTCTCATCACAAGTGTTGCGCATTCGTGTATAGTAAGTAAGCTTGAGGAGCCCACACGAATAAACAGACAATAGTTGTGTGTCAAGGTTAGTTTCTAATGCCCGATTGATCACAAGTGATACTTATTTGAGAAGAGCTTTAATTAACTTGTAAAAGTCCACAGTCGAAATATTTTTTTTTATTTAAGAATTTGATTTAAGAAAAAAAAATTGCTTAAAAATCGACATACTAAGGCTGCCCGGCTGGGTTGCACACATCTTACCTACTTTAACTTTGACAAACCTCAAAAGTCTGTGAAACTCCATACAAAAAACGTCGGTTATCGTTATAGTTACCGTTAAAGTTAGGTGGTGCAACTCAGCCTTAGGCAAAAAACCTATCAAACTCCATACAAAGTTCACCAGTTATTGTCATTGTTACGGAATAAGGTGGCCTTACTGCTTTATGCGTATTTTTGAAGTCTAATTCGCATACGAAATGACACAAATCGTATACGAATTTCTAAACGTCTCATGGTTTCAAAATTCATTCGTTCTTTTCAGTCAAATGACGTCCACTTTTGGACAAAGTCCTCCACCAAGGATTTTTATAACGACTGGTCCTGCACTGCCCGCATCCAGATTTTTCCCGTGACCTTCACCCGTGATCCCAAATTGGGCCTTGTACAACTTATTTACTAATGGATTATTATTCCAAACTTATACGACTTGACCGTGTAGGTATATCATTGGATACTTATTAATTTATACGTTATAAAACAATGCTCTTTTTCGTGTGTATTTTTATTAACAAGTGATACACTCATTCTAACAATGACAATGTTAAATTATTCATTACAGCAGCGGATTGAAAAGAAATAAAATTACACTTTCTAAAGTTTGTTGAATTTCATTATCAATTAAGAAGAGTTGTGTACTTTTTAATCACATCCGAGTCCCTTATTAACTAGCGCATCCCGTGGTTAAAACATTGATTTAAATATACAGAATCAGAGAAAAACCTCATTATAAACGCAATAAAAAATTAGCTTGTTTAATTTGGTCTTAAAAAAAAAATTAATAAACGCGTTCTTTGTGTATTTGACTTTTGCATTATTTTCAATTTACAGAAATCCAACATTGGGTCTTTGTTTGAAGTCACAAGTATTCTTATCAAAAGTTTGTTTTGTTTAGTTCTGTAACAATGGGAAATGTCCCATTTAACTTTTAAGGAAACGAGATTGAAACGGGAAACTGAACATTATTTACTCGCTGCTATCAATATTTGCGGCTTGCGGGCAGTTCCTAACTTTTACTTTATAAATACGGGCTCTACATCTCAATGGTCGCCCACCAGCTTTTCTAACAAGGGCCTAACTGGCTAACAACACTTCTGGGGTTATGCAAATGTACTCCCACCAGACTACGACACAGCAAATGGAACTAATTGCATGTAGTATTAGATACAAAGTAGAGCTTGGGTTATTAATACGGGACTACACTTTAAAATACATTTATTGAAACAAATGCTTGGTATTTTTTGGAAAAAAAATATTGACCAATAAAATTAGATTCTCACAATTAATATAGTTATTTTATTTTGATTTGATGCAAAATTTATTCATTTTGGTATGGATTAGTCATCGTATCATGTTACCAATTATTGGTCATAATTTATAACGATATGTAGCTGTCCTTAATTTTATAAACAATCGTGTCACCGGGTGGCAAAAAAATATAGTTACTAAAGAAACTCGCAATAAACTCGAAATCGATTTTATAAAATGTAAATAAATTGCATTTAATATTAAAGTACATACAGTTCTTACATGACATAGCCGTCTAACATATCAATGAGACCGACAGCTTACGTGTCCGTAAAATTGTGTTTTTGGATAATATAATTGATTGGGTTTACAAGCTTGAAATGTCCTAACTAAACTCATATCAAAATCAAATCACTGGTACTCGGATTTTCTGCCAAATAGTAGGATGTCACAGCGCTCGTTTACATCAAAGAAACCGACGTGGATCATAAATAAAGGTTAATGTTAATTATATACTAATAGGCAATTTAATTTGATGAAGTCACTGAATCAATTTTTTATTTTTTTTTATTTGAAACCGCACCTAACAAAAATTAAATGGACAACTTCAATTAATTTGAATGCATTTTTTTATAATTTGAACGACTATTATTAAAGCAATGAAAATACCAATTTATTAATTAATGTTTAAATCTAATAAAAACGACACGACATTATTCTTGTTTCTGGTAGGTATGTTTGTGAAATTATACAACTTAATTTTAGAAAAAAATTCAAATCTAGCATTTGCTATATTTTTCTTCTATGCTGAAGACAGCAACCGACTCATTCAAAGCCTAGTTCACCATGCTTTATTCCCACCAGAACACCGTCAGGTTTTTGCTACGTCTCCGCCACGTCTCTGCCACGTCCGCCCAACGCCTTCGCTGCGTAAATCCGCCCTAGGTGACCTTATTCGCGACGTTGCGAGTGTCATCCGGGGCGGGCGGGGCGGAGCGATGGTAGCCTGGTACGCGCACTGCTCACTTAGAAATCCATGTACCGTTGACAAAATATTACTTTTGAAGAAATAAAGTAGACAAAAATAAAATAAATAAACGTAGACTTTAAAGACAAAAGAAGTGGAATAGAACAAAGAACTAATAGTTGGTAGTAGTAGCGCACTCGTAATGCTTACTTAGGAATGTTGCTACGTTGAATAAATTAATTCAGAAATGAATAATAATTTAAGCATTTAGGCGCAAAAAGTAATATATTTTTGTAAAAAAAGACACTGAAATAATATAGAATCTAAAAGAAAGTAACCATTTGGCAGAGTTATTAAATTATGGTTAATCTATTTGTGACATTTGTGAAGCTCATTATTTTTTTTCCTTAGTAGGTAAAGGTGATAAAAAAAAATCGACAATAAAGTGGAAATGGATGAAGCAGAGAAGGCGGAGGTAGACCTAAGATACGGTACGCCACCAATGCCACAATATACCACTATGCGATGTAGCGAAGTGTAAGGGACCCCTTACACCCTGCAATGAATGAAGTCAACTGATAGTTGAGATAATAATAGGATTTCAGAATAACGGCAAAAATACACATTTTCTTAACATAGGTACTTATTTTCATATAATATTTTTCTGCACATCCTACCTTCATCTATTTTAGTAAAGGCAGCCGATGTCTCGGTACAAAGGGACATCGTTTTTAATGGCTGCCGTCGAGACTCGCGTGACTTGCCGTTTGCCAGGCTTGCCTTTCCCAGGCCGCCGTCAAAGCCGCCCCGACCGGCGGCGTAGCAGCAGATCACACAGCTATGACAAAGGCAACCGTCTAAAATGGACCAAGCAGGTCCATCGTCGTCTAACCAAGACCCACGGTTCGAATTCATAGGGTCATACGCCGTCAAATCCTTAAAACTCAAGCCAGAGAAATGGATGCGAGTACTAGGTACAGAAGAACACAGAACGACCTTGAGGGACTTCGTCGACAAACCACTGCCTTTGCTCTTGGTGGTGGTGCTGACTCATACCAACCAGCTGGTTCCAGTTATATCATTCCCGTGCTATTTGAAGAACAAGTCCGTATACTTCGTGAAAAAGAAGCCAGATGTCGTGCCGAGGGAGAATTGCACTGAAATGCTCATTTATGGTATGTACTACCAGCTTAGAACAAATCTATTCGTCCAAATAGTAAATCATATCATATTGATCAAATAATTTCTTGTAGGTGATCTTGCACCCAGATTAATAGATGAATTGGCATCTCTAGTAGATGAGGTTTTTGTTCCTCTCCTGTCAAATCCACTCAATCATGAAGGTTGGCCGTTGGTTGTCTCACAGGACATCCTCAAGCAAATCCACAATCTGAAGAGCACAGTTTATGAGGTAACATTGCACTAAATGTCGTAATTTTAAACACAGTAAAAATTCAATTGGTGTAACCCTTTACAACCGGGAGCAAAAAAGCCAACCGATAAGTATTAAGTTGTCTGCTTACGAGCACTTTTGAATTAACATCAGTATTATGTAACTCAGGTCAAAGGCAAAGTAAACGGCCAGACAGTTCTTCCACTACCAGTTGGAGTAGAGCTAGTTCACGATGCAGAAAAGCAAGTTCTTAGGGGCGAAGAGGTGGATTTGTACCTTAAAAGTGCCATCGAGGGTGTCGTCATCAAATGGGCTCAGCAGATCAATGACGTCATGATGGAGGATTCTTCGCAGGCATTCGATAATGGACAGAATCCATTACCTAATGCTGGTAAGTTGTGATAACAAACAACTTTTAACTTTTAAAACAAACAACTAACGTCTTTTATTAAAATTATTTTTTCTTTTGTCAGAAATTTTGTTCTGGAGGTCAAGGCTGAGCAATTTGAACTACATCTATGATCAACTGCGCAGCGAGAGAGTCCGCTGCATGGCCGTCATTCTCGAAAAAACCACGTCAGCTTACTATCCCTGCTTCAGCAGACTTTTCAAAAATATTGTATCTGGTACGTAATTACAGATGTCAAAGTATTTTAGTGCAGCATCAAAGATATCAATAAAAGTAAAGATACTTGGGATGGTTCATTCATTGGTTGGCAACTTCAAAAGATAAGCGGAGCAAGTTTCTAATAATTAATCTAATTTGAAAATTAATGTATAATTTATTAGTATTTAATTATTTTTTAGTCTGCACTCTGTATTAATTTTAACTGTGGAAACTTTGTTGATTTCTGTCCTATTTTTTGTGTGATTATTTGTCTGTATATCAAAATTGTTTGTTTCCCTAATATAAATTAATAAATAAATAAAACATTTTGTATTTCAGCTTTGGCTGAAGCAAAAGAAATAGATTTGTATCTTCACACATTAGAAAAACATTTTCAAGCCTTGGAAGAAACTGACTTTACAGAGTGTCAGACATTATTTCGGCCTTTGTTTCATGTAATTTGTATGATCTGGAGAGACTCTAAATATTACTGTAGCTCTTCTAAACTGATGGTTTTGCTGAAACAAATTAGCAATTTGCTTATTTATACGGTAAATATCTACAATTTATTATAGATTATAATCAAAACGCTAAATTAACAAAGCAAGAAACTTCAATAATTAAAATCATTTCAATTATTTTAGGCTAAGAAATGTTTAGACCCAAGCACGCTATTCCATAGCGATATCGATGAAGCAACACAAAGAATTCAACTAACCATGAACATACTGAAGAAATTCAGAAACACATTCGAATATTTTAAGGACAACTTGCAAAAATACTTCTTAGACAGAAGGGTCATACCGTGGACCTTCCATCCAAACGCTGTATTTGAAAGAATGAACAGGTTTACAGATCGATTGACTACAATCCAATGGTTTTTCAAAACTGTCTTGGAATTCCAAAAATTAGAAAAGATAGAGATAGGTGGTATGAAAGGCAGAGTACTCAGCGGGCAAATTAGAGAGATTTCAGCGGAATTTGAATCTTACTTTCATAGTTTTGCATCAAAATCGTACGATGTCCTGGACCCTGATGATGAAACATTTAACGAAGACTTCAAGGAATTTCAAGAAAACATTATAGACTTAGATTTGAAACTGTCAACTGTACTAGTCGAGTCTTTTGACAACTGTTCTACTTTGGAGGCAATTTTTAAGGTAAATTCTAGTTTTTTAAATAGTTCGTCAATTCCAGTGCAAGTAGGTAATTAATTCTACATTTAAACAACATGTTGTTGTTACAGTTGATCGACATTGTTGGATCAGTGTTGGATCGGCCTCTGATAAAAAACGAATTTACCGCAAAATTCGTCGAAATCATAGTAATGCTCGAGAAAGAAATCGTCACTTGCGAAGTAAGTACAGCGAATATGAAAAATCTTACAACCGAAGATTCCTAGCTACCAAAGTTTTTGGAATTTTTCAATTAACCTTTGATTCACAGGAACTTTTCACTGAACAAACTCAACGGCTTGAAAGATACGGAGTTATGGAAATTGACGCCTTCATGCCCCCAGTCGCTGGAGGACTCCTCTTCATGTCAACGCTGGCCGCCAGGATAACCAAGCCTGTAGTCAGCTTTCGCAATTTACCGCACCCGTAAGTCAGCTGGGTGGGGCAAATTGCGAAAGCTGATTACTTTGCTATAAATCATCTAAATATACTCTCCTAAAATTGTGAGATGTTTATTTATGTATTTCAACACAAATCTTTCACTGTAGATTAAGTAGAAGATTAGAGACTGTAGCTATTTATAGTTGAAAATCATATTATTTACGATATACCTTTCTTTATACACTTTCACAAATGTTTTCCATCATCATTTTATCATAGGATAAAGGGTTCGGAAGAAGCGATCAAAATTTTCGAAAGATACGACCAACTCATTGAAAAAATCGAAGCATTCAAAAAGAAGTATTTCGGAGACTGGGCAGTCACTATTCCTAAGATCATTGAAGATAAAACAAACAACACCATTATAGCTCGCCAGGCATCTGATTTAATAATGAACTTTAGCCCAATGGTAAGTAATTATTATTTGAGTTACATATTTCCAATTAATAGTTTCAGTCATTTCAAAATAAAACTGTCTACTTTATTTTCAACCACGTTTGACGCACGAATAGTAATTTTCATTTCAAGCATGTATTTTTAAGAATACTACATAAAAACAACAAAAATGCATGAAAAAATACTATTTAGGTTATAGACATCCTGAGAGAAGTTCATCATTTGCGGAATAATCCAGACTTTGAAAACGACATACCAGAAGATGGTTTAACCTTGTTTCAAAAACAAGAAACGTATCGACAGTACAGAATTAACTTGGGAATCACTATCGATTGGTATAATCAAATTCGAAAGAACAGTCAGAAAGTAGAGTTTGATTTAGTGGAAGAAGAAATAAAGAATATCGACAATAGAATTGAAATAGCGCAACATGAGCTGAATTGGAACTCTCAAGGTCAGTTACCCGTACTAAATTAAAATATATTTGTCTGTCTGTAGTAATCTAAGTAATATCAAATGTTTTCCATTTCATTGATAGATCTATGGACTCAACTACAAGAACTACACACCTTAGTTGGGAGCTTATACGAAAGAATGTCTAAAATACAAGAAAATCTAAAAGAAATAAAGGCTGTAATGAGGGAGTGGGCTACTAAGCCTCTATTTGAAAGAAAAGAAGGGAAAAAGGTTAGTAGAAAAATAAGTATGGAACATAATTTCATAACGATTTCATTTTTATATTTATCTTCTAGGATACACTCCTCAACCTTGAAGATAGACAAGAAAGAAAAGAACAACGATATTCAGATATAAACAACACGGCTGATCGTATACGAGAGTTGTTACAAGAAAATATGGAGCTATTCAATATGCAAAACAATCAGGAGTGTGAAGCTTGGAAGAATTATGTTACTTTCATTGATAACTTGATAGAAGAGTCTTTATTCAAAAGTATTGCATGCAGGTAAGCACATTTAATGAAATTGAATACTAACGTATAGGTACCTATTAAAAGTGGCAATAATTTACATTAATTCGTTTTAGTTCGGCGTATATTACAGAACACATGGATCCTAAGAACAAACTAGCTCCATTATTTGAGGCTCAGTTGGAACTTTTGGAGCCCGATATGGTATTTGCTCCAACCTTGGACCCTAACGATGAAAAAGGGTTCACGGCTATGGTGAAAGGAATTATTGATGACATACTAAAAATGTCTACTTTGATAAAAAGAATAGATACTAATAAAGAACAGTCTTACGAAGATGTTATTGTAAACAATGAAATTATTATTGAAATGAAAGAGGAAATATTGGGTGCAATAGAAAAGGTATGGATAAAATTCATTTAAAAGTATAATTTTTTCATTATTGGAAATGCTTCATTTATACGGCGTTTTAATATTTTCAGGTCATTGAAGATGCAAATGAATTCTGTAAAACCTTTGAAAACTACAGTTACTTGTGGCTTGAGGAAAGAGATGCTATTATGGAAATATTTTTGACTTATGGAAGGATTTTGCAACCTGAAGAAATAGATAGAATCGGATCGGAAGATAAGGATAATCCACCACCGACACCTTGCCCTCCAAAGATGGAAGCGTTTAGAGAACAAATCGATCAGTACGAAAATCTGTTTATGGATATTGAAGAAATGGATTCGTACAAAGTTTTTAATTGCTGGTTTCAGGTAACTAATGCTTTTATGTCAACAAATTAGATAAATGTTTAATTATATTTAACTATTGCAATTTTGTAGTAGTATTAACGAGTACAACAAAACATAACGACCCTTGTTTCATTAAATTAACTTAGTAATTTAGAATGTATTCTTTCATTAAAGACATAATTCAACGCTTGTTTTAGGTGGATATCAGACCATTTCGTCAAGCTCTATTAAACCTTGTTAGGAAATGGGGAAACATGTACAAAGAACACTTGGTTGAAAATGTAACGTCTAGTTTGACTGATTTAGCTAATTTCATCCGTAAAGCTGATGAAGGTAAATAAACTGTAATCGTCATTTGGATGCCATGACAATGGAATATCAATATTTGCATGTATAAAATTATTAATGTTATTCTCAGGGCTCTTACAACCTGTACCAGAAGGCGATTACGATGCCTTAATTAACGTAATGGGTTATTTAATGCACGTGAAAGATCGTACCGCTGTTACTGATGAAATGTTCCAGCCCCTCACTGAAACCATTGAACTTCTAAAGTTCTACGACATGGATATTCCTGAAGAAGTCAATGTATTACTGCAGGTAAGAACACATTAGTGAATACTTCATTAAGTTAATGATTGATCAGTTTACCATATAACTGGGTTTGTAAATCACTTTCAGGAATTACCAGAACAATGGGCAGGAACTAAGAAATTGGCCCTTACAGTGAAACAGCAAGTAGCACCCCTTCAAGCAGCTGAAGTTAGTGGAATACGAAAGAAGATTGCTGCCTTCGACGCGCATGTAACCTACTACCGAGAAGTTTTTAAAAGATATGAGGCAAGTATTGAAGTATTGAATGCTGAATAGGCAAAGATTCCTGTATTAAGGTACGTACTTATACTCATACTATGTCTATCTGGTTGTATAGTTCTTCAAGTACGAATGTGGAGATCCATACGAGGTTATGTCAAGAGTTGACTACGAAATGTTACATCTGGAGGAGGAAATGAAGGGTATCCAAGGATCAGGATCGTTATTTGAAGTTAACGTACCTGAGTTCAAATTGTTAAAGCAGTGCAGAAAGGAGCTGAGGATGCTCAAGGTAGAGTAATGTTGAACATTAAAAAAAACAGCTGCTTTCTTAAAATTACCTATTAAATAATTACATTTGACTATGTTCCTGATACAGCAACTATGGGATTACGTGTACATAGTGCGGACGAGCATTGAAGATTGGAAGACCACACCATGGCGTAAAATTGACGTGGAGAACATGGATATAGAATGCAAGAAATTCGCTAAAGAAATCAGACTTCTGGATAAGGAAATGAGAAGGTAATCAAACTTTTTGAAAAACGGAACACTTATGGTATGTTGTATTCTAACGGATATCTTCTGTCTTATACAGTTGGGACACTTACATAAACTTGGAGGCAACAGTGAAAAACATGCTAACTTCCCTACGAGCTGTAGGTGAACTACAGAACCCAGCAATCAGAGAACGGCATTGGGATCAACTTATGAGGACCACAAAGGTGACAAGGATGTGATAAAATAAATTCTTATCATGTGTAATAATGTGTATATAACTTTTGTACGTACAGCCTCTTGGTGTGATGAGCACTTTTAAGGGTAACATTTTAATTTCCTGAACCCTAACTCAACTGCATTTTGCATGTTCTGATCTTACCGTGTGGCATGCATCAATGCTTTGGATGTTCACAAGTTTATTCAATGTCATGCTGGCTGAGGAATGCGTGTACATACAAACAACTTGATGTTTTATATGCAAATGTGTCTTGCCAATGTAAATATTACTTTTATGATTCACAGAGTTTAGCTGCATTGCCACCTGAGCTCACTGTAAGTATGCCCAACAGCGGAGAACGAGGCCTTTAATAATCATGACTTGAATTTTGTCTTTTTTCTTGATGCCAATTCAAATGTAAACTTTCTTGACAGAATGTATTACGTTTACTTTATGTTTGCATGTTTCTTATAAATGCATGTGTGAATACAGTAGTTTTGAAATGTCGTATTTACCGTAGCTTGTATACATTTATCTTTCGCTCCAACTATCACAACTTTTATTAGTGAACCCTCTTCTAGTCTTGTAGTTCTTCTAGTAATAGCATTTGTGTAAATTTGTACAGTTGTAGATATACTTTATTACTAGGTACTTTAACTCTCTACTCTTGGTTATTATACGAACTAGATTAGTGATGAGTAAACTTACTCGTATCTTATTAATTTTTAGTCATAAACTTAGAATAGTTAGATTTGTAGATGTAATCCTTAGCACGGAACTAGTGACTAAAATCAATTTAATCTAATAGGTTAGGATCGTCATGGATGCAAATACTACCTTGGCAGATTTGTTAGCATTGAATTTGCATGAATGCGAAGAAGAAGTCAAAAATATAGTGGACAAAGCAGTCAAAGAGATGTCAATGGAAAAAATCCTCAAAGACTTGCACAACACTTGGAGTGGAATGGAGTTCGAGCAAGAAGAACATACCCGTACTGGGTGTACTTTGTTGAGAGCCAGTGAAGAATTGATAGAAACGCTAGAAGAAAACCAGGTGCATATTAAAGCAATTAATTATTAGACTAAATAAATTAAAAAATGGTCCCTTTTAACACTAAAATTATCTACCTATAACAGACACATCAAGCTTTACTTTATTTATGAGTAATAGTGAAGTAACGACTTTTATACTTTAAATGTAATAATAACATAATATCTGTTTTTCAGGTGCAACTTCAAAATTTAATCACATCCAAGTTTATCGCGCACTTTCTCGAAGAAGTATCGAGTTGGCAGCAGAAGTTATCAACAGCAGATCAAGTAATCACTGTATGGTTCGAGGTGCAAAGGACCTGGACACACTTGGAGAGTATATTTATGAGTTCTGAGGACATCAGAAAGCAACTACCTGAAGATTCTGCCCGATTTGATAGAATTGATTCCGCGTTCAAAGTAATTTGTTTTGACAAAAATTATAACGTTTTGTATGAATTGTACAATGTTTTACTTACATTTTGTTGTTTTGTTTGTAGATCTTATCTACAGAAATGTCTAAAACTCCAAACGTTGTAAAAGGGACAAATAGAGATGGTCTAGTAGAAAAGCTTGATGTTCTTCAAAAGGATTTAGTAATTTGCGAAAAAGCTTTGGCGGAATATTTGGAAACGAAGAGATTGGCATTTCCTAGATTCTATTTCGTATCATCGGCAGATTTGTTAGATATTCTGTCTAACGGGAATCAGGCTGAGCTTGTGATAAGGTAAGTAACTTGTAAGTAAGACAACTGGTACTCAAGAGACAAAAAAATATTATAAAATATTACAAATAGAATCATTTTTTATTTTATTTTCTAGGCACCTTACGAAACTCTTTGACTCTATAGCGAAATTAAAGTTTGCTGAAAGTGAGAAACCTGATGAAAAAGTGGCTCTGGGTATGATAGCAAAGGATGGTGAATATGTGCCATTCCACGGGACTTGTGATTGCACTGGACCGGTAAATTCTATTTTTATTTGTATGCTAAACAAATGTCACTTGTAAGATTTGTTACGGTAAGCATAACTGTGGTTTCAGGTTGAAATATGGCTGAACAGACTTCAAGATATCATGAGGTCCACCATCAGACAGTACTTTGGGGAGGCCATTGTTTCGTATGAAGAGAAACCACGGGAACAATGGTTGTTTGATTTTATGGCGCAAGTATCTTTATGTGGTTCACAAATTTGGTGGACCACAGAAGTAAACATGGCCTTTTCAAGATTAGAAGAAGGATACGATAATGCATTAAAGGATTACTATAAGAAACAGCTGTCTCAACTTAGCACCTTGATCACATTATTGATAGGAGAGCTCAGTAAGCAAGATCGACAGAAAATTATGACAATCTGTACTATTGATGTACATTCAAGAGATGTCGTGAGCAAACTGATTCAAGGCAAAGTGGAAGCAGGATCAGCTTTCCAGTGGCAGTCACAACTCAGACACAGGTTTTGAGAAATCTAAGTAGATTGGCATCATGTGCACTATTTAGTCACAGGTTATTTCATTTTCATACTACACATCTTCACGTGGCGTAGATGCATTTTTATCTACTTTATTCTTTCTTAACATACTTTATTTCAGTTCGCTATTTATTATAAATTCCAAATTATAGATAATGATTTTGAAATTGTGGATTAACTACTGAGTCTATGTTTCATTTGCAGATGGGGCGATGCTGAAATGCATTGCTTTGCAAATATCTGTGACGCACAGTTTCTATACAGCTACGAGTACTTGGGAAACACACCCAGATTGGTGATCACACCTTTGACTGACAGGTGTTACATTACTTTGACACAGGTTAGTGAAATTAACATTAAATAAAGATTACATAATTAATATCCTACTCGTAGCTTTTAGGCCTGCTATACACGGCCAGCTTGAAGCAGTTAGTGTCAGAAGCTTCAAGCTGCGATTGCATAGCAAACTACGGAAACAGTTAAAAAGAAAGCAAGAAAGAAAATAATTTTATTTTGACAACCACAGATTCAGGCAATAAAGACATACATAAAAAAAATATTACTAAGTTGCCAAAAAGATCACCCACTCAGTAACTGCTCGAGCGGTTCCGCGTATGTGTGTACGTAGTGTACCGTAGTTTGCTATGCAGTCGCAGCTTGAAGCTGTCGGATACTAACTGCTTCAAGCTGTCCGTGAATAGCAGGCCTTACTGTAATAATGTACGTTTGACAGTCTTTACATCTGATCATGGGTGGAGGGCCTGCTGGACCAGCTGGTACGGGAAAGACAGAAACCACCAAAGATTTAGGAAGAGCCTTGGGCATCATGGTGTATGTATTCAACTGCTCTGAACAAATGGATTATCAGGTAAATCATCACAATAAATTATTAGTCTTATTATTTTTAAAAAGAATCAATAACTCAAACCTTAATAATATTTTGTGATTACTTTCAGTCTTGTGGAAATATTTACAAAGGACTAGCCCAAACAGGAGCTTGGGGATGCTTTGACGAGTTCAACAGAATTTCAGTTGAAGTGTTGTCTGTCGTAGCGGTTCAAGTTAAATCAGTACAAGATGCTATAAGGTATCAATTACGCATTACATGGATTTGTATTGGAGTGACAAATATAACTTTTGTTTGTAAAATAATTACTTTCAGGGACAAGAAAGAAAAATTCAATTTCATGGGTGAAATCATCGTGCTAGTGCCCAGTGTTGGCATATTCATAACAATGAATCCAGGCTATGCTGGCAGAACAGAGCTACCAGAAAATCTAAAGGCTCTATTCCGACCTTGCGCCATGGTTGTTCCGGACTTTGAACTGATTTGTGAAATTATGTTGGTCGCTGAGGGATTCCAAGAAGCGAAAATCCTAGCTAGAAAGTTTATCACTTTGTATACTTTGTGCAAAGAGTTGTTGTCAAAGCAAGATCATTATGACTGGGGTCTAAGAGCTATCAAGTCTGTGCTTGTGGTGGCTGGTTCCTTGAAAGTAAGGCATAACATAATACATAAAATAATAAATAAATAAATATCCTTGGACATTTTACACTACGCTTCTAGTCCCAAACTAAGCAAAGCTTGTACTATGGGTACTAGACAATGGATATAAACATACTTAAATACTTTTTTTATTGTAAATACATACTTATTATATATAGTAACACCCAACATTATCATTTCAATTTCTGCCCGGACGGGAATCGATCCCGGGACCTCTCGGCATAGTAGTCCGTTTCGAACCACTACACCAAACGGCCGACGATAATCAACAATACATATTGCGTATGATACTGTAAAATTCATGCTTTTTTCACATTTACAGAGAGGTGACCCTGGTCGACCTGAAGAGGAAGTGTTGATGAGGACTCTTCGTGACTTCAATATTCCCAAAATAGTTACTGATGATATGCCAGTGTTCATGGGTTTGATTGGGGATTTGTTCCCAGCCTTAGAAGTACCACGCAAACGAGACTTAGATTTCGAAAGAACAGTAAAACAAGCAGCAATGGATCTTCTACTACAACCTGAGGATAACTTCATTTTGAAAGTTGTCCAACTTGAAGAATTACTTGAAGTTCGACATTCAGTATTCATTGTAGGTAATGCAGGTACAGGCAAAACTCAAGTATGGAAGACACTATTTAAAACATACCAGAATTTAAGAAAGAAACCACTATTTAACGACTTAAATCCAAAAGCAGTTACCAATGATGAGCTATTTGGTATTATTAATCCTGCAACTAGAGAATGGAAGGATGGTTTATTTTCGGTCATAATGAGAGATCAAGCGAATATCGTTGGTGAGAATCCAAAATGGATAGTTTTGGATGGAGATATAGATCCGATGTGGATTGAATCTCTGAACACAGTGATGGATGACAATAAAATTCTGACGTTAGCCAGCAATGAACGGATTGCTTTGACCCCAACAATGAGGTTGATGTTTGAAATATCAAACTTAAGGACAGCTACTCCAGCTACTGTATCTCGAGCTGGTATTTTATACATCAATGCTCAAGATTTAGGATGGAATCCGTAAGTCATCTGCCTAAAAGACAATATCTGTACTGACTAAATAGTAACTTACATACATGTATTTTTGTTGCAGTTATGTTACAAGTTGGATTGAGACAAGAAAAGTGCCAGCTGAGAAGTCAAACCTGGTGAACCTCTTCGACAAATACATCCCTCCTTGCCTGGAGACTGTGAGGAACAGATTCAAGAAGATCACTCCCATAGCTGAGATGGCTCACATACAGATGTTGTGCCATCTTCTGGATTGCTTGCTTGTACCTGAGAACACACCAGCTGACTGCCCGAAGGAATGGCACGACATATTCTTTGTCTTTGCTTGTGTTTGGGCCTTTGGGTCTGCTATGTTCCAAGACACGGGCATCGACTATCGTGTTGGTAAGTTCTTTAATAAATAGCATAGTTCATATAGCATAAACAGTTACCTCATTCTGTTTCTCCTTATTGTGTTCAGAATTCACAAAATGGTGGGTAAATGAATTCAAAACAGTTAAATTCCCCGCTGGTGGTACGGTCTTCGATTATTATATTGATCCTGAGAGTAAACAGTTTACGCCGTGGACAGAGAAAATACCTAAATTTGAATTGGACTCCGATATACCCTTACAGGTAAGCATCGAGATGGTTGCGATAATGGTAGATAAGTTGCGACTTTAAAATTTACTTTGTTTTATATTTTAGGCGGTCTTAGTACCTACAGCTGAAACAATACGGATTAGATTCTTTCTGGACTTGCTGATGAAGAACAAACATCCAGTCATGTTGGTGGGAGGAGCTGGCTGTGGTAAAACAGTTTTGGTCAACGAGAAATTGCAAGGGTAAGTTAGATCAAGAAGATCTTACTATTTTGATTACGAAAATTGAAAAGTTTGTGGTAATTGGTTTATTTTCCATCAGCCTTCCAGAAACTTACGCAATACAGTCAGTACCATTTAACTTCTACACATCATCTGAGATGCTGCAGAAAATATTAGAGAAGCCATTGGAAAAGAAAGCTGGTCGAAATTACGGTCCACCAGGGAACAAGACACTCATTTACTTCATTGATGACATGAACATGCCAGAAGTGGACGCATACGGGACAGTACAGCCACACACAATAATAAGACAGCACCTAGACTATAACCACTGGTACGACCGGACCAAACTTAGCCTGAAAGACATCCATAACACGCAGTACGTCTCATGTATGAATCCGACGTCTGGCAGCTTCACAATCAATCCTAGACTGCAAAGGCATTTCTGTGTTTTTGCAATCAGTTTTCCCAATAATGAGGCTTTAAACAACATTTATCACTCGATTCTGAGCCAACACCTAACAAACCCGGAGCTGCGGATCAGTCCACAAATATCAAAATTGTCAGGTACAAGAAAATTGTAGACAAACAAGATTTTATCAGTGAAGTTGCCGTCATAAATTATTAAAAAGTTGGCTATTCAAGAAAGAACAACACATGAATTTTTCATTTTGTTAAACACCAAGTTTCTTTGTAAAGACAATAAAATAACCTTTCGTTTCGCACAATAAAGAATTATTCAAAAACCGCTTGGTAATTTTGTCAGCAACTTTGTTGAACACTAGAACCTAGAACAAGATGGACGCTTGATGCAAGATTGATGGACGACATTAATTTTGACAAATCAGATACGAATATCCACAATTGTTTTATTAATGTGAATTGATTTCTTACTTCACAACTCAAAACTAAACTAGCTGCTAAGCTTGGAATTCTGCTTAACAAAACTGTGTATGATTAACTAATTTAAAAATTTATAAAAAATAAATCATTTTCAGCAAGCATCGTAAGCGCAACTATGGGATTACATAACAAAGCATCCCAAGTGTTTCTTCCGACTGCGATCAAATTCCACTATATTTTCAACCTCAGGGATCTATCAAATGTATTCCAGGTATTTTGTCATTCATATTATGAATAAATAAGTATCTAAATTCTTGATCAATATTCTAACTACGAGTATATTGTTCATAGGGTTTCTTATTCAGCACCAACGAGTGTCTAGTCAATCCATCAGACATCATAAGGCTATGGCTACACGAAACACATCGGGTGTACGGCGACAAACTAACAGAGGACAAGGACATTGACGCATTCCTGAAAATGCAAGTGGATATTTGCAAGAAGAATTTTGAGGTAAGTTTAGAGAATAAAATGAAAATTTTAGTTTTTGAACGTTTCCCGCTAGGGGCGCTGTACATACATTTAATGACATTTTTTGACGCGCTCACTAGTGAGCGCGTTTGATGAAAACTCGCACTAGGCCCTCAGGATTCTTGTTAGTCCATTAAAAGATAAACTACCATATACATTACACATGTCCGTACCCAGCTTAAAAGTATACTCCCTTTGGTATTCTAGATAATTAACTCTTTTCTTTCTGTCGGGAAATGCTTTGCCACTGGATATAGGGGACGGTCAGTGGGCTATGTGGGACTTTCCCCGCCAAGAGGGCGGGGCCTACCCACTAAAACCATACGATGCCTCTGAGGCGATTGAAACGGAGCTGCGAATTATTGTCCTAAAATTGGCGGCTTAGCTAATTTAACATTATTCTTTTTTGCTAGGATATAGACGAAGGCACAGTATTCGAGAGGCCGAACATATACTGCCACTTCGCCGGCGGCATCGGCGAGCCCAAGTACATGCCGATCGCGTCATGGGAGCAGCTGAACAAGCTTCTATTGGAGGCCATGTCCAGCTACAATGACCTCATCGCGGCCATGAACCTGGTTCTATTTGAGGACGCTATGATGCATATTTGTAGGTAAGGTTACCTTACCATTGTACTGTTACATAAGTCTGGAAGAGACTCAATTTTGACTCTACACTGAAGAATATAATCTCTAATAGTTTGAATAGAGTTCCAGTTAGGTGTGTTCTTTAAATAAACCAGCTATGTAATTACGAACTGAATATAAGAAGCGTTGTCACTACAGAAACATAACATAAAGACGTTTAAACGGCGAATTATATCATGTAGTTTAATTTTGTGTGAAGAATCTAAAATGTGACCGATTTTGTATGAACCTTCATAAGCTTCGAACACACAAAACTCGTTAAAATTAAGTCGTCTAATACCTGCTTGATTCATTTACAAATTATGTTTTATATTACACTATTTGATATTTTACAGAATCAGTCGAATTTTGGAAAGTCCTAGAGGCAGTGCGCTTCTAGTGGGAGTGGGTGGATCTGGAAAACAGTCATTGTCTCGTCTGGCTGCATTCATATCCAGTTTAGAAGTCTTGCAAATACAGCTGAAGAAAGGATATGGAGTGGCCGACTTAAAGGTACCGGACTTGACATGGGAATACCAAAATACTTTAAAACCTATTGCGATTTCGTTCTATCAATCTACACAAAAAAAAATGATTTTCACAGAATGAGCTGAACNTCAGCAACTTTGTTGAACACTAGAGCCTTTAACTATGTAGGTAGATAGAAGCTTACAGCTACACATAAAATTTTGACAATATCAGAAACAAATATCCAACAAGAATATATTAATTTGAATTGTATTACGTACTTATTACAAGTCAAAAAATATTTCACATTTTTAAATATTTTTCTTTGTAAATATTTCCAAAACAGCAGCCAGACTGCCCAAACTAGCTGCTAAGCTTAGAACTCTGCTTAACAAAACTGTGCCTGATTAATTAATTTATAAATTAAAGTAAAATTAATAAAAAAATAAATCATTTATAGCGAGCATCGTGAGCGCAACTATGGGATTACATAACAAAGCATCCCAAGTGTTTCTTCCGACTGCGATCAAATTCCACTATATTTTCAACCTCAGGGATCTATCAAATGTATTCCAGGTATTTTGTCATTCATATTATGAATAAATAAGTATCTAAATTCTTGATCAATATTCTAACTACGAGTATTGTTCATAGGGTTTCCTATTCAGCACCAACGAGTGTCTAGTCAATCCATCAGACATCATAAGGCTATGGCTACACGAAACACATCGGGTGTACGGCGACAAACTAACAGAGGACAAGGACATTGACGCATTCCTGAAAATGCAAGTGGATATTTGCAAGAAGAATTTTGAGGTATGTATAAATGTATAAGTATTTACCATTTAAAGCCAGATCCCAGTGGCGTAGCTTGGGGGGGGCAGGGGGGGCCATGGCCCCGGGCGGCATATGATAGGGGGCGGCGGATAAGAAAAAAAACTTTGCATGAACATGAAAAAAAAAGTTATTCCAAATCGCGTCGTAATATGTTACGTACCGATAAAGCGAAACAATATTTGCAAACAGAGGGACTCAATATAGATCAGTGCGCCCAGAAAATGAGTGCTTTACAGACCCTATTAGAAGAAAATCGGCCTGAACCGTGTATTTATTATATTCTGCATGTTCGAAATTCAAAATTAGCTAAAATGGTAACTTTTAGCAGTAATTAAATCTGTAACTTGCTGCAAATATCTAATGAATTCAAACAAATTATTTAAAAAAATAGCTTCGATACATATTATACATTTTTCAAACCACTTTTTTAATTTCGGTCTATAACAAAAGTAATCAAGAAAAAATATGGTGGCGCTGTGGTTAGCTAGGGTACAACCCTTAATAATATTAAGCACATATGTATGTTATTCCTTCTAAGTTTAATGAGCACTATACAGTGTAAGTCACGTTAAAGTGTACAATCATATGAAAATAGATGAAACTGGACCTATTTTTATCGACAAAAAAGAGGTAAAAAATTTTAGAGATTTTTTTTTAATCTTTCATATAATTTTTCTTCTTCCAATTACTTATTGTAAAGAAAACGTAATAACTTTTAAACTAAGCAATATATCCTGATAAAATAAAAACAGTAATAATGCTAAATAACAGGCAATACTAAAAAAATACATAAATTACACAAAGAAGGCCAACAAATAATGAGACTTTTTGAAAAAAAAAAAAACTGCTTTTAAATTCGTGTTTTTTTTTTGGTTATTTGATAAATTTCTCCAAAAAATGCCCCTATAACCGGTGTTTTTTATTACTTTGTATTATTTTCTATCGTATTACCTTCGTAAAACCAAAAGTCGTATGTCTCTATCCCAATCACAACGTTTGCAATGATCGTTTGATCTCTTCGTTAACAACGAAACTGAAAATGGCTCTAGATATGTAATTTTGATAAAGACAAGTTAGATTTCAAATAAAAACAAAAGATTTCGAAGTAAAATAAGCATTTTAGTTAAAATTAAAATTGTCTCTATCTGTAGCGGAGAATAATGTTGTGGCAGGCCTTTGTTCAAACGATCATAGCAAATGTTGTGATAGGGATAGAGACATGCGATTTTTGGTTTTACAAAGATAATACGATAGAGAATAATACAAAGTAATAAAAACCACCTGTTATAGGGGCATTTTTTGGATAAATTTATCAAATGACCAAAAAAAACACGAATTTAAACGCAGATTTTTTAAATAAATATCATTATTTATTATTTGTTGGCATTTTTTGTGTATTTTTTTTAGTATCGCCTGTTAATTAGCATTATTACTGTTTTTATTTTATCAGGATATGTCGCTTAGTTTAAAAGTTATTACCTTTTCTTTACAATAAGTAATCGGAAGAAAAAAATTCAATAAAAAAAAATTTTTTTTCGACCTCTTTTTTGTCGATAAAAATAGGTCTAGTTTAATCTATTTTCATATGTACACTTTAACGTGACTCACACTGTATATAATTTAAGATAATAACTCTCAATTGACAAATAAACACTTTAATACTTGTTATTATTGTTTATTGTTATACACCTAGTGTTACATAATAAAGCTGAGCTATTTAAGAAAATCAAACTTCCTGTGGGTTTCAAGCAATTGCTTCTCTTTAATGTATTTTCCTTCTGAAGCAGTGCGTGGTAGTTTATTTTGACTTTCAACAAGTAAGGTGAAATAGTGTACCTGAAGTCCATTCAATATAATATTTAAACTTTAAAATATTTATAATTAAAATAAAGGGCGGCGGATTTCCGGACGGCCCCGGGCGGCGAAAAGCCACGCTACGCCACTGCCAGATCCAGACGTCTTTAAAGTGTAATGTAATGGGAATAGTATGGATAACACTTAACATCGTAATGCCGTTTACACGCAGGCAGGATTCTTGTTAGTCCATTTCTACAACCTTACATGTTACACATGTCTGTACCCAGCTTAAGTACACTCCCTCTGGTATTTTAGTTAAATAACTCTTTTTTCCGTCGGAAAATACTTTGCGCATACTAACTAGCCATTGGGGACGGTCAGTGCGTTGTGTAGGACTCTCGCCTAACCTACCCACTAAACCCTACGATGTCCTCTGAGGCCATTAAAACGGAGCCGCGAGTTATTGTCCTAAAATTGGACATTCGTCCGCGACTTAGTTAATAATTTAACTTTTTTTTCAGGACATAGACGAAGGCACAGTATTCGAGAGGCCGAACATATACTGCCACTTCGCCGGTGGCATCGGCGAGCCCAAGTACATGCCGATCGCGTCATGGGAGCAGCTGAACAAGCTTCTATTGGAGGCCATGTCCAGCTACAATGACCTCATCGCGGCCATGAACCTGGTTCTGTTTGAGGATGCTATGATGCATATTTGTAGGTAAGGTTTCCTTACTAGTTAATGTACTGATACATAAGTCTGGAAGAGACTCAATTTTGACTCTACACTGAAAATATAATCTATAATCTAGTTTGAATTGAGCTTCCAGTTAGGTATGTTTTTTTGTTTTTTTTTTTATGTGACAGGAGGCAAACTAACAGACGGATCACCTAATGGCAAGTGATTACCGTCGCCCATAGAGTGTAATGTAACTACGAATTGAATATAAGAAGCGTTGTCACTACAGAAACATAACATAAAGACGTTTAAACGGCGAATTATATTATCATGTAGTTTAATTTTGTGTGAAAAATCTAAAATGTGACCGATTTTGTATGAACCTTCATAAGCTTCGAACACACAAAACTCGTTAAAATTAAGTCGTCTAATACCGGCTTGATTCATTTACAAATTATGTTTTATATTACACTATTTGATATTTTACAGAATCAGTCGAATTTTGGAAAGTCCTAGAGGCAGTGCGCTTCTAGTGGGAGTGGGTGGATCTGGAAAACAGTCATTATCTCGTCTGGCTGCATTCATATCCAGTTTAGAAGTCTTGCAAATACAGCTGAAGAAAGGATATGGAGTGACCGACTTAAAGGTACCAATTTAAATTCCAATGGACTTGACATGGAGTGGAGATACTACAATTCTTTAAAACCTATTGCAATTTTGTTCTATCAATCTACACAAAAAAATGATTTTGACAGAATGAGCTGAATGGACTCTACATCAAAACTGGTCTAAAGAATGTCGGGATAATGTTCCTGATGACTGACGCACAAGTGGCAAATGAACAGTTTTTGGTGCTCATCAATGACCTACTTGCGTCTGGTGAAGTAGCCGACTTATTCCCTGACGATGAAATCGAAAACATACTGGCTGGTGTGAGGAATGAGGTAATTAGTCGTTAAAATAAAGCTACGGGACTTTTAAAAGACGCATAACTTAATCAGAATAATCATATAACTGTTAAAAATTTCATTCTTCCAAAAGGAAAAGTATAGTATGAATAAAAGACTCGCGAAAATCCTCAAAGAACGGCACATTAAGCTATACATTATGTTTTCCCTCTCAACAAGACCTTCATTTCCGAATACGTCATGTCTTACAGTTGGCAATTTATCTGACGGTTTAATAGTATACCAATATTTCAGGTGAAAGGTGCTGGCCTACCAGATACAAGGGAAGTGTGTTGGAAGTTCTTCATAGATAGAGTTCGCAAGCAGCTGAAAGTAGTTCTGTGCTTCTCTCCCGTTGGTTCTACATTAAGGGTGCGATCGAGAAAGTTTCCAGCTCTGATCAACTGCACCTCTATCAACTGGTTCCATGAATGGCCGCAAGAGGCCCTCGTGTCTGTTGCTATGAGTTTCTTGGAAAAACTGAATGGCTTGCCGGTAAAATATGTTCAAATATTTTGCTAGATATTGTACAGTATCAACAAATTCTATTTATGCATTTTCATTACTAAAATAATCGGTATCTCTTTCAATAAAAATATAATTGGTTGTAACTTTAAACAACAAGCGCATTCTTTTAATTCGTGATTTATTTATTGGAAAAATAATTCCACTTGTCAGGTAACATTAAGAGATTCAGTAGCGCGATTCATGGCCTACGTCCACACTTCAGTGAACACAATATCGAAGGCTTATTTGTCTAATGAGAGACGATACAATTACACAACTCCAAAGAGTTACTTGGAACAGATAAGCTTGTACGCCAAACTTGTAAACAATAAAACAAGCGAGTTGCAAGCTAAAATAACCAGGTAATTTACAGATTCAATTTTATCCATCAGATAATAATAAAGATGTTCTGTGTACTTATAAAACAATTTTATAGGTTAGAAAACGGTTTAGAGAAACTCCGGTCTACAGCGGAACAAGTAGCTGAACTGAAGAAGAAATTAGCCGTTCAAGAAATAGAATTACAACAGAAAAACGAAATCGCAGACAAACTTATTGAGACCGTTGGAATCGAGACTGCTAAAGTGCAGCATGAGAAAGCCTTAGGTATGAAAGAATCAATAATCTTGCTAATATTTCGCATTATAATATTATGTTTTTATAATACTTTGAGTAGTAACTCATCCTCATCATTCGTCATTTCAGCTGACGAAGAGGAAGAAAGAGTAGCAGTTATAGCTGAAGAGGTGTCAAAGAAGCAAAGGGACTGCGAAGAAGATTTGATAAAAGCAGAACCAGCACTCATAGCAGCTCAAGAGGCTTTGAATACGTTGAACAAAGCTAACCTCACTGAGCTGAAGTCTTTCGGTTCACCACCGGGAGCTGTGACCAATGTGACTGCTGCTGTCATGGTGCTTATGGCTCCTGGAGGAAAAATACCTAAAGATCGGAGCTGGAAAGCAGCAAAGGTACTGAAGTCTATGAGCTATCATTTATACACCTTACTTACAACACAAATAACAAGTTTCACTTATGCCAGATAATTTATGATGGTCTTATCCTAGGTGGTAATGGCGAAAGTGGACATGTTTTTGGAGTCACTTATACACTACGACAAAGAAAATATTCACCCTGACGTCATCAAAGCTATCCAACCTTACCTCAAGGACTCTGAGTTTGAACCTGGTAACGAATAGTCATAGAAAACAAAATAGGTAGGTACATAGTAGAAAGTTACAATAACATAAATTTAAACGAAAACCAACTTTATTTTTAGAATTCGTAAGATCAAAATCAGCTGCAGCGGCAGGACTGTGCGCTTGGGTCATCAACATAATAAAATTCTTTGAAGTATTTTGCGATGTAGAGCCCAAGAGAAAAGCGTTACAAGCTGCCAACGCCGAATTAGCTGCAGCTCAAGAGAAATTGAAAAACATTAAATCTAAAGTTGCTGTAAGTATTCAACCTATTTAAAACAATAATAATTGAGATAAATCAGACACCCTTAAATCTCAATGGAAAAATAAATTCTTTATTGTTTTTAGTCCTTGGAAGAGCTCTTGGCATCACTCACAGCTGACTTCGAGAAAGCCACTGCAGAGAAAGTGAAGTGTCAAAAAGAGGCAGATGCTACAAACCAGACCATTCAGCTCGCTAACAGGCTCGTCAATGGGCTGGCTAGTGAAAACGTGCGTTGGGCTGAAGCTGTTGCTAAGTATGTAAACATTGTGAATTGCACTTGTGAGCTTTGAGTGTCTTTTGCACTAACTATATTTTGTAAACAAGAGAGTTCCGAATAAGTATCAAATCTTTAGATAATTTCACCTAGCGTCATCAAGCCTCCAATATTATTAATACATACATTTATACATAGTAACACCCAGACCCGTCACAGAGATTAAAATTCATCAATTTCTGCCCGGCCGGGAATCGAACCCGGATTCTCTCAGCGTAGTAGTCCGTTTCGAACCACTACACCAAACGGCCGACCAGGTGATGGTTTCATTTCATGATATTTTAATAAAGGACTGTTTTACTTTTGCAGTTTTATGCAGCAGAGCACGACGTTGCCAGGAGATGTGTTGCTTGTATGCGCATTCATATCGTACGTAGGATGCTTCACCAAGCAATACAGACTGGATTTACTTCACAAAAATTGGCTCACATTCATGAAGACATTGGAGGTAGGTATTTGACTAATCAAATAACGTTAATGACATTTAAGTTAAAAGTTTAATTCAGTTCAGTTGGTTCAGATGAGAAAATTAAGGTACAAAAATATGTCACGTTGATGCCTACATTAAAATATAATTTTTAAATCAGCCTTTTATACCTATATTTTTATAGCCTCCAATACCAATCACGGAAGGCCTCGATCCCCTGACAATGCTGACAGATGATACACAGATCGCAATGTGGCAAAACGAAGGACTTCCCTCAGATCGCATGAGTACTGAGAACGCGACAATATTGTCCAATTCCGACCGATGGCCACTGATGATTGATCCACAGGTAAGTATTAATCATGCTACGTGTAGGTAACTATAGTCACATAAATATCAGACGTACATAGTTCTAATAATAATAAAACACTTAAAACTTTCAGCTTCAAGGAGTGAAATGGATCAAACAAAAATATGGCGACAATTTACAAGTAATCCGGTTGGGTCAAAAGGGCTACTTAGACACAATTGAAAAGTCCATCATAAAAGGCAAAACCGTTATATTTGAAAATATTGGGGAAACAGTTGACCCTGTGCTTGATCCCTTACTGGGGAGAAATCTAATTAAAAAGGGAAAGTAAGCATAATATATTTTTCTATAATGACCCTAAAACAAACTGCTTATTTATGTAATACTAATTTACTTTATAGGGCAATAAAGATTGGAGACAAAGAAGTGGAATACAGCTCAAGCTTCAGGCTGATTCTTCACACGAAATTGGCAAATCCACATTACAAACCTGAAATGCAAGCCCAAACTACTTTGGTGAATTTCACTGTCACAAGAGACGGCTTAGAAGACCAACTTCTAGCAGAGGTTGTAAAAGCCGAACGGCCGGATTTAGAAGATCTGAAAGCAGAGTTGACAAAGCAACAGAATCAATTTAAGATACAGTTGAAAGAACTAGAAGACGATCTTCTGTCTCGACTGTCGTCAGCAGGAGAGAATATACTTGGTGATACAGCACTAGTAGAAAACTTAGAGACCACTAAGAAGACAGCTGCTGACATTGAGAAAAAGGTTCGTTTGTAAAAAAAGACTATACATTTTGTCTGAAAATAAAATCAAATACTTAGAAAATAAAAATAAAATAAATTATACAGGTTGCAGAAGCAAAAATAACATCACACCAAATAGACCAAGCACGTGAGTTCTACAGACCAGCCGCTGCCAGGGCTTCCCTTCTTTACTTCATTCTCAATGACTTGAATACTATCAACCCAATATATCAATTTTCTCTGAAGGTAAATCAATTTATGAGCAGTCTACAAAATATAGTTCTACTACTATTCGCACTTATGTACGTACTACGTTTCATTGTATTTTAGGCGTTCAGTGTTGTATTCCAAAAGGCAATATCTCGAGCTGAGCCAGCAGAGACTGTAGCCCAAAGAATCAAGAACTTGATCGATTGCATTAGCTATTCCGTTTTTCAATACACTTCCAGAGGGTTGTTCGAGTGCGACAAACTTATATTTGCATCACAAATGACGTTTCAGGTACCATTTTTAGGTCTTAGTTTTTTTCAACCTAATAAGAATTATGTAAGGTCATAATGCCGTCCTTTAATTACATACTTTAAGGTGCTACTAATGAGCGAAGAAATATCACCAGCTGACCTGGATTTCTTCCTCCGATTTCCTGTCAAACCCCACGTCACCAGTCCTGTGGATTTTCTCTCAAACCACAGTTGGGGAGGCATCTGTTCCCTGGCTGGAAAGGAAGAGTTCAGGAACCTTGACAGGGATATAGAGACCTCACCCAAGAGATGGAAAAAGATTGTCGAGATGGAGAGTCCAGAAAGAGAAAAATTTCCTCAAGTAAGTATCTATTTTAGGCATATAATTGTATAACTTTGAAGAATGCAAATGAAATAAGGTGTGCTTAACAGGAATGGAAAAATAAAACGGCTCTTCAAAGATTGTGTATGTTACGAGCCTTGCGACCAGACAGAATGACGTATGCAGTCGCGTAAGTAACTCTCCAATTCAATTCTCATAATTCTAATTGAAGTTCATAATTTGATAGTGTTATAATGGTTTTACAGCGCTTACATAGAAGAGAAAATGGGCACAAAATACGTTGAAAACCGAACTCTGGAGTTCAGCAAATCGTTTGAAGAGACAAGTCCTACAACACCGATATTTTTCATCCTATCGCCAGGAGTAAACCCTCTGAAGGATGTAGAAGCATTGGGAAAAGTTATGGGATTTACATCAGATAACGGGAACTTCCACAATGTATCTCTTGGTCAGGGTCAGGAGATAGTCGCTGAACAGGCGATGGATGAGGCTTTACAGAAAGGACACTGGGTCGTACTCCAGGTATGTGTTTTAATCAAAAAAAGTCCCAAAACTTTGAAACTATTGATTAACCAATATTTTTCATAATAATTTCAGAATATCCATTTAGTGAAAAAATGGTTACCAAGCCTTGAAAAGAAGATGGAAAGCTTCGCTAATGGCTGTCATATAGAATTCAGACTGTTTATGTCAGCTGAACCTGCAGCCACGCCAGCTGCTCATATCATCCCACAAGGCATACTAGAATCGAGTATTAAAATCACAAACGAACCGCCTACTGGGATGCAGGTAAATTACATAATGTAGGATGATTTATAGTTTTCATTGTTTAACATACACTTTTACATTATTACCTATAATCGTTATTTTCCTTAGGCAAACATACATAAAGCATTGGATAATTTCAACCAAGAAACACTAGAAATGTGCGGAAAGGAAGCAGAGTTCAAAGCAATTCTTTTTGCTCTGTGTTACTTCCATGCAGTTGTGGCAGAGAGAAGAAAGTTCGGTCCGCAAGGTTGGAACAAAATTTACCCGTTCAATGTCGGTTAGTATGCACAATTTTCATTACAATTTGTAGTCAGTGATAGCTAAAATAATAACAATATTGACTCCAATACTAAACTTTTAGGGGATTTAACCATTAGTGTTTTTGTACTATACAATTATCTGGAAGCCAACTCCAGAGTCCCGTGGGAGGACTTAAGGTACCTCTTCGGTGAGATCATGTATGGCGGACATATCACTGACGATTGGGATCGCAGACTTTGCAACGCTTATTTGGAAGAGCTTATGCAACCTGATCTTGTGAGTATATTCATGTTGTGTTATGGGAAAAAATGTGTGTAAAATTAATGGTAGTATGATCATTATAAACTTTTTGTGGCTAAGGTTGATGGCGAATTGCAACTGGCCCCTGGCTTCCCAGCACCTCCAAACACAGACTATTGTGGCTACCATCAGTACATAGAAGACGCCATGCCTACTGAATCTCCCTACCTCTACGGGTTACATCCCAACGCGGAGATTGGTTTCCTTACCACCACTTCGGAGAATCTTTTTAGGACTATATTTGAAATGCAGCCTAGAGATGCTCAAGCTTCTGGTGCCGCTACTGTTACCAGAGAAGACAAGGTTAGTCCAAGATTATGATCTTTACTAGCTTTTGCCCGCGGCTTCACAGATCGTCATAAATTATAGCCTATATCTTATTCTGGGTTATAAACAATAATACTGCAAAGTTTCATCAAAATCCGTTCCGTAGTTTTTGCGTGAAAGAGTAACAAACATCCAGACATCCAGACACCCACACAAACTTTCGCATTTATAATATTAGTAGGATAATTCTGTAACCACGCTTCAAAAGAGTAAGCGCGTATCTTGCATGGTTTCAATATTAACTCAATTTGGTTTGTCCTTTAGGTAAAACAGATGTTAGACGAAATCATAGAAAAACTGCCAGAAGAGTTCAACATGGTAGAAATAATGGGAAAGGTGGAAGAAAGGACGCCATACGTTATTGTAGCTTTCCAAGAGTGCGAGCGGATGAACTACCTTACTGGAGAGATGAAGAGATCTTTGAGGGAATTAGATCTAGGACTGAAGGTGAATCAACATCATTGTGATTATTACATAAACTTATATGTAGGTACCTATACGAAAACTATGACAATAACAATATGAATTGACTGTTTAAAGGGCGAGCTGACAATCACATCAGACATGGAAGACTTAGAAAATGCACTATTTTTAGATCAGGTAATCAATGCCTCAATTTTTTTGACAATGCTCTGAATCCATTTCAAATAATTTCATATTTATTTAGGTACCAATGATATGGTCGAAAAGAGCATATCCTTCTTTGTTGGGGCTTTCGGCTTGGTTTGTGGACTTAACCCTTCGGCTGAGAGAATTGGAGACTTGGGCTACAGATTTTGTTGTAAGTGCAAGAAATTTTGATACCACAAGACAATATAATTCAAGAATTACTACAGAAATCAATATCTTGCAGTTGCCAGCATCAGTATGGTTAGCAGGATTTTTCAACCCTCAAAGTCTACTAACTGCTATAATGCAAAGCACAGCTAGAAGGTATGAGTTGCCTCTGGACAAGATGTGTTTACAGTGTGACGTCACCAAAAAAATGAAAGAAGAATTCACGTGAGTGCCCCATACAACACTTTCAGATAACTACTATACATGCAAATTTACCCTTTAGGCTGATTTACATGACACCACGGTGCTACGGGGGTACTACTTACTTTACTACCTAGTTAATCTAAGACATGTGAGATTATTGGCAATATCATAGCGGTTCATGAAAAAGTGTTTCAGTAAAAGGACGAATATTTTTGCTGTCACACATCACACACCAAGCTATCTGAAAGCGGTTAAAGTACCATGTAATCGCATAAAATTATATCAGCAGCAACAAGCTTCAAGTGTCATGACTCGTGATACCACCCGTTTTATACATGGTGTGGCATCACGAGAGCATTGTGGTGTCATGTTAAAAATCACCCAATAGTTGTTATTAATACCTAAAATAATCAGTGTACAAACATTTTATGCCCAGAACGGAATGCCATGTTAAAGCATGACTATAGTGTTATGTGCGAACCTGACAACGCATGTCTTCGCATGTCAACTCTTGAGCATGATCTGAATGCCTTGACTGTGACGATTATTTACAGCATTAAATTTCATGTTTTCATATTCTGTACCGGCTTCAGGATCGACACCAGGTTTGGTTTATGAATGGCGTCAACGCTTCGCTTAGCGTGGCTTCAATCGACTGGAGCTACGTTCTCTATGACTGTCTCTACTTCAAATTTCGGTACCTTGATAAGTAAATTTCCAAAGTCTCCAAGAATCATAGATTTTAGAACATTAGGACCACCTTCTGGTATCAGTTTAATCATTGGTTTCGGTTTCGGGATTCTTGACAACTGGTAGTAAACCCTTTCCTTTACACAGTTAGTTAAACAATCCTGAAGGAACATTTACTTATCAAGGGACCACAAGCTTACCTCTTCCTCTGTCTCACACTGTACACTGCAAGCTGCCTCACTGTCTCACTGCATGGATCGGCTTCCTAATACTACTCGTCGTACGACAGGATCGCTGATTCCAGGTCTGCTCCACGAGATGGAGCATTTGTCCATGGCTTGCTGATGGAAGGCGCCCGATGGGATGTGCAGGCTGGGATCATAATGGATTCGAGGTTGAAGGATCTGTTCCCGCCGATGCCAGTGATCAACGTCAGGGTATGAAAATAATTTACACAAAATCCATGGGAGAACTTCGATGTTTGATGGTATTTTTACACTTTGAATAATATTCAGGTAATATTAATTTCTTATTTAGTAGAGAATCACGGACAAAAACACTTCACTTCACTTATCCCTCCAATTTGAATTAAGCTACCCGCAAAACATCTTTATTTTCTTTACAAGTTTTTAAGACATTGACATTGACGTGAATTACCATTTTCTTTTTCTTTCTCGGAATGTAGAGAATTTAATTACGAGAGAGGCTACGAATTAAAAGTATGTGCTTTGTTTAAAGATTATAGCCTGACCAGGAACATAAAAACCCTGGCATAGAGGCGCGTCAATTGCATTTGATAGTGCAACACTGAGTACAGTCGTACCTGTGTTAAATTAATAGGCTAACTTTATGTATCAGGATTCAGGATTACGGGCTAATTTGATATTTTCATAAATTAACGAAAAAATATTATTATAGGTAACCTGGTTTAAATAAATTAAATGAAACCATCAATTGAGCTAGTAGGATTTATTTTATTATTCATCAATAATCAAATTCAAAACTTAATATTCAATTGCAATGTCTGCTCGTGAACGCTTCAAACTCGGTACTTCTTTCCCAATTCCATAAAATTCAACACTTAAAAAGTGACGTAAATTTTTAAAATAGGTAGTTGAAACAAATCACAGCTAATTTTCATAGTGGACTGTACTATACGATAAATACGTCAGTCAATTTGACAACCTTTGTCGGAAACATTATTCAATGAAAATATTGTCCGAACCCTTAGTATTTCTCTTCGACAAATACTTTAACACATTGTGAACCACTTTTCTTTCACGACTATAAAAAGATTTTAGCAATTTAATTCACAAAATCAATTGCACACATTTAAAATAAAGTTTGTTTACACTTTGACAGCAATAGACTGACATGCAAGGTGACATGTCAATGAAGTTTTCAGTTACCTACTGTTGCCATTAAAAGAAATTAGTACCATTAGTTTTCCGCAACATGGTTAGGGTTTTTATGTTCCTGGTCAGGCTATACAAAGAACTACCACAACCTAAAACTTTAAAAAAAACTTTCGTTTGAAGACCTTCATTTTACTTATTTAAGAATAAAAAATACAGATTTTAACAAAAACAATAATAATTCCAACTGCAGGCCTTAAAAAGGGCGTAACTGATAAAACAAAATTAACAGGCGATCACCCAGGACAAGCAGGACCTGCGCAACATGTACGAGTGCCCGGTGTACAAGACGCGCACGCGCGGGCCCACCTACGTCTGGACCTTCAACCTCAAGACCAAGGACAAGCCCTCCAAGTGGACCCTCGCCGGGGTCGCCTTGCTGCTGCAGATTTAAAGATCTTTTTAGGCTAAAGCGGTAGCAAAACACGCACTATTTTGTACGGACGACAGCACTTTCGGTTAAACACAGTGACGTCTGTCCTATCTTGTTGTAATACAGGTTACGTTGCAAAAAATATATAGTCTGATTTGCTGTCGACTGTACCAGAATAAAAGTTCTTTAAAATTAAAGTATGAGAGATGTTAGATATTTCAATTAGGATGCGTTTCAACTCCAGCGTCCATAGTAAATATTACCTCGTTTGAAAAACTAGACAGCTTTGCGATCAACCAAAATTTTTTGGGTTCATTATTGTTCTTTAATTTTACCTGTCTGACAGTAGGTAAGGCTAATTTAACGAGATATGACCGCGGCTTCGCCTGCATAGTTGGATAAATTCTGGCAGTACTATTTCTGATGCTAACTTTCTCGTACTTACTCGTAGTTACAATAAATTGATCCGCCCAGTAGTAAGTAGGTAGGTAACTAGGTATTAAAAAGATGCCTAGTTTTGTTAAAACATGTTATTAGATTTACAGACAGTTTATTAAATTCTGTTATATGATATGAATAAATGATATTTATTTATGGAAATTATAATAATGTTTTCTTTCAATCTATCCTTGTACCTATAGTCACACCACTAACAATCATACGTTACGTAGATCATTAGGTAAAGAGGATGTTTGTTCGACAGCAATAAGATGTTTTACCTGCTCATTTAGATACAGTTATCAACAGACACCGCCTCATTATAATTTACTTGTGAGAATAACACCGCATCGTGATTAATGAGGCGAAAAAGTCTACAGTTCCGTGTAACAAATGGCAGGTAGTAATTTGAGAGAAAGTATTTAACCATGCAGAATCTGTCCTCAATAAGCTATTGTCACTTCATCATAGGAATTGACTGGCAATTGGTATTTTAATATTATTAAACAGACAATATTTACTACTTCACGGTCACTGGTTGGGTTTTCATTAACGGTCATGCTGTAGATCCTGGCTGCACAGGAGTTGCAGCGATGGAAACGAGAGGCGAGTATAGTCCCGTTACTTGACAACGCGTGTTATTATACTTATCGCTAAGTATCAAAAATCCCTTGATAATACCTAAGAATTTCTATACGACAATTTGCCAAATCGGGTAAAACTTCCAATATCGAAAGAACAACTTTTTCATGGACATAATTTTAAGACGTTTCATCATTTTATCTGTTGTACATTTTTAAATTCCTTTTGCCTCTTTGTAATGGAATTTTACTATCCACATCGATCAATGTTTTAAAAGTATTGTGTCATTTGTGTTCACAAAAGCTGCATAATTAAAGATGACATCACCTCAGAATTAGTCATACTTACTTATTTGCACTTTTATTTTATCCTAAATTAGCAATTTTTTATTGTGTCAACGATCAACAGGTTTCTTTTATTTAGGGAATTTCAAATGATTTAAATGCAGTTGGATTATAAATTTGTATAATTATTGAGTTTTTCTTTACCTTTTGTACCCAAAGGTGATTTTTTAACAATTGGTGGTGTTCTATCAAAGTCATTTGAGGTTCTTATTATTCTAAACACAAATTATAATAAATTGACTAGGTAATTTATTTACTTGATCATCTGGCGAGTGTAAAGTTAGTACGTTAGTGAGTGATCTCGTATCGTTACATAGCAAACTTTTAAGTGATTGAATAAAGGCAAAGGTTTTGTATTCAGGCAAACATAAAGCAAGAACTTAGAATACCTATTTTAATATCACGATATTTGTTACTTCGTTTCGTTCGTTTTAGCCCAAGGCGTCCACTGCTGCACAGCAACCGGCCCTGTGCTCCCGCACTTAGGTGCTTCCCACGATCTACTCTAGTGTAGATCGTGTCAGTCTATCGATTTATTTTATTGGGTTATTTTATTTATATTTGCAGCAGCAACGCGGCTCCGGCGAGGGTCCACTTGGAGGGCTTGTCCTTGGTCTTGAGGTTGAAGGTCCAGACGTAGGTGGGCCCGCGCGTGCGCGTCTTGTACACCGGGCACTCGTACATGTTGCGCAGGTCCTGCTTGTCCTGGGTGATTGCCTGTGAAATACATCAATGGTTATTATAGGCCGTTTTCATCGTCATCATCATTTCAGTCACAAGACGTTCTCTGCTAAACATAGACCTCCCCCAGTGCTCTATAAATGAGCCGGTAGGTAGCGGCCTGCATCCAGCGCTTTTCTGCAAGTAGGTATATAAGATCACAATCTGTTGTGGGTGTACGTACTTAAGTCACACGCTGCGCTTGCTGGTACATGGCCTCCATTCCAGAACTTTGTTGCCCCATCGGTTGCTAGTTTTGCGTGCTAGGACCCTAAAATGTTACCCAAAACATACCCTAACATTGATGACCGCCATTGGTGGGAAGAGTTCCTTCAGCAAAGAATCCGCTATGACCCCAGCCAGGACGTCCCAGCGGGCACCTTCCATCAGCAGTCCGTGGACGAACGCTCCGTCTTGAGGACCTGATCTGGCGTCTACGATCCTGAAAACATGATCAAGTTAAAATCACAATATGCAATATATAAAAAAAAAATACTCTTCAAGAAATTAAAAATGTTGATAACAGAAAAAATTGAAGAATCAAAAGTATCCAAAGTGTAAGCTCACGTAAAATCTTTTATCATTTTCTTCGTAACATCACACTGGAGACACATTTTGTCCAGTGGCAACTCATACTTTCGAGCTGTGCTTTGCATTATAGCCGTCAGAAGACTCTGGGGGTTGAAGAAGCCAGGCAACCATATTGATGGTGGTAGCTGAAATATGGAAATAAATAATAGGTAGGTAGCTGCTTATTAAGTATATTTTGAACAAATATGATACTTTACTTACAATAAAATCAGTGGCCCATGCCTGAAGCTCTTTGATTCGAAGAGTCAAGTCTATAAACCATGCTGCCAGCCCCAACAAGGAAGGGTATGCCTTATTGGACCATATTACTGGAACCTGAATGAATACGAACGAGTAGTTAAATCAATGGATTAATCAGTTAACTAGGTTACTTTTAAATTTTGAAAGTTAAAAAAATGAACTCACCTGGTCCAAAAATAGTGCATTATCCAACTCTTCCATAACCGATGTTATTGTCAGCTCCCCCTGAAAAATACATCTTTACACAGTTACACATCATGTCCTGTACTATTACTTATTCTGTGATCATGTGCAGTGAAAGAAAATTAGTGAAATTCATGCAATATCTGTGTTTATGTATTTCACTTTACCTTCAAGCCTAGATCCAGCTCTCTCAGCGAACGCTTCATCTCCCCGGTCAGAGCGTTCATTCTTTCACACTCCTGGAACGCCACGACTATGTATGGAGTCCTTTCCTCAACTCTATTCATTATCTCTACCATGTTGTATTCTACTGGCAGCTTCTCCAGGATTTCATCTATCATTAGTTTCACCTAAAAACATTTAGTGTGAGAGAAGTCATCACATTTAATTTTTGCCTTATTAAGGAATAAATTATAAAGCCTTACCTTTTCTTCCCTTGTAACAGTAGCTCCACCAGAAGCCTGACTGTCCCTCGGCTGCATTTCGAATATAGTTCTGAAGAGGTTCTCAGAAGTGGTCGTCAAAAACCCAATTTCTGCGTTGGGATGGAGTCCGTATAAGTAAGGTGATTCTGGTGGCAACTTATCTTCTATGTACTGATGGTAGCCAGGATAGTCTGTATTTGGAGGAGCTATGAAGCCGGGTGCTAATTCTAGTTCACCTTCAACCTTTACAAAAGAACATAAATCATACCCATTATAACCAGGTTCTTAGAGATATCACACATTCTGTCACATAATATTATTATGAGTAAGACATACTAGATCAGGTTGCATGAGTTCTTCTAAATACGCGTTACAAAGTCGCCGATCCCAGTCGTCAGTGATATGACCTCCGTACATAATTTCACCGAAGAGATATCTCAAGTCATCCCAAGGAACGAACTCATTCGCTTCCAAATAGTTGTACAATACCAAAACGCTTATGGACAAGTCACCTGAAAATGAAACTCAATTTAAATTCCTATCCAAATGCCTGAATGTGTTTAAAACAGGAATAAGTAGGTACTAACCAACGTTGAAGGGATATACTTTGTTCCACCCTTGTGGTCCAAACTTTCTCCTTTCTGCTACAACTGCATGGAAGTAGCAGAGAGCAAACAGAATGCCTTTAAACTCGGTATCTTTGCCACACATCTCCAGCGTTTCTTGAGTGAAATTGTCTAGTGCTTTGTGGATGTTTGCCTGAGAATAAAAAGATTGGCGTTTATTTTAATAATCTTGAGCTTGCTAAATACTAGGTACTACTCAGCCGTCTCAGATAAATTTAGATATTGAATCTACACTTATCTGAAGAACGAGAGATCATTAAATAAATTACCAGCATTCCTGTAGGTGGTTCGTTAGTGATCTTTATGCTGGACTCCAGGATTCCCTGCGGTATGATATGGGACTCCGCCGATTCAGCAGGCTCAGCTGACATAAACAACCTGAAATCGTCGTGACAACCGCTGGTAAAACTTTCCATCTTCTTCTCGAGGGTTGGAAGCCACTTTTTCACCAAGTGAATGTTCTGTAACATTACAATAATCAATTATGTTAATGCTTAGATCCAAATTTTTACCATCATTAATATCATGCAGTAAGCACCAACCTGTAATACCACCCATTGCCCCTCCTTCACAGCCATATCCATTGCCTGCTCAGCCACTATTTCTTGACCTTGACCCAGCGATACATTGTGGAAGTTACCACCATCAATCGTATATCCCATGGCTTTACCCAAACTTTCTACATCGGTCAATGGGTTCACTCCTGGAGATAGTATGAAGAATATCGGAGTGGTAGAGCTAGTCTCCTCAAACGACTTGCTGAATTCCATTGTTCTGTTTTCTGTGTATTTCCCACCCATTTTCTCTTCGATGAATGCTCTAAAGTTACATTAATCTTGTAAATAAAACTTTATGTTATTGTATTCAATATCGAAACATTTTTTCTACTTACGCTACTGCATAGACCATTCTATCTGGTCGTAAGGCTCGCATCATACATAGACGTTGTAGTGGTGTTTTATCCTCCCAATCCTAAGAATGTTCATTAAAAAAATATTATTATACAGGGTGGAAACGATAAGTGATTTCACTTGATTATTTCTAAACTATACCAGATATCGAAAAACTAGTTACTGATCCTGAAAGTGCTTCACGAGCTCTTTTAAATGGTACCAATAACAGGTTACAGAATAAACGGGATCTATCTGAAAATCCAATGTTTCCAGCTTCCATACTAAATGTATGCCAACCACTCAATATTAGAAGTGTAATTTTTTTAAAACTTAAAATAAACTCGTAAATTGCATTCTCATTTAAAATAATTTATGGAAAACATTAGTTTTAGGCTTTATTTGCTATAAAATTTGCTATAATATTATCAAGAGATGAGTGCCATATCTGTGATAGTACTAAATGTATGGAAGATGGAAACATTTATTTTTTAGACAGATCCAGTTTATTCTGGAACTTAATATTAATACTATTGGATAGAGCTCGTGAAACACTTTTAGGATCAGTAACCAGTTTTACGATATCTTTTGTAGTTTTTAATATTATGAGGCTGTTCCAAATGTATGGAAGCCGGAAACATTGAATTTTCGGATAGATCTAGTTTATTCTTTAACCTATTATTGGTACCGTTTGATAGAGCTCATGAAGCACTTTCAGGATCAGTAACTAGTTTTTTGATATCTTGTATAGTTTAGAAATAATCGAGTGAGATCACTTATCGTTTCCACCCTGTATAGGTAACTATAGGCATTTCATAATTATTAAGTTCATCCAAGTTACTACTTATTCTATAGTCTAAACTTTAGAGAAACAACATAATCTTACTTGAGGAAACTTCTCTCGCTCAGGGCATTCCATCTCAACGACCTTTTTCCATTTAAGAGGAGCAGACTCGATATCTCTATCAAGGTTGGTGAACTCCAACTTTCCAGACAAAGAACAGATGCCTCCCCAACTATGATCAGAAAGAAAGTCTACTGGGCTAGCTACGTGTGGTTTGATAGGAAACCGGAGTAAGAAGTCCAGTTCTTCTGGAGATATTTCTTCACTCATCACAAGTATCTGTAAAGGTTTCATTGGTGAGTATAATGGACAAGACAAGAAACATAATGCGCCATTGATTGAAACAAAAGTAACACACAGTTTCTGGTTAAAAAAGATTGATAGCAATTAAGTAATAAGGATGGTATTTGAATATACCTGGAAGGTCACAAGCGACGCAAAAATAAGTTTGTCACACTCAAACAACCCTCTGGAAGTATACTGAAAGACTGAGAAGCTAATGCAGTCTATAAGGTTCTTAATGCGCTCTTGCAAGTCACTCGCTGGTTTCGCTCGGCTTAACGCTTTCAGGAATACTACGCTGAAGGCCTGAAATTAACATTTTTTATAAAAGACTCATTATATTAGAAGTAACTGCTGTATCCAAAATATGTTTCATACAAACCTTTAAGGAAAACTGGTAGATCGGGTTGATAATATTCAGATCGTTGAGAATGAAGTACAAAAGCGAAGCCCTGGCTGCTGCTGGTCGGTAGAATTCACGTGCTATATCTATTTCACAAGAAGTAACCTTCGCTTCATTTACCTAAAATATTCGAAATTTTAATTTTAGATCTTACTTACAAAATTGTATAGGCTTGCTTCATTAGGTACGTACCTTTCGTTCAATATCATCAGCAGTATTTTTCGTCGTTTCTAAGTTATCTACCAATGCAGGATTTGCTAATATATTTTCTCCTGCAGACGAAAGGCTCGACAGTAGATTGTCTTCTAATTCTTTTAACTTGATTTTAAATTCATTTTGCTGTCTCGTTAATTCAGCTTTCAAGCTTTCCAAATCTGGTCTTTCGGCTTTGACTACTTCGGCTAAGAGCTGGTCTTCAAGACCGTCCCTGGTTACGGTGAAGTTAACCAGGGTTGTTTGAGCTTGCATTTCAGGCTGGTAGTGCGGATTTGCTAACTTCGTGTGAATGATCAATCGAAAATTCGGGTTATACTCTACTTCTTTGTCGCCGATCTTGATTGCCCTGTAAATGATAGAGTTACATAGTTACTCGTATGTTTTGGTTGTTAACAAATAATTTTAATGTTATTGGGTATCAAAGCGCTTTTGAAACTTACTTTCCTTTCTTGATCAAAATTCTCCCCAGCAACGGATCAAGCACCGGGTCAACAGTCTCTCCAATGTTTTCCAGGAGAACGACCTCTCCTTTGACGACAGCATCTACTATTGTTTCCAAGTAACCTTTTTGCCCAAGTCGGATGACCTGGAGTTTGTCACCATACTTCTGCTTGATCCACTTTACACCTTGAAGCTGTGCAAGTAATAGTTTATTAAGTTAGTGTGTCGCTAATTGGAGCATTGGACAAAATTTCATGTGACGTAAGAGATACCAACCTGTGGATCAATCATCAAAGGCCATCTGTCAGAGTTGGAGAGTACAGTAGCATTCTCAGTGCTCATCCGATCTGAAGGTAGTCCTTCGTTCTGCCACATGGCGATTTGCGTGTCATCTGTCAACATCGTCAAGGGATCCAAACCTTCAGTTGTGGGTACTGCGGGCTGTTTAAAAAGTCATAAAATCATGAATAATAAAAGACGGTATGTAAAATATTTAAGTTGATTTGAAGGAAAGATGTACATACATCTAACATCTTCAAATAGTTAAGCCATAGCCTCTGCAATTCAAGACGATATGGCTTGGTGAAGCAGCCCACGTATGATATAAAGGCACACACCAGCAGGATATCCCCAGGCAAGGTTGTGCTCTGTATCTTGAAGCTGGAATAGCGGAAATCTTATTTTCCTACCAGTAGCACTTCACAAAAAACTGATCGAAGTAGAGGAAACAAATGAATATAGTGATAAAGTTTATGCGCTGCCCAAAGAAATATTTTGTTATTTATAAATACTCGTAATAATTAAATGATTTAAGAGTCGAATTTAATCAGTGTCGTTTATTTTTCTACTTTGTCGTGACAATAAAATATGGCGACAATCGAGGAACATTAATTAACTAACGATAAACTGGAAAAGCGGAATCGGAAAACTTTTATATCTAACTAGCTGACCCGGCGAACTTTGTTCCGCCTTAATGGTAATAAATGAGCAGACTTTTTTTTATTTCGAACGGGATAAAAAGTATCCTATGTCCTTCTCCTGGCTCTAAACTACCTCCCTGACAATTTTCAGCTAAATCGGTTCAGCCGTTCTTGAGTTATAAGTGGAGTAACTAACACGACTTTCTTTTATATATATAGATTAGAAAACCGGCAATGTAGTGTGTTCTATGCAACACAGTCTATCTTATTTATACTGTAGCTAATAAGATGTTTCCGCACGTAATTACTACATTTTATAACGTAATTCCATAATCTGAGTTATTTTTATGTGGAATTAGATAACGTACCAGTACCTGAATCAAAACGCAACTACAGCTTATAGCAGCATACATAAAAATTAAAGCTATGTGTACATACTTTGTGACCGCCTCAGCCCAGCGAATATTCTCACTGGCCAGTCCGTTGACGAGCCGGTTGGCTAGAGAAATGATGGCGTTGGTGGCATCAGCCTTGGCTTGGCATTTCATCTTCTCGGCCACGGCTTTTTGGAACTGAGCCGTCAACGAAGCTAATAACGCTTCAAGGGCCTAAAATAAGAAATTCTGATAAAACCCTGTATGGTAATGGTAAAATGAGAATCAAACAGGACCTTCCAAACATAATGTGTTAATATTTTAGGTGTAATATGCATATTATTTATAACGCCTCTGAACAAAACTCCGCAAAGCAAAGTCAAGTACCGTCTAACGAACACCACCTGATTGGAATACACTCATACTTACAGCTACTTTCGCCTTGATGTTTTTCAAGCTCTCTTGCGCCTCAGCCAGCTCAGCATTGGCGGCTAACAATGCGTTCCTCTTCGGCATGACTTCGCAGAACACCTCATAGAACTTTATGATGTTTATCACCCAGGCACAAAGACCAGCTGCTGCAGCTGATTTTGATCTTATGAACTCTAAAATAGGGTTTAGTTTTAATTTACATTGCTTGTCAAGTATCTTCTCATAATTCGATGAATAAGTGGACGCAAAACTAAAGAAATCTAAGTGGTCGAGCACATCTTCGATTACCTGGTTCAAATTCAGCGTCTTTCAAATATGGCTGTATAGCTTTGATGACATCTGGATGGATGTTTTCTTTATCGTAATTTATGAGTGCATCTAGAAACACGTCAACTTTTGACATCACCAGCTAAAAAAAAACATTGGTCAGTCAAGTCAACTATTGATTTCAAATTTCACAAGTCTAGGTTACGTACCTTAGCTGCTTTCCAGCTCCTATCCTTCGGTATTTTGCCATTAGGAGCCATGATGACCATCACAGCAGCAGTTACATTGGTCACTGCATCGGGGGGAGAGCCGAAAGACTTCAGTTCAGTAAGGTTGGCTTTGTTCAGTGTATTCAAAGCTTCTTGAGCAGCCTGGAGAGCTGGCTCCGCTTTGATCAAATCTTCAGCGCAGTCTTTCTGTTTCTTCTTCACTTCGTCAGCAATTACTGCGACTCTCTCCTCCTCGTCGTCAGCTATATTATTATGAAAAGGCAAAAAAATAGTGATTTATTTGATTATTTACTCGGAAAGGTTACATAGGTACGTGAAGTCATTTAGAAATTGCCAAAAAACATATTTTATCCAAGTTGTTTCTTAGCGCTCCTGCATTTTTTTTTTTTTTTTAAAACCATACCCAGTTCTTTCTCAACAGTAACTTTAGCAGTCTCAATGCCGACGTTCTCGATGAGTTTGTCAGCGATGGCGTTCTTCTGCGCCAGATCAATCTCCTCAACAGCCAGCTTCTTTTTTAGCTCGGCCACTTGCACTGCAGTACAGCGGAGCTTCTCCAAGCCATTCTCCAATCTTTCAAATACAACTCAACTGATTGATACGAAAGTACAGAAATGACTTAGGTACAGCATGTGAAATAAATGTCATCATTATAACTTACCTTATTATTTTCTCGCATAGATCTACAGATTTGTGCGTTATCAATTTGGAGTAAAGGCTGATTTGCTCTAGGAAACTTTTAGGGGTCGTGTAATTGTATCTCCGATCATTAGCCAGATAATCTCTGGAAATGTTGTTCACTGAAGTGTGTACGTAGGACATGAACTTTGCAACTGAATCCTTCAGTGGTTCCTGAAACATACGAGTACATATCCATTGGCTTGAGTTGGTTGATGAATATCGTGACTGACAAAAATACATTCCATGATTCTAATGAGTGCAGTGCTGTCGACTCTACATTTCTAAGAAAACACTCACTGGTAGCGCTTCCAAATTTTGCAAAAAAGTCATGGCTACCGTCACCAAAGCCTCTTGCGGCCATTCGTGGAACCAGTTGATAGAAGTAGAGTTGATCAGAGCCGGGAACTTCCTAGCCCTGACCCTCAAGGTGGACCCTATTGGTGAGAAACACAAAACCACTTTCAGCTGCTTACGAACTCGGTCTATGAAGAACTTCCAACACACTTCTCTTGTATCTGGTAATCCTGCTGCTTTTACCTGTAGAAGTATAATTTTTATGTCATAAAAAAAGATTTTCAGACATCAGCATCATTATGACTTTTTTCGCTGATATTACCTCATTTCTCACAGCGCCCAATATATTTTCAACTTCATCGTCAGGGAATAGATCAGCTACCTCGCCAGATGCCAACAGGTCATTGATGAGCACAAGAAACTGTTCATTGGCCACCTGTGCGTCCGTCATCAGAAACATTACACCAACATTTTTGAGGCCAGTTTTTATGTATAGACCATTGAGTTCATTCTGTAAAATTATGGTGATGTATGATTTGTACATATTCACTAAGCGAGTTAAATACATTTTCAAAACCTAACCATAGTAGGTAAATAAGGTAATATGGATTTGGATTTACCTTCAAATCAGCAACTCCATAGCCTTTCTTTAACTGGATTTGTAGGACTTCCAAAGTAGATATAAATGCAGCTAATCGCGATAACGACTGTTTGCCAAAACCACCTACACCAACTAAGAGAGCGCTGCCTCGAGGACTCTCCAGGATACGACTAATCCTGAAAATACGAGAAATTCATCAACAGCCCTTTACAGGTCACTGCTGGACTATGAGCCTCCTCCACTATAGTGGAGGGTTTTGCCATAATCTCCACGCTTGGCAGGCGGGTTGGAAATCGCAGTTTAAAAGATTGATGTTTTTCAGAGAGCGCTGCTGCCCATTCTCTGTTTGATGTGTAGTCCCTAAGTCGCCTCTTACGACACCCGCGAGAAATTATTCAACAATTTTATATACCTATCTATTTTTGATGATCAGAAATGTCACCCTTTAAAAGAAAAATTAGGAACCTGCAAATATGCGCCATGGCATCTTCAAAAAGCACTAAGCTCATAGCTGCAATGAGGTCATTGTAGCTAGCCATGGCCTCGTTGAGAAGTTTGCTCAAGTGCTCCCATGACTCTATCGGCATGTACTTGGGATCACCTATGCCGTCAGCAAAATGACAATAAATGTTGGGTTTCTTGAAAACTACTTGGTCTTCTATCTCCTGAAAATTTCCATAGTTCGATTAAGTATTCCATAGTTACTTTTATCAAAATAATTATTTTTGTCCCTCGGAAGTTTACTTACATCTAAATTCTTCTTTAGCATGTCAACTTGCATTTTCGCAAAGGCTTCGATATCTTTTTCCTCTGTCAATTTGTCTCCGTAAACTCGACTAGTTTCATGTATCCATAGCCTAATCAAATCTGATGGATTCAGCAAGCACTCATTGGTGGTGAATAGGAAACCCTAAGACATTAAAATAAACTCTGAGAATTAAGCATTAATTACCGTTATTCAGAAACAAATTAAATACAAGTTCCTTACCTGGAAGATATTAGACAAATCTCGAAGATTGAAGATGTAATGGAATTTTAATGCAGTGGGAAGAAATATTTGATTGACTTTATTATGCAATAATATTGTAACTTTGACCATAGTTGCTGAAATAAATAATTACAGTCATATTTATATTTTTTTTATAAAAATTAAACAAAAACGTGACTAATGTAAAACTTACAAGATAATTTGATCACCAAAGGATTAATCCTAAACTCCGGGTTAGTCAAATGCTGATACAAAATGGAGTAATAAATATAGTTCAGCGCCTCGTTATTAGGAAAGCTGACAGCAAACACAGAGAAGTGCCTTTGTAATCTTGGGTTAATAGTGAAACTGCCCGACTTTGGATTCATACAAGAAACGTACTGGGTATTGTGAATATCTTTTAGAGAAAGCTTGGTACGATCATACCAATGATGGTAGTCTATGTGCTGCCTTATTATAGTATGTGGTTGGACAGTTCCGTAAGCATCTACTTCGGGCATGTTCATGTCATCTATGAAGTAAATCAGAGTCTTATTCCCTGGAGGACCGTAATTTCGACCGGCCTTTTTCTCTAGAGGTTTTTCTAAGATCTTCTGCAGCATTTCAGATGTGGTGTAGAAATTAAATGGTACTGATTGGATGGCGTAGTTTTCTGGAAGTCTGAAGAAAGTACATCAAAGATTAGTAAGAGTATCTAATCTAAGTGCCTGATTTATTAATTTTCAAGATGCAGCTTTAACTTACGACTGCAACTTCTCATTAACTAAGACAGTTTTACCACAACCAGCACCACCGACCAACATAACTGGATGTTTGTCTTTCATTAGCAAATCCAGAAAGAACCTCACTCTCAATGTTTCTGCTGTTGGTACAAGTACAGCCTAAAACAATCATCGGGCATAAGAAAATTGTTTTGACTATTATTATTTACAGCAATAATACCGTGTAGTAGGTACTAACTTGTAATGGAGTGTCGGTGTCCAATTCGAATTTTGGTATTTTCTCTGTCCAAGGAATGAACTGTTTCTTCTCATTTATAAAGTAGTCGAACACTGTTCCTTCTGGTGGGAACGGGACGGATTTGTATTCTTTCGCCCACCACTTGGAAAACTCTATGGGAAAAAAGAACAAAATAAAATGCCACAAACTTACTGTTACTCTAAGTTAATGCTGAAATAAAATAATCAAATAGCATACCCATTCTGTAATCAATCCCTGGCTCGTGATACAACGCTGATCCGAACGCCCAGACACAAGCAAAAACAAAGTATATTTCATGCCATTCCTTCGGGCAGCCGACTGGAGTGTTTGCAGGGATAAACAGGCACTCAACAGATGACACAACATCTGAATATGAGCCATCTCTACTATAGGAGTTATCGTTTTGAATCTGCCTCCTAAGGTTTCTACACACGACGGGACGTAATTATCGAAAAGGTTAACTAAATTTGCTTTTTCAGTTGGATCTTCCCTTGTTTCAATCCAACTCGTAACATAACTGTAATAAAAGTTTCATTTTTAGAATCTTCGTACTGATTACTACCCAAATCACAATTACACTATGAATTTACTCACGGATTCCATCCCAAATCTTGAGGGTTGATATAAAGAATACCAGCTCTAGAAACTGTAGCTGGAGTAGCAGTCCGTAAATTAGAAATCTCAAACATAAGCCGCATAGAGGGAGTAACAGCAATTCGTTCATTGCTAGCCAGTGTCAATATTTTATTATCATCCATCACAGTATTCAATGACTCAATCCACATCGGGTCTATATCCCCATCTAAGACAATCCATTTCGGGTTATCTCCCCCTAAATTAGCTTGGTCTCTCATTATGACCGAGAAGAGGCCATCTTTCCATTCTCTGGTTGCTGGATTGATGATACCGAATAACTCGTCATTTGTTACAGCTTTTGGGTTCAAATCGTTAAAGATTGGTTTCTTTTCAATATTCTGGTATGTTTTGAAAAGAGTTTTCCATACTTGAGTTTTACCACAACCGGCATTGCCAACAACAAACACTGAATGTCGAACTTCTAATAACTCTTCCAGTTGGACAACTTTCATAACGAAATTGTCTTCAGCTTGCAGGAGAAGATCTCTAGCTGCTTGTTTTACAATCTTCTCGAAATCCAAATCTCTCCTGCGTGGTACATCTATTGCCGGGAATAAGTCGCTAACAAGACCAATAAATACTGACATGTCATCAATTACAATCTTAGGAATATTGAAGTCCCGTAGCGTCCTCATCAACACTTCTTCTTCAGGACGGCCAGGGTCTCCTCTCTAAAGAAATTAATATTTAACATTAGGCTATTTTCGATTATAAAGACCTCAAAGTGTGTGTGTACAGCTAAAACTTACCTTCAAAGACCCCGCTACTACTAATACAGATTTTATAGCTCTCAGTCCCCAATCATAATGATCTTGCTTCGACAACAGTTCCTTACATAAAGTGTACAAAGTTATAAACTTGCTTGCAAGGATTTTCGCCTCTTGGAAACCCTCAGCTACCAACATGATTTCACAAATCAATTCGAAATCTGGTACAACCATGGCGCAAGGTCTGAACAGTGCCTTTAGATTTTCTGGCAATTCTGTTCTGCCTGCGTAGCCAGGGTTCATTGTTACAAATACTCCAACGCTTGGTACTAATGATATTATTTCTCCCATAAAATTGAACTGCTGTTTTTTGTCCCTGAAATATCACAAAAATAGGCAATATTGTAGCTTTTAGACAATCTTAATAAAAAAATCATTTTTGATTGCTAGGTATCTTACCTTATGGCATCCTGTATAGATTTCACTTGTACTGCTACTACGGATAGCACTTCAACAGAGATCCTGTTGAACTCATCAAAGCATCCCCAAGCTCCTGTTTGTGCTAATCCTTTGTAAATATTGCCACAAGACTGAAAACCATTATTTTTGATAATACATTCCGTGCATCATATTATTCAAAAACATTTCTTTATGATAGCGTTATTCACCTGGTAATCCATTTGTTCAGAGCAATTGAAGACATAAACCATAATGCCCAAGGCTCTTCCTAAGTCTTTCGTAGTTTCTGTTTTCCCTGTACCAGCTGGGCCTGCTGGGCCTCCTCCCATTATAAGATGTAAAGACTTTAAAGGAACAAAAAAGTTAATTAACCACATTTAAAATGTGGTATGGTAAATGTGAATGTATTACATATTTCATGAGCAGTTCCTGGTAGACCCTATGGAAAGAAACTGACCTGAGTTAGCGTGATGTAGCACCTGTCAGTCAATGGTGTTATGACCAGTCTTGGGGTGTTTCCCAAGTATTCGTAACTGTATTTGAATTGCGCGTCGCAGATATTAGCAAAACAGTGCCCTTCAGCCTTGCCCCATCTATAAAAATGATATCTACACCTCATAAAGTCATTAATAATTTCCTTGGTCAAATTGAAAAACGGAACACCGTCACCGAACAAGTTGCAAAATTTATTAAAATTTTGCTCACATCACTACTCAGTTTTTTAGAGTTCGTATTTCATCATTTTGTCTTTTAATATTATAAGTTGTGAATAATTTAGAAACATATTATTTACCAAGGCTTGGAGTGTGTCCACTGCAAACTGGAAATTCTTCTACGTGTAATTGCTCCTATAGATGTAAAAAGATAATGATGTGCTAATTATTCCAATATAAAATTATTTAAATAATATTATGTAAACGATTTTTTATAATTGATTTATAAATTGAATATATTAAAAAGTGCGTGTCTAATTTAATACCATTTATTCATAACTTTATTAATTAATTTAATTACTTTAAAATATCTAGAGTTATATGACTAATTTGGTTATGTTCCGGAATTAGTATTATTCATTTGACAGTGAAAAAGAAGTGAAAATTTATATCTTATGAGCAAGAGACAACAGTGCATTTGATTTCAATTTACTAATTATTGTAATATTGTTTCTTAAAACCTGTGTCTCAGTTGCGATTGCCATTGAAAAGATGAACCTTCATCCACTTTAGCCAAGATCAATTTGTTGACTACATCTCTCGAATGGACATCAATAGTACAAATCGTCATCACCTTCTGCCTGTCCTGCTTACTGAGCTCCCCTATTAGTAACGTGATCAACGTACTAAGTTGATGCAACTGTTTCTTGTAATAATCTTTCAAACCATTTTCGTAACCACCTTCTATTCTTACAAAGGCGTTATTCACTTCGGTGGTCCACCAAATTTGCGAACCACAGAGAGATACTTGGGCCATGAAATCGAAAAGCCACTCTTCTCGTGGTTTTACTTCGAGAGAGATTACAGCATCTTCAAAATATTGACGAATCGTGGACCTCATCATGTCTTGGAGTCTATTTAACCATATTTCTACCTGTAATTTTGTGAACAGTTACATAGATACCATCTGTTGAATTAGGTTCTCGAACACGATGTTAAAAGTACGCCAGATACTTACTGGGCCAGTACAGTCACACGTCCCGTGGAATGTCACATATTCAGTGTCCTTGGCTATCATTCCCATTGCCAATTTTTCTTCTGGGTTCTCGCTTTCAATAAACCTCAGAATTGCCATTGAGTCAAAAAGTTTTGTGAGATGTCTAAAAATATTAAGTTATGAAACTTATGCCTACTGTACTTTTTAGGAATACAAATGTAATCGCCTATGTATTGTTTTACCTTATTACAAGATCAGCTTGATCACCATTAGACAAAATATCCAAAAGGTCCGCGGAGGACACGAAATAAAATCTTGGGAATGCCAATCTTTTCGTTTCTAAATATTCCGAGAGTGCTTTCTCGCAAAGAAGCAAATCATTCTGTAAATCTTCGAGTTTCTCAATTAACCCTTCTTGGTTAGTTCCTTTCACTACGTTTGGAGTTTTGGCCATTTCTATGGATAAATTCTAGAAAGAACATAATAAAATGTAAATTAGGTACTGGATGGGATTCTTAAATCCCAATGAGGCGGGTCGTTACATTCCCTCTAATATGGTCGAGTGAAGCGATNTTTCGTTAAAATCCGTCGAGTAGTTTTTGTTTCTATAAGGAACATACAGACAGACAGACAGACAGACAGACAGACAGACAGAAAGACAGACAGACAGACAAAAATTTTACTGATTGCATTTTTGGCATCAGTATCGATCACTAATCACCCCCTGATAGTTATTTTGAAAATATATTTAATGTACAGAATTGACCTCTTTACAGATTTATTATAAGTATAGATGAAACTTATGCCTACTGTACTTTTTAGGAATACAAATCTAATCGCCTATGTATTGTTTTACCTTATTACAAGATCAGCTTGATCACCATTAGACAAAATATCCAAAAGGTCCGCGGAGGACACGAAATAAAATCTTGGGAATGCCAATCTTTTAGTTTCTAAATATTCCGAGAGTGCTTTCTCGCAAAGAAGCAAATCCTTCTGTAAATCTTCGAGTTTCTCAATTAACCCTTCTTGGTTAGTTCCTTTCACTACGTTTGGAGTTTTGGCCATTTCTATAGATAAATTCTAGAAAGAAAATAATAAAATGTAAATGAAATTGAAATCCCAATCCCAAATCCCAACCGGTGATTATATTCTAGCTTTCTTTTTTTACAATGAAAAATACTTAAAACATAATAGGTACCCTAAATGCTGCATCAATTTTATCAAATCTGTCTGAATCTTCAGGTAATTGTATCCTGATGTCATCAGAGCTCATAAATATGCTCTCCATGTTAGCCCAAGTCCGCTGCACTTCGAACCACATGGTAATCACTTGGTCTGCGGTGGATAACTTGTGCTGCCAGCACGAGACTTCTTTCAAGAAGTGCGCAATATACTTTGACGTCATTAAATTTTGGACCAAAACCTAAAAAATATCTCAAATTTATTTTGTGCTTGTCACTCATCCAACATAGCATATTCTACAAATCGCAAAGCCTGGGTACCTACCTGATTTTCTTCTAAAGTTTCTATCAGCTCTTCCCTAGCTTTTAGCAATAGGGCACCATTTTTTGGATGGATGTCTTGATCAAACTCCATTCTTTTCCATGTCGCATCTAGGTCTCTAAGAACTTTTTCCATTGACATCTCTTTTACAGCTTTGTCTACTATATTTTTTACTTCCTCCACACATTCGTGAAGGTTCAGAAGTAGCAAATCAGCGAGTGTGGCATTATCATCCATTACAATTCGAATCTAATAAAATCATAATTATTTCTATATTAAATTGTTCAGCAAGAATACCTGCACGCCATTACTTATTAAAACGGTGTACTTACTGTAAGCTCTGAGGGTAAAGCGGCCAAACTCTATAAACCATAAAATGTTGATATTCAATTATTCCATTTAAAACATATAAAGAGAAACACTTAAAAAACATTAACCAACCTTCGTGCTTGTCAGTAACTGATCCCAGTGACGATCTCTGATGGCTGGATTTTGCAGTTCACCAACAGCTCGCACAGACGTCAACATATTTTTTACATTAGCCTCTAAGTTGATGTAAGTATCCCAACTACAAATAAACACAATCATCATTGGTGATCAATAGATTAATTGCATTTAAGTTTCTTTAATTATTGAAATAAAATAATCATACCCCCTCATTTCCTTATCTAAAAGTCTGATTTCTTTTGCAAACTTTTTACATTCTATGTCCATGTTTTCCACGTCAATTTTCCGCCATGGAGTAGTTTTCCAATTCTCAATGCTAGTTTTCACTATGTAAACGTAGTCCCAAAGTTGCTGAAAGCATACAATGGTTAAGCCATAAGCGTTTATTTCTAACTATAATTAAATTAATCAAAATTATTTTATGTACCTTTAACATTCGCAGTTCTTTTCTACATTGCTTCAGTATCTTAAACTCTGGCACATTCACTTCAAACAATGAACCGGATTCTTGTATATTATTCATTTCTGTTTCTAAATGAGACATCTCTAAATCCACTCTGGCCATCACTTCGTACGGATTTTGACAGTCGAATTTAAAAAACTGCAAAGATCATTATAATTAAGTATAACATAAATATCTTTTAAAATTACCTCGTCTATCGTGGTATGTTATGCATTACAAGTATAGTTTAAACTACTAGATAGTTAAACATTAACCTACAATGAGCTATTAGAGCATATTCACGGGTATTATCTCTGATAGGTGATAATATCTCGAGCATAAAATACTGTCGGTTCATATTTTACGTAAGCAAAGAACTTCATAACAAGCGAGCATCATTATGATTTTAACAAACGGTATCAAATAGGTAATAACAAAAATCTGTCAGTCAATACATACGTTGTATCTTTTAAACACTTCCTTGTAGTGTATAGCTAGTGCGTCAAATATTTTTATTTTCTCTTTGATGCCACTAACTTCAGCTTGTTGTAGAGCAGCAACTGTTTGTTTTACTGTTCCTGCTAATTTCTTAGTTGCTGCCCATTGTAGAGGTAGTTCCTTAAATAATAATATTATGGTTAAAAATATTTTATCTTAAACAACTCTTCCTGATGAAATTTCTAATTCGTTCTAAGCTCTACTGCAATTTTTAGATCTACTACTAATCTGCGGTTAATTACATTACTAATTACCTACCTGAAGTAAAACGTTAACTTCCTCAGGTATATCAACCAAGTAGAACTTGAGGAGATTGATAGTCTCTGTGACTGGTTGAAACATTTTATCAGTAGCTTCAGTCCGATCTTTGACGTTCATCAAATACCCCATCACATTAATAAGAGCTTGATAATCACCTTCCACTACAGGCTGAATAAGTCCTACAAAACATACATCAGAATAATTGTGGATATTAGAAAGTCACAACTTTTGATATTTTGACTTCAGTGGGCTAACCTACCTTCGTCAGCTTTACGAATGAAATTACCCAAATCAGTCAAGTTTGATGTCACAAGCTCTACCAAATGTTCTTTGTACATATTTCCCCATTTTCTAGTCAAATTTAAGAGGGCTTGCAAGAAGGGCCTGATGTCGACCTGCAACACAGTTTTGTGTATGAAGATGTCTCTATCTAAGCTGATCCCAGTACTTCCTTCATTTAAAAACAGCATAAAGAGTTACCTGAAACCAACAATCAAATACTTTGTATGGATCAATTTCTTCAATCTCCAAGAAAAGATTTTCAAAATGATCTATTTGCTGTCTAAATCCTTTCATCGTAGGAGCACGTGCTTTAGGTGCTGGATTTTCGTCATCTTCTGAACCAATCCTATCCATCTCTTCTGGTGTTAGTATTCTTCCATAGGTTAAAAATATCTCCATAACTCCATCTCTTTCTTCTAACCAGAGGTAATAGTAAGGTTCAAATGTTTTGCAGAATTTATTAGCGTCGTCTATTACCTTATTTACCTCATTTATGATCTCATTTTTAATTTCTATAATAACGCTATTATTTAGAATTTCGTGTTCATAGGATGTTTCTTTAGAAACGTCGATTCTTTCAATGAGGGTGGACATTTTTAGTATGTCTTCAATTATCCCTTTCAATATAGCCATTAAGCCTTTTTCATCATTTACATCTAAAGTTGGATCGAAAACCATTTCAGGATCCAAAAGTTCTAATTGAGCTTTCAACAATGGAGCCAGATTATGTTTAGGGTTCATATGCTCAGAAATATAGCCCAAACTAAAATAAAGAACGTATCAACATAAACCTATCCAATTTATACTAAAACATTGTAATTTGATTAAAATTGTACTCAAATTACGAGCTGACACTTACCTACAAGCAATACATTTATACAAAGAGTCTTCCATCAAATCGTCGACAAAAGCAACGTATTTTTTCCAAGCTTCACAGTCTTGGTTTTCTTGCATGTTAAACAATTCCATATTCTGTCTTATAAGTTCACGAATACGTTCGGCAGTTTTGATTATAGTATCATAACGTTTATTTTTCTTATCTTGCCTATCTTCTAAATTAAGGAGCGTATCCTACGATAGTATTAGGAATAATGAAAGTACCTACAAGTTTAAAAAGATCATAGAAATTTAGTAAGCTAGTAATGATTACCTTCCTCCCTTCCTTTCTTTCAAAAAGAGGTAGACACTCCCACTCACGCATAACGGCTCTTATGTCTTTAAAATTAGCTTGTACTTTTCCCATTCTTTCATATAAATTACCTACTAACTTGTGCAGCTCCTGCAAATGCTCCCACAGATCTTAAATAAACAAAGGCATATTATTTAACTCCAAACACACACACCAAAGACACATTAAATTAATTTGTTATTAACTGAAACATACTTGGCGAATTCCAATTTAATTCGTTTTCAGATATTTCAATTAAGTGATCGATTGCCTTTATTTCTTTCTCCACTAAATCAAATTCTACTTGCTGACTATTTTCTCTCAATTCATTATACCATTTCAATGTAATCCCTAAGTTTATTTGATACAGTCTATAAGTATCTTGTTTTTTAAATAAATCTAGACCTTCTTTCGGTATATCGTTTTGAAACTCTGGATTTCTGAGTAGCTGATGAATTTCTTTCATTATATCTAAAATCTGAAGAGCATTCTGTCATTACTAAAGTACAAGGTATTACAATAACAACTATACGAACTTTTAATGACAAGAAAATCTTCAATAATAGTCATTTAGTTGAAATACTTACTTTTGGACTAAAGTTTGATATAAAATCGCTACTCTGACGAGCTATAATCGAATTATTAATCTTTTCTTCAATAGTGTATGGCACATTTATTGCCCACCCGCGAAAATATTTATGTTTGAAATCATTGATGTCCGCAATGAGTTTATCGTATCTTTCGAACAGTTTGATTGCCTCATCCGCACCCTTTATGCTATACACGGGTAAATTGAATCAAAATCTGTTCACTGAAAACATAATCTAAAGCGATTTTATAATGTGTATTGTGCATAACAACAGCTCTAACGACTACAGTTTTTCAATTTTCATTTGTGTTTTTCTACAACATCTAATGCGGTGTATTCTGCGCTGAATGCATCTAAATAAAAATGGGTCTCTCACGATTTTCAGGTGTGGTCTAATGCAAGTGTTGATCGTAAGTCTCCAATCGGCTTTCGCAATTTGCCCCACCCAGGTCAACTTACGGGTGCGGCAAATTGCGAAAGCTGACTACAGGCTTGGTGATCCTGGCAGCCAGCGTCGACATGAATGCCAATCCTCCTGCTACGGGAGGCATGTAAACATCAATCTCCATAATACCGAAGTTTTCAAGACGTTCAAGTTGCTCGTTGTACTTCGTCTGTGAAAGTGGTAGAGTTCGATGAGTTGGTATAGAGTCTCAACGAAATAAATCGATTGTGGGATCACACTTACTTCGCATGCTGTCATTTCTTTGTCGAGCATATCAATTATCTCGGCGAACTTAGCTGCGAATTGACTCTTTATCAAAGGGCGATCCAATATTGTTCCAGCTATTTCGATCAGCTGCAAAAATATAAGCTCATGTTAAACTTTCCTTCACAATTATTTCTGATTTATAGCGTAATATTACCTACCTTGAATATATCATCCAGTGTAGGATAGTTATCAAAAGCGTCAACTAAAACAGTTGCCAATTTTAAATCCAAATCAATGATATTTTCTTGAAATCCTTTGAAATCTGCTATAAACCTTACGTCATCAGGGTCGAGAACATCGTAAGTCTTTGACGCGAAACCTTGATAGTAAGATTCGAATTCTGTTGAAATCTCCCTCAACTCCCCACTGAGTATTTTACCTTTGATGCCACCTATTTCTATGTTATCTAGTTTCCGGAATTCTAAGACCGTTTCAAAAAACCACAGAATAGTAGTGAGCCGTTCTGAAAATTTATCCAGTCTTTCAAAAACGGCGTTTGTATCGAAGACCCACGGTGATACTTTTCTTTCCCCAAAGTATTTCTGCAAGTTGTCTTTAAAGTAATCAAAAGTAGTCCTATAGTCCTTTATAGCTTCAATGCTTAGGCGTATGCGCAACGCTGCTTCAGTGATATCACTTTGAAAGATGGTTGTTGGATCAAGACATTTTTTCGCCTAAAATAATCAAAAATAAACCATAAGTTCAGAAATCTATTGTTAATTTCCGAATCGATAACTTCACCTACCGTATAAATAAGTAGATTATTTATTTGCTTCAGCAGCACAATCAACTTTGAAGAACTACAGTAGTATTTGGAGTCTCGCCAAATCATGCAAATCACATGAAACATTGGTCGAAACAAGACTTGACATTCCGTGAAATCGGCTATTTCTAATTTGAAGAAGTGTTTGTCTAAAGTATGGATATACAAGTCGATTTCTTTTGCTTCTTCTAAAGCTAAAATAAAGTAAGTTACATTAATAAGTAATGGTTAATAATAAAATTACTAACGTGCTGGTAGACACCAAGAAACATAATTTTTAAAATTTTTTGGGGGAAGAAGGAACTGATATACGCTCAAACTCTTTCGTAACTTGACTAGAATCATTCAAGAGGTCTTACCAGAGATGGTGTTTTTGTACAATCGGCTGTAGCAAGGGTAATAAGCAGAGGAAGTCTTCTCGAGTATGACGGACATGCAGCGCACGCGCTCGCTGCACAGCTGGTCGTAAATGTAGTTCAGGTTGTTGAGCCTGGACCTCCAATAGGCGAGCTCTATGAAGATTATAATAAAGAATTTTAATTATTATACTCATGGCCCGGTGTTAAATGTTTCTTTACAGGTGGTGAATAAAGTTGAATTATTCAGAAATTCAATATAATACGAGTATACCGCACCAAATTAAAAGAAAGTGAGGAATGAGTTCTTACCAACACTCGGCAGTGGGTTCTGTCCATTCTCGAAAGCCAGTGCAGAGTCATCGTTCATGACGTCATTGACCTGCTGAGCCCACTTGATGACGACGCCTTCAATAGCGCTCTTTAGGTACAGATCCACCTCCTCGCCTCTCAGCACTTGCTTCTCCGCATCATGGACTAGTTCTACCCCCACTGGTAGAGGGAGTATGGTCTGGCCGTTTACTTTGCCTTTTACCTACACATTTAAAAATAAGTTATAAATAGGTACAGTTACTCTCTTTGGGAATGCTTACCTATGAAAAAAATGCATATTGTTTTAATTATTTTTAGCCGTAGACAATTCCAAAATTGTTGTGCTTTTAAATTCAGAGAGAATGGACTCTATTGTAGCCATGTTGGCGAGTAAGTAATAGGTATGTTTACTAAATTACCTCATTAACAGTGCTCTTCAAATTATGGATCTGCTTCAGGATATCCTGGGACACGACGAGGGGCCACCCTTCGTGGTTGATGGGGTTCGACAGCAGAGGCACGAATATTTCGTCCACCAAAGACGCTAGTTCGTCTATTAGTTTTGGTGCCAGATCACCTAATTCAAACACAAAAAAATGTTTGTTTCAAATTCATATGTCACCCTATTAGGTTCATACTATAAAACTTGAAGTCTAAAATAATAAGTGATTGCACACATACCATAAATAAGCATTTCACCACACCCTTCCTTCGGGACGACATCTGGCATCGACTTCACGAAGTAACATGACTTGTTCTTCAAATTGCACGGAAAGGACACCACCGGGACGAGCTGGTTGGCATTCGTCAACACCACCACCAACAGCAAAGGCAGAGGCTGGTTGAGGAACTGGTCTACTACGGCTTTGTACTCCTCTGTAGTTATAACTCGAAGCCATTTTTCTGGTTTCAACTTCAGGGCTTTCAACGTGAAGAGTCCTATGAAGTCGTAGCGGGGGTCTTGGGTAGGGGCAGGCGGCAGATCCATTCCTTAGGTTTTGTTTCCCATAGTTCTATAATAGTGGTTGGAGTGCCGGTACTTTGTGCTGAGTTGTTTTGCTACTGAAGTCCTACCGCGCTGATGCGATGACGGTCGGATATAGTCTGACGGTAAGTCGGCTTGGTTGAGCTGGTGAGCAGTAGTCACGCAAGTCTGCACAGCCTTGACGATATCCCTCTCTAACGAGCATCGGATGCCTTTTTGAATAATTGGGTACAGTGCGCAAACATTGTTTCGAATCAGTTTTTAATATACCTCTACTTACTGAGGTAAATAACTTACAAAATTATGCAATACCGAACTCGTTAAGCTTAAATACCAAAATGAATTGACAATAATTAAGTTGAATTAATGCAAAAAGCGATAATACTTGATTGTGGGATAGGTAAATACGAGTAAGTCACACATACAATTTGATTTTAATAAGAAATATGATACCCGAACTTTGAAAGCACGCGTGCTGTTAGGTAAGTACCGTACGTCTGAGGGTTCATACTATATCAGACGCCTAAAAGCGTCTTAATAACACACGTACGTACTTTAATTTCATAACAAAAACTATTTTGCCCGCAGTACTTACGATTGCCCACGAGAGAAGCGCGTGCCAGGGCGAAAGCGCGCCGCCCTATCCGCCCGCCCGAGATGTCACCTCGACGTGGAACTCAAAGCATCGCTCTGAGAAAGGACTCAAGTTATAAGCTGAAACGTAAATCTTAAAAAATATGACAATAGATTGGGGAACTAAAATTATGAAAGTTGAAGACACTAGCGGGATGATGAAAATTTTGACTGCCAGTGCCAATACAATTTACACACCTGTTAAGGTTTTGAGGAATATTTTTACCAAAATATTTAACTCGCAATATTCTGTTTCGATAAAAAATAAATAATAATAAACAACATTTCATTTCTCTGATAAAAAAATAAAAAACGTACTTACCTTCTAACTTGAGCTCGTAGCAGTTTCACTTTCACCATACAAGTCATTTTCCCGCGTAAATTATGCAATAACTAATCTGTGGCAATGAAAATAATTATTTTCTTGACTGCCAGTTTATCCTGTAGTTTATCCCAGAAAATAAAGTGATGAAACCTTACACAACTTTTTTTTTTATTAATAAAGATGTTTTTTTAATTTTCGTGGTCCATTTTTATAGTTTGATACATTTGATAAAGTAAATTCATTGTTTTCTACACCAAAAATGTTATGATTACAAAAGTAGATAAAATTTTAAAAAATACCTGTTTCTCAGTTCTTAGACCACCACCAAAGCGGAGGCAATAAATTCAAAGAATAGAATTATTAGACGTCACCATGAAAAGCAGTTGTTGTTTCAATATTGGTTTTATTGGCGACCTATTTAGTTTTTCATAATTACCATAATCCGATTAATTATGTATTTAATTGCTTTATAAAAGACTAACGACTACATACAATTTCTAGTTTATGGTAGTTTTCTAGGTTTCTTTTGTCTATCTACAGTATTTTCATAGCTATAAAGAGAATAAAAATGTATAGGTACTGATCTGGATAGTAACTACTAACTGTTGTAACATCAACTATTGATAACAAAAATCTATGACTCTGTCTTCTAGTCATGCTTATTTACTAAAGCCCGGTCCGTGAGCACGGAGAATTTTGTCCAATGACCTCTAGCTACCCATCCATATCGCTCGCGCGTAATTATATTGCTGTCGCGACTGTGCGACTGGCACCCGCAGTGAGTGTGCGAGCGCGATAGCAACATAATTACGCGCGAGCGATAAGGATGGGTAGCTAGGGGTCATTGGACAAAATTCTACGTGCTCACGGACCAGACTATAGTTTCTCTAAGATTAACTAATAATTTAGTCAAAGAAGGGTAGATAATGAAAACAACTAAATTAATTTATCATACATTTATTGATAATGACAGCGATGGTTGACTCGAATTTGCTACTTGGCAAAAATATTTCCACTAGAAGTGAACTATTTCCATATTTAAATATTAAAATGTCTTTATAATTTATTATGCTCAGGTGTTTACAGAAAGATGCAACCATCTACCTACCCTACCAAGTAGCTGCCAATAAGTCCAATCGTCAAGAAATAATCAAGAATACAATATGGTTTGTGATCTTTATTTTATATTACATGTCCGACACTGGCAACTTAAATAACCTTGTAATCTATGCTAAATGAATCATGCATCGCTTCACAAACCTAATTAATTACATTATCATCGTAAAAGCTCATGATTTGTTGGATGCAATAAATACAAAATCATCTACATGAAATAATAATTATAAACAAATAATTTCATTTACTTAAAAACTAATTGTTTAAAACAAAAGCACAGCACATGGTCAGCTTAGTTACTATTAAATTAATTTAGGACCTACCAGACGCTGCTTTTAAGGTCGCTATTAGCCTAATACTAGGAGCCCTAGTGCATACTTTGCCTCGAATGCCATACTTCGTTCCTTCGCTGCTACATCCATCAGTCGATGATGAAACGGGCGGGCTTCGGAATCATAAATAGTTCTTTTTCTAACATAATAGTATTTTATATAGTTTTATCCCGCTCTAACTCAATGGGTATAGGCGCGACAGCACTACAAAAATACGATTATAGAAGAAAAAATCCGATAAGATTCCGATACAACATAGAACGTGTAGACCCTCGCGCGGGCCGCCTCTATACAAAAATAACGAACCCGCAATTTTTTAAGGTCAGGTCTACACAATTTATCCGTTGTTTCCACGCCTGTTCCACCAGGGACCTTTAGTTCCAACCCTTTGCCCATGACCTACCGACACTACTGGACACAAGCACATCGAGAGGTTCAAAGACATCCTACAATATTTCAAAGTTATAATCAATATTTCATTTAGACTGTTTACTTCGACTACACATTGAGCTGTCCTAGTTAGGGCCAGAATTATTTATACACTGGTCTATACTTTTACATTAAAGTCAAAATCGTAAAATGCAAAAATTAACGCCATTTAAGTCACAACTGTTAGAAATCTAAATCATCAGTGAATACTGACAAATTACTCTACTGAATTCTGCTAGAACGATAAATGTATAGAAAAAATGGAATGTTTAAGTACGACAGTCTAATAAGCATTCGATAAATGTTAATGGTGATAACTATTACGTGAGACAATATGATGTCAGTCAACGCTTAAATTATTTAGGTCGCGGCCCCACTACACAAGCTTCTAAGTCGAGATATACTTTGATGTTTAATATTTTACATCCTATATCATTTATTAAACTAACCGATAAATGTGTCTCCGAAAAACCGCTTGCAGTAGAACCGCACCTTACGAGTTGGCGTTAAATTCTCGAGTGCATTGAAACAGCGATTTAAATATTTTTGATATTTTTGTATTTTAACGTGAGTACTTAATTCTTTAATGTTAATATACATATGTTTACAGGAATGGAGGCAAGTGGCGGGCTATAATGAACGCTGAAATTGGAACTCTTACAAACACTAGTAAATAACGAGGCATTTAAACTATCTGTGTACTTGTTAAGTGTACTTACGATCGATTACGTTTCTAAGAGGATGGAATATACATTAGGTGAGCTAGTCTATGCTGCCCGGAGGCGGGCAATGTGGACATTTCCTAACACTCGATTACACGCGTCCTACGCCGCTATAACTTCTGATACTATCTTCACAAAAAATGCCAAAATAACTACCACACATTCATATGTGGCACGAGCGAGGACACTGCTCGCTTCACTATTTATTAGATAGAACTCTCATCGAATTTATTGTTCGCAAGTGGATGGAGATAATAAATTGAGGACATTTTCACTAGTGACACATTATAATATTTATTTTTAATTTACAGCGTGCTGATATACACACGTATTTTTTACAATTCAGATTACCTACACAACCTAATCGATATAATTTTATGGCACAAGCGATAAGCGATATATTACTAATGATTTAATTAAATGGCCGTAATTTATATTAGTGTACAAAACGAGAGTCATTAACGCAGCTTAACATAATGGACAGCCTTGTTTTACTCTTTCTATGAATATATTTCAGAATTTCCAAAATTGTATGGAAGTCAGCCTTCATTTCGCTTATCACTTGGACCACACAACGAAAGTCAATCAAAGTTCGGGCATCAGTATTTTCCGTCAAAATGGTTTGTTAGTGTACTAAGTACAAGTCTTTTATAGGACGAAGATGTAATATTGGACGATTTCGAAAATTTTAAAGGGTAAAAAGCAGACGAGAAAATGTATAAGGGCTAACGCGTGGCAAGAAACTATCACATATACACTGGCAATCGTGTGTACAACACATATGAGCAATAGGTCGAAATTAAAGTACATCGCTAGGAATCATTCGATAAAAATACATTTTAATAAAAGTCGTTTGTGAAATGCGTGTCTATGAAGTGTGCGGCGCAAGCGCACAGACCTGACGTTCCCGCGGGAACGTGGGCCTGTGCTGTATCCATAGACAAGAAAAGCATTAGTCAATGAGCTAAAATACATAAATAATTTACGATAACATCTATACCACAAACTATACAGTAAAAAATTCTATACAAATAATGCATCGAACCTTATCACCGATCACAAAAAAATTCATTGGTTCTAAAATTATCAAATAAAATAATACACACACAAAAATTCACATATTTACATGGAAATCATATAATAAAATTAAATCACATAATTTCATACTATTTACATATCGTGTAATGTAAAATTTAAGTCGATAACGTCAAAGAAGTAAAAAATACTTGTACCTAACATTTGCGATCTTCGGAAACGTCGTCGATGTATCTGCGCGGTTTTATTGAGCGTATCAATAAAATTGAGATCATCTTGTTTCCCCAGCTGCGGGCCAACAACTTAACAAATAAAGGCTTGCGTATTGCTTCACGACGCGGTAACGGAAGATAAACGTCTAAACTTTGATTTGTTTCATTCGAATCAGCAGAGTCACATTAAGAGTGTAACCAGTTTTGTAAATTACAGTATTGCCACCAAAAAAAAATTGAAACATTTCATTTTTATCATGCCGATAATTACATACGCTGGTCACGGAATATCACATTAGCTGTCCGCCATATTGCACTTAATTCTAAATGTCATTTACTGATTCGAACTAAACAAATCCAACTATAGTATACAAAAGCACCATACGCGTGACACGACTGCAACAGAAACGGTATCTACACAGGCTGTGGACGTGGTCGCTTCGGTCCGGTGGCTGAGGGTTTATTTGCTCCTAGTCTTGATGCCCACGGCGTTTATGCTCTCGCCGCGACTTCTTGATCTGTGCAAGTTGTGAAGGCCTTCACCTGAAACAATTAAATTGTTATGAGTAACTATTATCTTTATTCACGCCTACTATGTGACATGGCGTTAGTGATCGCTAGTATGGCAGATGGCTATGGTATGCCCGTGAATGGCAGTCACGTGCTTCTGTGTGGACGTGTGACATAAGTGCCCGTAGATGGTTGTGTTCTGGTGTAATACAGGGATACATTTAAGCGACACACGTTAGTGGTCGATTTCTTCCATGAGTAAATATCTTGCCACTCCCTGCACTGATTTTCTATTGTTTTGATGCTGTGCAGTGTCGGTAATCAAGATTGTGTATGTTTACGCAGCCCCTTAGTGACTCACTAATGATCTGTAGAGTCACATGTTATGTGCACCAGTGTTCGGCCGAGTCACGCGGCAATACTTTCACATTCAGTGGTTGTTAGTATATCAAAAGTTACCTACAGGCGCGCGCGCTGCATCCACAGCAGTCGTGCGCCAGTGCGCCTTGTCAGGCAACAACTAAACACTATTAACCTATAGAGTCCCGATTTATGCGCACCAGTGATCAATCGCGTCCCGTAGTGTGCCCGCCAGTGGTCCATGGGCTCCATAGCGTTACTACTGGGCTATACACCAGTGTATGTTATGGTCACTTGGAATGTATAGTATTTCTTGCCTTTGCCTACCTTTGATGGAAGCGCAATCCTGCTCCTTGTAGGCACGCGCGGTCATGCGCCAGCTAGTCAGGCAGCAGCTATTCACTAATGACCTATAGTCACGTGGTATTCGTACCAGTGACTGGTAGCATCTGGTAGTCACGTGGTATACGAGCCAATGGTTCAATCGTGTCACGTGGTCTGCGCCACAGTGCACTATGTACGTTAGGGTTACGTGAAATGTAGTGTTTCTTGCCTTTGCCTACCTTTGATGAAGACACGCTCCTGCTCCTTAAAGGGGCGCGCGCGCTGCGTCCGCGGCGGTCGTGCGCCAGCTTGTCTCACATTGTAGTCACGTGTTATGCAAGCCAGTGGCGCCACAGTGAACTAGTATACGTCATGGTCACGTGAAATGTAGTGTTTCTTGCCTTTGCGTACCTTTGATGGAGGCACGCTCCTGCTCCTTGTAGGCGCGCGCGCTTCGTCCGCGGCGGTCGTGCGCCAGCTTGTCGGACCACAACTAAACACTGCTGACCTATAGTCACGTCGTATGCGCACCAGTGGCTGGGAGTCACGTGACAAGCGAGCCAGTGGTCAATCGTGTCACGTGGTCTGCGCCACAGTGCACTAGTGTACGTTAGGGTCAAATGTAATGTACACTGTTTCTTGCCTTTGCGTACCTTTGATGGAGGCGCGCTCCTGCTCCTTGTAGGCGCGCGCGCTTCGTCCGCGGCGGTCGTGCGCCAGCTTGTCGGACCACAACTAAACGCTACTGACCTATAGTCACGTTGTATGCGCACCAGTGGCCGGTAGTAGTTACATGGTATACGAGCTAGTTGTCGATAGCGTCACCTGGTCTTCCACCGGTGTACGCTAGGGTCACGTAAAATGTGTGTCAATGGTAGTGTTTCTTGCCTTTGCGTACCTTTGATGGAGGCGCGCTCCTGCTCCTTGTAGGCGCGCGCGCTGCGGTCGTGCGCCAGCTTGTCGGGCCACAACTAAACGCTACTGACCTATAGAGTCACGTCGTAGGCGCACCAGTGGCTGGGAGTCACGTGACAAGCGAGCCAGTAGTCAATCGTGTCACGTGGTATACGCCACAGTGCACGAATGTACGGTAGGGTCACGTGAAATACATAATGTATATCAATGGCAGTGTTTCTTGCCTTTGCGTACCTTTGATGGAGGCGCGCTCCTGCTCCTTGTAGGCGCGCGCGCTGCGTCCGCGGCGGTCGTGCGCCAGCTTGTTGGACCGCAGCTATGAGTACACACTAATGACCTATAGTCACGTGGTAAGCGCACCAGTGGTCAATCACGTCCCGTGCGGTGGTGTGTGTTACTACTTGGCTATACACCAGTGTATGTTAAGGTCTCGTGAAATGTGTTTCTTGCCTTTGCCTACCTTTGATGGAGGCGCGCTCCTGCTCCTTGTAGGCGCGCGCGCTGCGTCCGCGGCGGTCGTGCGCCAGCTTGTCGGACCACAACTAAACGCTACTGACCTATAGTCACGTTGTATGCGCACCAGTGGCTGGGAGTCACGTGACAAGCGAGCCAGTGGTCAATCGCGTCCCGTGGTGTGCTAGATAGTGTACGTTAAGGTCACGTGATATGTAGTTTCTTGCCTTTGCGTACCTTTGGTGGAGGCGCGCTCCTGCTCCTTGTAGGCGTGCGCGCGGCCGCGGCGGGCCGTAGCTACACATTAATTACCTATAGTGACGTGGTATGCGTACCAGTGGCTGGGAGTCACGTGATAAGCGAGCCAGTGGTCAATCGTGTCACGTGGTCTGCGCCACAGTGCACTACGTACGTTAGGGTCAAATGAAATGTATAGTGTTTCTTGCCTTAGCCTACCTTTGATGGAGGCGCGCTCCTGCTCCTTGAAGGCGCGCGCGGTCATGCGCCAGCTTGTCGGGCAGCAGCTATTCACTAATGACCTATAGTCACGTGGTATTCGTACCAGTGACTGGTAGCATCTGGTAGTCACGTGGTATACGAGCCAATGGTTCAATCGTGTCACGTGGTCTGCGCCACAGTGCACTATGTACGTTAGGGTTACGTGAAATGTAGTGTTTCTTGCCTTTGCCTACCTTTGATGAAGACACGCTCCTGCTCCTTAAAGGGGCGCGCGCGCTGCGTCCGCGGCGGTCGTGCGCCAGCTTGTCTCACATTGTAGTCACGTGTTATGCAAGCCAGTGGCGCCACAGTGAACTAGTATACGTCATGGTCACGTGAAATGTAGTGTTTCTTGCCTTTGCGTACCTTTGATGGAGGCACGCTCCTGCTCCTTGTAGGCGCGCGCGCTTCGTCCGCGGCGGTCGTGCGCCAGCTTGTCGGACCACAACTAAACACTGCTGACCTATAGTCATATCGTATGCGCACCAGTGGCTGGGAGTCACGTGACAAGCGAGCCAGTGGTCAATCGTGTCACGTGGTATACGCCACAGTGCACGAATGTACGGTAGGGTTACGTGACATACATAATCAATGGTAGTGTTCCTAGTCTTTGCCTGCCTTTGATGGAGGCGCGCTCCTGCTCCTTATATGCACGCGCGCTGCGGCCGTGGTATTCGTACCAGTCGATGGTAGTCACGTGGTTAACGAGCTAGTTGTCGATAGCGTCACCTGGTCTTCCACCGGTGTATGCTAGGGTCACGTAAAATGTGTGTCAATGGTAGTGTTTCTTGCCTTAGCCTACCTTTGATGGAGGCGCGCTCCTGCTCCTTGTAGGCGCGCGTGCTGCGTCCGCGGCGGTCGTGCGCCAGCTTGTCGGGCCGCAGCTATAAGTACACACTAATGACCTATAGTCACGTGGTAAGCGCACCAGTGGTCAATTACGTCTCATGCGGTGGTGTGTGTTACTACTTGGCTATACACCAGTGTATGTTAAGGTCTCGTGAAATGAGTTTCTTGCCTTTGCCTACCTTTGATGGAGGCGCGCTCCTGCTCCTTGTAGGCTAAGGACCTATTAATAGTCACGTGGTATTCGCACCAGTGGTCAATTGCGTCCGGTAGTGTGTGCTTCAGTGGTCCATCGCGTTACTACTTGGCTATTACACCAGTTCATGTTTAAAGTCATGTGAAATGTATACTGTTTCTTGCCTTAGCCTACCTTTGATGGAGGCGCGCTCCTGCTCCTTATATGCGCGCGCGCTGCGTCCGCGGCGGTCGTGCGCCAGCTTGTCGGGCCGCACGAAGATGCCGTGCCGCGGCCGGCACTCGAAGTACCGAGTGCCGCCTACTGAGCCGTCGTTCTTGCCTGCAGAAGAATAAAGTAGTTGAAACAATGCCATTTTCTAGCATAACACTCCCTAGTGTAGTTAGCAGATGCTATAATATTATCTGATAAATCTTGTCTAAGGGTCGATTTTTCAATCGTTAGGTAACTTTTAACCGAAGAATAACCTTGTCATTTTGACATATTTCCCACACTAAAACTGTCAATATGCCAAACTTATTCTTCTTCATTAAAAGTTATCCAGCGATAGAAAAATCTGCCCTAAAACTTACTATTTTGAATAGCTAAGGACTAAAGGATATAAGATTCTGATAATATTTCAAGCATTAGGTAACAGAACGTAGTACCTATAAGATTTTAAACTATGGCGTTCCATTTCAACTAAAATAAAGAAACAAGTTTACTTGTGACTGCGGCTACAGCTTAGCAGCTGAAACGTTAAGCCGTAAGTACATGTAACTTATATAAAAATATCGTGTTGTTGCAGTCCTGGATCTGTCAATAGGCCGTATAGGCCGCGGACTAGGGGCGGCAGCGTCCTAGGGGCGGCAGATTTCAGATGACGCTTACTCGATTCAGAAGATCAAAGTTAAGGGGGTCCTGCACAGAATCCTTAAAATTGTCATATTTTTAAATCACGAGTGCTCTGCGATTAGTGACTTAAATACATCAAAGTAACTTGTGTAGGGTAGCCCAATCCTTGATCTAGGTCGCCGCCTTTTCGAAATTTTGAATAAATACGTAAAAAATTGATAAACAACATTTAAAATGCAGACATATGGAAAATTTATTTCTTCGAGAACTTTGTTAATTTAACGTATGAAGCAATAATTTTTATATGGAAATGCTTAAATTAATATTTTGAAGGTCGCCCCCTTTTTCGTTTTTGGTATTAATGCATTAATATTGAGAATTTTTGATTTTCCCAAAAAAACTTTGCCGTGAAGAAATCATCAGGCGTTTTGCTTTATCGTAGCTGTCAAGTGTCAAATGTGTGTTTGTCAATCCTTTACAGAGTAGTGTAGAGCGCAGAGCATGCAAATAGTATCTCTTTTGTTATGACTTCGATTGTTACGAAAAAATATTTTACTTATTTTATAGTTAATATGGCTAGAAAACCCTTGCAACCTTTCTTTGCCGTTCGTTCGTTTCAGCCGAAAGACGTCCACTGCTGGACAAAGGCCTCCCCCAAGGATTTCCACAAAGACCGGTACCACGCCGCTCGCATCCAGGTACCACCCGCGACCTTCACCAGATCGTCGGTCCACTTAGTAAGAGGCCTGCCCACGCTACGTCTTCCGGCTCGTGGTCGCCGCTCAAGAACATTCCTGCGCCAGCGGCCATCAGCTGTACGAGCTATGTGCCACGCCAAAAAAAATATTATTGAGATTATTTTTATAGGGTTTATTCCAGTCTTAAATAGGTGTACCGTATAAGGTACAGTAGGTCTATGCACGAGCACATCATGCGAAAAAATAAATTTAATTTTTATTATTTTTATTTGTTTTAGGCTATTGATGCTTTACTATATTGCCATAACTCATGAAAAATTTGATAATTTCAGCAAAAATAAAGCAATGTTGGTATTTATCTACTGCTATCTTGTCAGATGACCGCTAATGATGATCAGACTGACGAAGATTTAGGCGATAAAGATAGTGTTAATGTAAATAATTACCCTCAGAGTTTTCTTCGATGAATTTGCTAAATTTCCATCGTCGTGTTGCTAAATGCGATTATGGATAGCACTAAACGTAACAAATCAGAAGAAGCCAGGTCTTCTTCAGCTATCCTCACTAACTTCGGAGAAGGTAGGAAAAAAGAACCAAATGTAGTTAGTATCACAGAAAAAGTCTTACAAAATATGCCATGTGTAATACTAGTGATTATGTGATTTTATTTTTATTTTATATCATACAAAAATAAATAAAAACCTTCTTTGAACAACGACTATGTTTTGTTTGCTTATAGACCTACTGTACCCTATATGGTACGGGCTCCCCACGGCCCCCTATTTATGGAATATTTTTTAAAATATTTTTTTCATGATTTTTAGGCTCCCCTTTGTAAGTTTTTGCTGAAAAATCAAGTTTTATTTACAAAAATAATTATCGGTCTAAATGGGTTAATTTTTTTAATTTTCATACAAAATTAATTTTATAAAATCCGATTTGTATGAAAAATAAAATAATTAAAATGAAGATATCAATTTTCTGACTTCATCATACCATTTATATGACCATGTTAACATAGGCTAGTGTCGGCTCATATACCCATTTACCTAACACCCTGTATAGTTTCCAACATGGCAAAAATCGGAACCAGTTCGGTATTGACGGTGGTGCCCCGCTATCAATGTCACGGGTAGTACAGTTCAGTATATTGGGTCTATAGTATGTGCACCGGCGCCGGTAGTAACGTAGCATGCGCGTCAGTGACCGGTAGTCACGTGGTATGGAGCTAGTGGTTATAACGTCACCTGGTACGGTAGGGTCATGTAAAATGTGTATCAATGGTAGTGTATCTTGCCTTTGCCTACCTTTGATGGAGGCGCGCTCCTGCTCCTTGTAGGCGCGCGCGGTCATGCGCCAGCTTGTCGGGCAGCAGCTATTCACTAATGACCTATAGCCACGTGGTATTCGCACCAGTGACTGGTAGCACCTGGTAGTCACGTGGTATACGAGCCAATGGTTCAATCGCGTCTCGTGGTGTGCTAGATAGTGTACGTTCAGGCACAGAATAATAATAAGTACTACGTACAGAAGTTTTACTTCGCGAAGGTATTTAAAAGAATGTATGCTCAATGTCATTAACAATATGGTGTAATTTAGCCTGTCTCAAGAGTCAAGCACCATTTTGTTGACAAACGTCAGTGATCGGCACTGCGCCGAAGCTATAGGGCTGACTTCGGTAAAATGATGTGACGTGAGGTGCCAAACTGCGGAAAATGGCGGAGGAAATACATGATTTAGCACATTTAGCATGAATTATCATGAATAATATTAACTACTTATTTACCTCTCAGTGTCTTGAGGCAACTTAAAAAAGTACATTCTGTGTTTTTATTATTATTTAGGCAGTTAAATACTGCACAGTATTTAGTACACCATTTTCTTTATTTTCTTCCATCATACACAAGAATACGCGTGCGTGAGTCAATGTTCGCTCGTATGTGAGGCCTTGTCGAATAGTATCCTGTAGGTGGGCCATCGTGCGTGTTTTGTTTTCGATGTAAACTCGCGGAGATGAACATACTCGTCGTAAATCTGCGACTACAGTACAAAGTAGACACGAATTTTGCGTACTGAATACAGTCGTGTTTAATTTTTATTGTGGATGCTCGCTTCTCCGTTTCAAACTATACCTACTACACCACTTACACTTGACAAGAGTGTGAAAAAGTTAGTTTGATACTTATTCAGTAAAATATGGAATTAGATTTAAGAGTATTTTTATTTCTTATTACTTAAATATATTTTATCGAATCAATATAAAACTAGATTTTTAACACTTGCGGGTTTTTCAAAATAAACTGATTAGGTAGGATTAAATAAATAAATCGATCACATTTTTATTTAGAGTAGTAGGTACGCAGTATTTGCGTAACTGCTCATATAGTTTGGAAGAGTTTAGTAAAAAAAAGTTATTTCCAAACTATACTCGATTAGTTTCACACCCTTGCGTTCTGGCCATGTATAGAATGGAAAGACGCTACGTTAACAGCCTATTTGAATTGAACGTCTAGGAAAAATACTCTTTTACGAAACTTTTTTAACGCCTTTGTTCATCAGAAGAATCAATATTAGTTAGGATTTTTATTGTGTAAGAATTTTCGCAGCAATACCAACAAAAAATCAAATCATTCCTTTTTCCTAATTAAAGTATTATAAACTCACGTTTTGTTTAGCAAAATTAGTGAAATACGTGTTTTTACTCTGTATTGAGTCTCTTTTGTCTCTACTCTGTAAAGTAGTTTGTGCGCGATCGTGTTAGTTCGTTGCGCCACCGCTATCTCGGCTAGCAAATCGTAATTTTTCGTCGGCGCTGCACCCCCTTAAATAAAGATTCAACTCCTCCCTAGCCTACGGGCGGCAAAACTGTAAATCCGCCACTGGTATTGATACCCGTGTTTCTCTATTTTAACAGAAAGTAGTTTCAATAATCATAATTTAAAATCAACATCCTAAACCATGACACTTTTTGTGGAACTAAGCTATCTCTAATGAATTGCTGACTGCTATTTTTGGGACACCCTGTATAGACTTTGAATAATAATTTATTGAGGTGGAAGTCTTTAAGAAATTTATTGTTGGACGATCCATCTCACGTAAGGCGTCGGATAACAGATAAAGTAACTGATTTAGGCGGTTATCACACTGCGCCGCGCTCCGCCGCGGAGCGCGTGATTTTCATATAAAAAATCACGCGCGCGGACGCGTTGTCAGTGTGAAGTGCCGCGCGTGTTTTCTATACACACTGAGGTACTTGCATACAATTATTAGATCTGTCGCCCCGCGCTCCGCGGCGGAGCGCGGCGCAGTGTGATAACCGCCTTAATCCCACCTGTGGGCGCGTCCAAGGCCACGCCCACCCAGGGCCCGTGGGCGAAGTGCGTGGGCCCGACGTATGCGACGACGCCGGTGCTGCTGCTCAGCCGCAGCGACACGCTCTCGCCCACCGTCATCCACTCCGGCACCGTGATCGTGCGCGCGCTCTCTGACGACTCGTCTGGAATTTATGACATGGTTAAGTTTGGCGAAATTAGAGGGTTTATTTGGAACGACTGGTGCAAGAGAACCACTAAAAACAAGTTACCTATTTAAATGTAATTAATGTTTTTTTTTTAAGATTATTAGCAATTGGTATTGCACAAATTACTAATAGCCCCTCGTGTTTAGCTAAATAAGCTTGTGTTACGAGTGGGCTCACCATTAATAATCGAGCGGCGCGGCGGTGGGATTCGAAACCGCGTTCGTCTGATCTCTCGCCCAGTCCGACCCATTCACCGTTCGGCTATCATGGCTATAGACACAATTTGAAATTAGCCCAATGGCGACTAATAAAAACACCCATCATGAGAAATACGACAATCTTTTCTCATATTATGTTGAACATCTGGTACTAGATTCGAATAAACGGTGGGACTCAAACTGGGATGACGATATTTTTTTTTGCTTCTGCGCTAATGGGCAGCGACACGCGAATATAAAGGAAACGTAGACCAAATCCTCCATTTGTCTCTGGTTAATTAGAGAAAGTCACCCTCTTTCAGTGGAGACTGAACAACCTAATGGTTATGATGAATCGGCAGCTGAATAGTGCTTATATAGTAGCCATAAGGTTCAACGTACCATCCCCAATGCGCTCAGTAGACGAGGCGGGTGTTTCGTGTAAGTTTCGTTGTGACGCGTGATGCGCTTGGCTGGGCTCGATGGCCGAGCGCGGTCGCGTCGTAGTCGTGCGTCTGTTGCCTCCTGAGCCACTGCCGGTCGCTCGTCTTCGCACCACCTGCAAATGATAGTGCATCAGTACTTTGCTTTTGGTTTTATTTCAATAAAAATAAATAATAAAACGTTTATTGTTGCACTCAATTACAATATAGTATACATAGTATACAAAGGTAGAAAAATATGTATACGTTAATTCCCAAACTAGAAATTTGTATTTTAGGGATCTAAAATTATATGAAACAGCTATGTTAGCAGATGCGCGTAGAGTAGTTGCGAGTGACCTGCTCTCCCATCTTCACTGAATGCACAGCCCAGACTGTGGCGTCTTTGAGCGCGCGCAATAACCGACAAAATCTGGCTCAGTCCGCAGCGACGACATTTGCCTCGCGGTGAGTTGTGCCTCAGAGGGGGAATTGTGTAAAGCACTCGTTATCATTTGACAGTTCATAACATACGATTATTCTGTCAAACACTTTGTACTATAACTGGCTTTATCGTACGTTATGAACTGTCAAACGATTATGATTGCTTTACACAATTCCACATCTGGTTGAGGCATCGTCCCTACTTTAACAGCCGCATGTCGAAGCGGTCGCTCGACCTAAAGCCGGTTTCTACCAAGGCAGGGCGGGGCGGAGAAATGTTTTAATAACCAATCAGATTTCATTCAAATTGAATGAAATTGACAGAATGAAATCTGACTGGTTATTCAAAATATTTCTCTGCTCCACCTTATCTTATCTTATTTAGGGCCGCGCATGGGCGCAGTGCACGTCGACCCATTGGGATCTTTTGTGCTTCCCTATACCTTTATCCCCCCTCATCCGCAAAGATCCTATCCATATAGTGGATCAAGAGCTTGAGTGAGAAGGACCTATATTCTGCTCCACCTTGGTGGAAACGAGATTTACGAGATCGAATCAGAAATGAGGAGATCCGTAAACGAACTAAAGTCGCTGACATAGCCCGACGGATCAGCAAGCTGAAGTGGCAGTGGGCTGGGCACATAGTACGCAGAACTGACGGCCGATGGGGCAGCAAGGTTCTGGAATGGAGGCCACGTACCGGAAAACGCAACGTAGGACGTGGACCGATGACCTGATAAAGGTAGCGGGAAGGCGCTGGATGCAGGCCGCTACCAACCGTGCGATGTGGAAGTCATTGGGGGAGGCCTATGTTCAGCAGTGGACGTCCTGTGGCTGAAATGATGATGATGATGATGATGGTGGAAACGGGGTTTTAGGCTGCCTAGTGGAGTAGTGGAGACTTGGCTCAATAAATCATACCTTTCCGGCGGGCAGCTGCGTCTTGACGGGCGCGTGGTCGGGCGGCGGCGAGGCGGAATCGCTCTCGCCCACCGAGGAAGCCTCGCGGCTGCGCGACGCGTCGTGGCTTGATTGCTCCGAGCCAACTGATTCCACTTCTGCTTCACCTAAAAGTCCGAAATTGTTATTGAAAAACAACTCAGACACGCTGATAAATATTATTGAAATATTTTATTAGCACAAACACACAACGTGAGTAAACACAAGAGTGAGAGAGATAGCCATATCAAGGAGCATGTAAGAAGCACATAACGTGAAACAGCGCGTAATTATGTGTGCTTTATAAAACGTTTACACACAAATGGCCACACTTTTTGCGTTTCTTTGAATTGTTATTTTTTGTTTTGGTTACTTGAAGAACTCGAAATAAAAGTTTCAAAAGAATATTGTGCCTGTTTTCACCATCAATCCCTAATTTTTAAGTGACCCCTATGGTAACACATAAGAGGATTTTTGTTTTCATAGGGGTCACTTAAAAATTAGGGATTGATGGTGAAAACGAGCATTAGACAAATAATTCGGATACTTACCAAACGACTGCTCATGAGCCACTTGTCCGTTCACTTGCACCGGCTCCGACGCTTTGTTCGGCTGACTAGACAGGACCTCCACCGGAATCGCCCCCAAAGGATCCACCATCTGATCCTTCTTCTCATCTGCCTCCTCACAGTCCCTCAGGAATGGATTAATCCGATTCCTGGACCCAGGAGTGAGAACAGGAGTCTTTGCTTTCTCGAACGACGGGTCGTCGAGTTCGTTCTTAGACTCGACTATCTCATTCTTGAGCTCGGATATATCGTTCCTGAGTTCGGTGATCTCGTTCCGAAGACCGGCCATGGAGGTCTTGGTCCGGCTGATGTGTGTGTACTCCATGGTTTTGTCGAAGTCCGGGGTGTCGTCGACCGACATGCTTCGGATGGATAGCGTGTCGTCGTTGGTGAGGTTCGTTGATGATACTGCTTGTGAGCCTGAAATTTTGAAGATATGAGGTTAGATTTAGTTCTATTACTGAAAAACTGTATTGTTTTATGAGAATACTACTACTACGAGTACTGATAGAATTACTAACGGTCTAACGCTTAACTCAATCAGTTCCTGAGGTATGGGAGGGGCACGGGAGAGATTGCATCGAACATTATGACTTGACAGAGCATACGACTCTGAAGCAAATCTGACGTCTCGCTGACATTTGACGTTACAAAAACACCCTCCCGTTCCGCTGCCATACCTCAGGCAATGGCCCAATTAGGCGCCAGACCTTTAGTAATAAATAGAAAACAATTGAAAGTAGTATTAGTAGAAATACTGACCGTAGCCACTGGACGATATCGACGGCGAGTTCTTGTTGGGCAGACGCTCGCACGCCAGCTCATGAAGCGAGTCCAGCGTCTTCGAAGTTGGAAGGAAGCCGCGGGATGATGCACGGGATCGAGTGCGCTGTAATAAACACATTATTATTATAAACGAAATAAATGCCTTATCGCTCCGAGAAGATGGCGCTTTTGAAAACTCATCCTTTAGATATATCTCGTCAAGGGTTATTTAACAAACATTGGACTTGAAGAAATCAGAATACAATGCTATAAATTATTATTCTTGATGCAATATGAATTCCGCATTTTATATTTAGGTAATTATTGCCAAGCTGACATAGTGTTCGCTTGGGATGTACAAATTTTTACTCATCCACAGGTTTAAAGTTTGTGCCAGTGTCATAAGTAGGTAAAGAGGCATGAACGACTCCACAAAGTCAAAGTGTAAGTGTAAATTTTTGAACTTATCACTAAACTTACGTGTGATCGCGGCGTAGTGAGCTCATCTAACGGCGCGGACTCGGGCTCTGAGTGCGAATCATCATCGTTGCGCCTTCCAGGCTCCTCGTGAAGCGTGGTCATGCGCAGACCTAGCTTGCCGCTCGCTGGGGACGCTGCAAAGTCACAGTTATCACGTTTATAATAAAGTTCACTTTAGAAAAAACGCGCAGAAGTAAGCGTCGCAAAAATATTCTTTAAAATCTATTAGCAAAGAAAATCCATTCTGATATTGCTCCATGTAAAAATAAAAGAGCAAAATAAAATTTACTCTAGCAGCAGTCTACAGTCTACTTCAAGTACCAATTAGAAAAGTTCATACAGTAATTTATTTCGAAAAACCTCTAATTTTTTATTATAATACAAATAGCAGACCAGCTAAGCTGTATAATTAAAAATGGTGCAGATAGTTTGTAGAGATCAGAGAGTAAAAAATGTGCACAATATGTGCGCTTAAAAGTTTCATCTTTAAGCTATTAACAATAAACAATGACTGTATTATAAAGGTGATTATGTGAGAACAGATAATTACATCGTATTTCATAATAACAAAATTGTTTATTATTTTGTAATTTATCAATGTAAAATAACAAATAGGTAACTAATTAACCAGAGTAGGTAGTTAAAATTTCATTTCTTATAACAAAATATAAGTCATCTACTTAAAACTAAATGATGTGAAATATATTAAAATAGCTGTTTAAAGTCCTCTAATAGTCACAATCACTTCGAGCTTCGTTAGATTCATGCGTGAATGATGTCATGCCAATTCGCGATACAAAACCGATGTATGAGACATTGCAAATAAAAACAAGACTTCAAATGTAGTGAAAAACAAAATCACACTTCGGAAAAATATTTAAACTTTATTNGATAGTACATGCACCAAACACACTCAACGTGAGTAAACGCAAGTGTGACAGAGATAGCCATATCATAAAAGATCGCATGAAGTGAAACAGCTCGTAATGAGGGCTATCGTTTTAGCGCTCACCAGTTGGCGCCACTGTAGAGTAAGGTCCTGTCACTTGCTAGTAGCGAAGACAGTGGCGCCAACTGGTGAGCGCTAAAGTGGTAGGAGGATTATCGCATTTGCCCTCATCAAGATGGCACCACTGTAGAGTAAGGTCCTGTCAATCGCCAGGGGTGCCAACTGTTAAGTATAAAAACGATAGCCCTCATTAAACATAGACCACAATAGCACCTGATGCTATGTGGGATGCAGTCTAGGATGGTACATATCTGCCCTGCAAGTGCCTATTCACTCTCGCCTTGACAGTTTACTAACATAAATTCCACACTATTTTGCGTTTCTTTTAGTTGTTATTTTTTGTGTGTTGTGTACTTGAAGAACTCAAAATAAAAGCTTCAAATGAATATTAGGCAAATAATTTGGATACTTACCAAACGACTGCTCATGAGCCACTTGTCCGTTCACTTGCACCGGCTCCGACGCTTTGTTCGGCTGACTAGACAGGACCTCCACCGGGATCGCTCCCAAAGGATCCACCATCTGATCCTTCTTCTCATCTGCCTCCTCACAGTCCCTCAGGAACGGGTTAATCCGATTCCTGGACCCAGGAGTGAGAACAGGAGTCTTCGCTTTCTCGAACGACGAGTCGTCGAGTTCGTTCTTAGACTCGACTATCTCATTCTTGAGCTCGGAAATGTCGTTCCTGAGTTCGGTGATCTCGTTCCGTAGACCGGCCATGGAGGTCTTGGTCCGGCTGATGTGTGTGTACTCCATGGTTTTGTCGAAGTCCGGGGTGTCGTCGACCGACATGCTTCGGATGGATAGCGTGTCGTCGTTGGTCAGGTTCGTTGATGATACTGCTTGTGAGCCTGCAATTATGAAGACACGAGGTTAGATTTAGTTCTATTACTGAAAAACTGTATTGTTTTATGAGAATACTACTACTACGAGTACTGATAGAATTACTAAGGCGATTATCACACTGCGCCGCGCTCCGCCGCGGTACGCGGGACGACAGATTTAATCATTGTATGTAAGTACCTCAGTTTGTATAGAAAACACGAGCGGCACAACACACTGACAACCAGCGCCGTGGCCTTCGTCACCGTGGGCCACGGCATATGCTGAGTGGGGTCCCGTTGCAGTGGGCATCTTGTTGGTGAATGGGTGGCACTGCTCAGTTTACTCTTGTTTTTATTTTTTCTTCTTTTATTATTATGTGCCACTGTCATGTCTATGTAATTGCCTGTATTTGTGTGATGTCCACTGTAATAAATGTATCTTTCTTTCTTTCTTTGACAACGCGTCTGCGCGCGGGATTTTTTATATGAAATCACGCGTCCCGCGGCGGAGGGTGGTGCAGTGTGATAATCGCCTAACGGTCTAACGCTTAACTCAATCAGTTCCTGAAGTATGGGAGGGGCACGGGAGAGATTGCATTGAACATTATGACGTCACAGACCATACGACTCTGAAGTTACTCTGACGTTACAAAAACACCCTCCTGTTCCGCTGCCATACCTCAGGCATTGGCCCAATTAGGCGCCAGACCTATAGTAATATATTCAATGATGACAAGTAGTATTAGTGGGAACACTGACCGTAGCCACTGGACGATATCGACGGCGAGTTCTTGTTGGGCAGACGCTCGCACGCCAGCTCATGAAGCGAGTCCAGCGTCTTCGAAGTGGGCAGGAAGCCGCGGGATGATGCACGGGATCGGGTGCGCTGTAATAAACACTTTATTATTGACACGATAAATATATTTTTTCTATAAGTCATTCTTATTGCAATATTAATTCCGCGTTTTATATTTTGGTAATTATTTCGAAGCTGACATAATGTTTGGTTGGATACACCCCAACTTTAGGAAAATTCTAGTTTTACATGTCCACATAAAGGCTGAGCTGTTACACCACCTAATTTTGACCGTAACTATACCTATGACCGGTGTATTGTATGGAGTTTGACAGCTTTTGACGTTTGTTATTGTCAAAGTTAGATGGTGCAACATAGCCTAAATAATATGTATGGTTGTGCCAGTGACAGTAGTGAAGTGGCACGTCAGCTCACAACGACAACTAACTCACTGTACACATTTAACTTATTGTTAAACTTACATGTGATCGCGGCGTAGTGAGCTCATCAAGCGGTGCGGACTCGGGCTCCGAGTGCGAGTCATCATCGTTGCGCCTTCCAGGCTCTTCGTGAAGCGTGGTCATGCGCAGGCCTAGCTTGCCGCTCGCTGGGGACGCTGCAATGTCACAGTTATCACGTTTATAATAGAGTTCACTTTAGAAAAAACGCGCAGAAGTAAGCGTCGCAAAAATATTCTTTAAAATCTATTAGCAAAGAAAATCCATTCTGCATTACTTTATAATCTCCAATGTTATAAAAGAGCAAAATAAAATTTACTCTAGCTGCAGTCTACAATCTACTTCAAGTACCAATTAGAAAACATCATACAGTAATTTATTTTGAAAAACCTCTAATTTTTTATTATTACACAAAATAGCAGACCAGCTAAGCTGTATAGGTGCAGATAGTACGAAGAGATCGGAGAGTAAAAAAATGTGCACGATATGTGCGCTTAAAAGTTTCATTTTAAGCTATTAACAATAAACAATGACTGTATTATAAAGGTGATTATGTGAGAATAGATTATTACATCGTATTATTAACAAAATTGTTTATTATTTTTAAATTTATCAATGTAAAATAACAAAAGGGTAACTAATTAACCAGAGTAGTTAAAATTTAATTTCTTACAACAAAATATAAGTCATCTACTTAAAACTATATGATGTAAAATATATTAAAATAGCTGTTTAAAGTCCTCTAATAGTCACAATCACTTCGAGCTTCGTTAGATTCATGCGTGAATGATGTCATGCCAATTCGCGATACGAAACCGATGTATGAGACATTGCAAATAAAAACAAGATTCAAAATGTAGTGAAAAACAAAATCACACTTCGGAAAAATATTTAAACTTTATTCCATCCAATATAACCAATCTTCGTTCTTTGGAGACAAGTGGTCTCCAAAGAACTATCCTAAACACTACACGTACACATCCCACCCTGTTGCATGTTATGTAGTTGTAATACATACAATGTACGATTTTGCTTAGCGATGGGCGATTATTACTAAATTAATCGAATTATTCGAATGGTCTCTACAATCGAATGTATTCGATAAGCAATCGCAGTCATTCGATTAATCGAAACGCGCCGTATTACTAACGAATAACATGATTCGTTCGCTGCGGTCCTGAGCGCGTGCCGCACGGTACTATCTACTATAACGAATGAATCGAGATAGGTAAATAGATTTATAATTCGATTGTCGATTATTATTCGATTTTTTTTCGAATTACTAAATTGACAATCGAAAGTTCGATTGGTCGATTGTCGATTCATTCGATTTTTTTTTTCGAACAACCGCCGCTAAACCGTCGCTAGTTTTGCTGCATCATGTGTTAATGACCACTGTACGAGCGTTTCTGTATGTATGAGATCCCGGAGACCTACCAGCCTGTCTCGGTGGCGCCACAGGTACCAGCAACATACAACCTTCATTGATTCTACGTGTCCGACCATCCCATACTTTCTGCCTAACATGTAGGGTGTAAAACCGGTAGCAGAAGGCATACAGTCACGAGGTAGACCCAATGAATTTTCATACATTATTTTAACAATCAGATTGAGTTATATCGAACGGAACGTACAACGAGCGTAAACAAACATCATGAAACTTAAACAAAACCGTTGAACAAGCGAAACTAGTGAGTCTACGGTAACTACACGTACACTTGCTCGGCGTCTGCAGTCGCAGCGAGTTGAGGTTCAGATTCAAGTTTAGGAACGTGGGCCGCGCTGCAATAGAAATCGTCATCACGATGTCAGTACACCTTCTAGCTGGAAATACACCTACCAGACTTATAAACAACTAAAAGTAATTCAATATCCACACCTAAGACTTTAAATTAAAATAATAAGTAGGCTAATAGAAAATTGTTGGATAGTAATAAAATGTACAATTTCAGTATGAAAAATTTACATTTTGCGAGTTTAGTTGAGATAACGAAATTGCACTTGGATACACTCCAAAATTTTGAGTCTTGTGTCAATCAAAACGAAGACATGTGCATTTATTACTCTAATATTAATTAACATTCGCTGAATATTTTCAAGCAAACCAGTTTTGACCTATTATTTACGCACATCACATAATTTACAGGTACAATTCACCTACATTACTCCACATTACAATATAACTAAATCCATGCTTTCTTTACATAATCTATCTTCGATTACATCCTCATAATATGCATTTGCATATTGCTACTTACATGCATACGATACCTAACACAAACACAAACCTACGTATCTTTTATATTAACTATTCTACTATTAAATATCTACATTACGATCCGAACTGCTTTTCAAGTTTTTAATTACACAACACTTTACAATTACTATACTTCATCTAATTACAAAACATTTTGGCTGTAAGTTAATTGATCCTATTTTTCTATCATTTAAGCAATATTCAGTTACATTTATTGACTATTGTGAAAGCATCCTTCGCCTTTTAAATCCACAGCAAATAGAGTTACGAAGAGGAAAGGAAACGGGGATAAACACAGGTCATGCTTGGTCCATGCAAATGAAAGAGACACGCAAACAAACATAGACAACACAACGACAGAAGCTAGCTTGATGCTCGAAGCTTACAGTTCGTTTTGCACTCTAATGCCAATAAGTAGGGTCTAGATTTCTCTATATTTATTCAAACTGCTTTCGTGTTATTATTACTGAATGATTTTGAAATAAGCCTTTTTTTTCCGTTTCGAATTTACAGCCAATCAACAATTTACACAGATACATTTTCACATTAAACAATCACAACACATCTATTTTTTTTATTAATGCTGCATTGAACATTCGTCTAATGATTTCGCCATACATTGCCATTCCGATTCAAGACCAAATTGTTTCACTGTTTACCTGAGAGGAACGAGCCTGAAGGTAGCGAGGGATTGAGATAAACAAAATATAGTGTTAGTTAAAGGTCTCAAGTCTCCATATTCTTTGATGCCCTACCATTTTTTGGTTTTTGAGATTCCAAATGTAGTTTTGATTAACAGTTAAAATTCATATGTTTTAAATTTAAGTTATTACATTAATATCTTTTTTCAAATCCATATAAGTTAACTTCAAAATCAAAACTCCATTTCATCACAAATTCTAAAATTTCTTTTGGAACAGTAAGAGTGATGTTATAAGAAAAAGATAGAAAGAGAAGGAATGGGGAGAGTAAGAAAGATATAGATAAGACTGATTGAGCTATAGCATTGCCACAAAGCAAGTCGAAAATAAAACGTAATTGTGAAGTTATGAGAAGATGGATGTAGTTTATCGTGAATTTAGTGGATTTGAACTACGGACAAGATTTTTTATCAATGTAATCTGTTCGTGATGTCTCAAATTCGTAATCTAATTAGAATATACTTTTGTCAGTCAATATACTAGGACTATTTTTTATATTCTAATAAGTACCTAAATCTATATCATCGTGCAAATAGTATACTTTAATTAATATCTGTACAAAACTTCTAAATCTGTATTCAAATACTTTTTCTACTCAGTGCACTATGCATGATCTAATCGCTGTTCGAATACAGATTTTTTCGAAATAATTCAGAAGCCAAATCTGTGTATTTATTGATAAATAATACTAAAGTATTTTACTTATGCTCTAGTGCCAAGTTATAATTTTGAATTGATAGATGTATGCATAACAATGTGTGATTTGTATGGGTGACGGAAAATATAGAAAATGAATGTATTGGAAAAGGAGTGTATCTTTTGTTGTTTATAATACTGCAAAAGAAGATGTAATTACACAAAATTTTATACAGTCATATTCTTACAAAAGATCGTTTACAATACCAATAGTTTTGCTTCCAATCATAATTAAAACTAATTAATAAAAAAACATACAAAATCAATTTAAGTAATTCAATACAGTCTCAAAGGCATCAAAAAGCCCAGTCTTTTCCAATCCTAATCAACAATCAAATTAATCAACTTCATATACCTAAGGATTATAATATCTGTACCAATATTCTACGTGTACAATACCCTGTCACTAATAAACGTCATTCAATAAATAGTTACACATTGTTTTGTTTCTGTCAAATGTCATTTAACGAATGACAGACAAAGACAAAACAATGTTTGACTATCTATCTCCCAATGTTCATCATTACTAAGAGGTTTCAATTTCACCCGTTAAGTGATAGCGTTAAAACAGTTAACTCACCAAGGCCGAAGGGTTTAGTGGGCGTTGCCATGTCGGGGTCGTTGTGTGACGGCGCTGCGTAGGAGTGGCGGTGGGCGGCGCGGCGCGGCGTCTCGTCGGCGAGGTCGGCCACGCTGCCCGAGCGGCCTCCCGCGAGGCCGGCCAACGACTCCAGTGACGAGTCCAGGCGCATGATCTGAATTTCCCAATAAACATACTTCTAAATATCTCATAACGTGTAAATTCAGTCAGCACATCAAATGTAACAGTTGTACTATGAACGCTCTTATAAGATAAGAAGCGTTTCCAGAATAACGTGTTACGATTGACGAGCTGATGCATCAGATTTTCTACAGTAAAAGTATTAAAAAGACAATAATCAGTACGAACCACAGACATTAATTACTTTCTACACGGATATTTATTAAAAAGATATAAAAATATTAAAAGACTAGAAAAGGGACACATCAAATAATAAAAACTAAAATACGAATTGTTTTAATTAAAATAACTAATTGGAATACCCATCCAATCCCAATCCCCAAAGAGTGTGAATTGATTTCGTCATGTAGAAACATTAAACCATTGCCATTGCGAATCCCATCGGTGCGTCACTCATAATTTCAATTAAATGGTGATAAATTCCAAAACTTATGTGAAAAATAACACATTTCGTATCATTTTCCCAATATGTTCACGTCATCACTTCTCCATTTTTCTATACTATTTTTGGTAATGTATAAGCTTAACATCTAAAAAATATCGCCGATAGCTAAAGTAAATAAACAAGGCCATGAACCGACATCCACTTCGCAACAAAATAAATGCGTAGACCACATCGAACATACACCATAAGAAATAATAACCAGCAATGAACAATAGGGTGTCCCGAAATATCTTTTTTTATATTTTCGCTACACAAGACCCCTCAAAAGTTGCGTCATAAGATGTAGATTACCGTAAAAATAATTAAAAATATATAAAATAATGTCTCAAGGGCTCTACCGGCATTTTTATGTCTCAAAAAATCACTTAATCAGCTCTTCACTGTTTATCATCTAATATATTTTTTCCACAATTATTTCATATTATTTTGTAATAACAGTGGCAGTTGAACCCTAAGATATGATTTGCAGGCAATGGCAGACTGTTTTCAGTGAGGAATAGGTTTGGTTCGAACTAGCAGAATTCATATTTTGACTTGTTTTTCTCAAATTGTCTACTCCTTCGGCGAGGCTGTTGGTATTATTTCTGTTAAGGTTTTATTGCTGAAAGGTATCGCACCGCACTTTTTGGTATAATATTACATACTTTTAGCATAAATTTAACAAAAATATAGCAATATATGGCAGTAATATACTTTTTGATTTTCTTCAGGTAAAAACTACCTAGCCAAAAATATTTATAATATTATATTTAAACAGAATACTAATTGACATGTTAAATAGTTTTAGCATACTATTAAATATAAATAACATTTATGTACGTTACAAACACTTTCTAGCTGAAGTTTTTGTTGTCTACGCAGGTTTTTATTAATGGTGAACTTCAACGGAAGTAAAAATATATTTTTAGTTATGAAACGCATACATGTTATATATCAAATTAAAGACAATTTGATACACTTCTTTGGCTCGTGTAAAACATTTAGTAGAGTATAAGACATTTTGTAAAAAAATGATTTAAAAAGTAGTATCTCAACAAAGTAAAAAAATTCAATTTTCCTTTAATTACTAACTAAAGGTTGATTTTATCGATACAATTTATTGTACAAAATATCAAGCGCACACGTAGAGCTATCATTTAAATAAAAAAGGAATGAAATCGGACAAATGGTTTTCAAGTTATGGTTGATTTTCTAAAATTGACTGCCATTTTTGTTAGCTTCCACTTAGAGATGCCAATCAATGTTTTATAATAGCGTAATAAAATTATTAACCTGCTGTGAGAAGGGAATTGTGTATTCTCAAATTAAATCGATAACTTGGCTGACCCATGGATTAATTAGTAATACATTAAAATCGCGCTCGTAAATGCCTAATTGTGGTCAAAAAGCCAATTCTGTTTTGAAAGTATTTATGGATTTATTGGTTTTTAAACTATTTTAAACCTTGCTGTGACTCATTGTGTACCCTCAAATTTCATAAAAACGCTATTTTTGTATTATTAATAGTTTATGTTAGGAACCCCTAAAATAGCAATTTAAAATTTTTTTAAGGACAGGTAGAGGCCTCAAGATGACAGATATCTCATTAAATTTAATGCTAATCGTAATCTATATGTCAAAACGCAACTTTTGATACCTCTTGCGTAACCGTAGCTCAAAAAAAAATTTTTCCCATACAACGACGGGACACCCTAATGAACAATTAAAACTACCACAGGTAGTGCCATCACAGTACCATCTGTGCTTACCATTACCCACTAAAATAAATAAGAAAAATAAGAAGAGGCAAACTAAGGTGTGCCAGGAATCGCTTATGCACGACTTCAGTCTAGTTTTATCTTCTGAAACCATGGAACAACCAGGATCGAAAGTAATCTTCGATTCGATATTTTGCATTGTACAAACAGATACACGTATTCTTAACAATTGATCACTCAATCAGCTTTAGAATTCTAGGATTATATTGTTTTAGCAGCTGAGTGAATTAGGTCCAATACATACAGGTGTTCCAATAATTTGATGCGTCTTATTCCCAGCTATCTCCAGTGTCAGTGAGACGTGATATTTTTGGGACACCCTGTATATTATTCACGCTTCTCTTAACGTAAGTATGATGGAAGTAACGCATGATCTCAGTGCATGGTGAGCTTAATTTTGACCATAATTATTAGGCTGGTTTTAGAGTCATGCAGACGCACGCTGACCGTCAGCGCTGACAGCCGAAATGTATGAAGCGTCGGCGCCGACCGATCAGCGTCCCTCAGGATCGTTCCCTTCAATTACATACATATTGATCTGTCGTCGCCGATCAGCGAGCGGTCAGCGCGATTGTAAAATCCGCCTTAGTCCAAAATGATCTTGGCTGTTCCCTTTCAGAAGAAAGTCGTCCAAAACGTGGGGCACTTTCAGTCTCAAAGGCATCAAAAAGCCCAGTCTTTTCCAATCCTAATCAACAATCAAATTAATCAACTTCATATACCTAAGGATTATAATATCTGTACCAATTTTCTACGTGTACTATAACCCTGTCACTAATAAACGTCATTCAATAAATAGTTACACATTGTTTTGTTTCTGTCAAATGTCATTTAACGAATGACAGACAAAGACAAAACAATGTTTGACTATCTATCTCCCAATGTTCATTAGTAAGAGGTACAGCAATTTCACCCGTTAAGTGATAGCGTTAAAACAGTTAACTCACCAAGGCCGAAGGGTTTAGTGGGCGTTGCCATGTCGGGGTCGTTGTGCGACGGCGCTGCGTAGGAGTGGCGGTGGGCGGCGCGGCGCGGCGTCTCGTCGGCGAGGTCGGCCACGCTGCCCGAGCGGCCTCCCGCGAGGCCGGCCAACGACTCCAGTGACGAGTCCAGGCGCATGATCTGAATTTCCCAATAAACATACTTCTAAATATCTCATAACGTGTAAATTCAGTCAGCACATCAAATGTAACAGTTGTACTATGAACGCTCTTATAAGATAAGAAGCGTTTCCAGAATAACGTGTTACGATTGACGAGCTGATGCATCAGATTTTGTACAGTAAAAGTATTAAAAAGACAATAATCAGTACGAACCACAGACATTAATTACTTTCTACACGGATATTTATTAAAAAGATATAAAAATATTAAAACACTAGAAAAGGGACACAACAAATAATAAAAACTAAAATACGAATTGTTTTAATTAAAACAACTAATTAGAATATCCATCCAATCCCAATCCCCATAGAGTGTGAATTGATTTCGTCATAAAGAAACATTAAACCATTGCGAATCCCATCGGTGCGTCACTCATAATTTCAATTAAATGGTGATAAATTCCAAAACTTGTGTGAAAAATAACACATTCTGTATCATTTTCCCAATATGTTCACGTCATCTTCACTTCTCTATTTCTCTTTACCATTTTTGTCCACCAAAATAATTTTCAATCTTCTAGGTAATGTATAAGCTTAACATCTAAAAAATTATCGCCGTTAGCTAAAGGAAATAAACAAGGCCATGAACCGACATCCACTTCGAAACAAAATAAATGCGTAGACCACATCGAACATACACCATAAGAAATAATAACCAGCATGAACAATTAAAACTACCACAGGTAGTGCCATCACAGTACCATCTGTGCTTACCATTACCCACTAAATAAATAAGAAAAATAAGAAGAGGCCAACTAAGATGTGCCAGGAATCGCTTATGCACGACTTCAGTCTAGTTTTATCTTCTGAAACCATGGAACAACCAGGATCGAAAGTAAATCTTCGATTCGATCTTCTCTATTGTACAAACGAAGGTACACGTATTCTTAGCAATTGATCACTCAATCAGCTTTAGAATTCTAGGATTCTATTGCTTTAGCAGCTGAGTGAATTAGTTCAATACATACAGGGTGTTCCAATAATTCGATGCGTCTTATGCCCAGCTATCTCCAGTGTCAGTTTGAAATGCAATTTTTGGAACATACTGTATAATATTCACGCTTAACGCAAGTATGATGGAAGTAACGCATGATCTCAGTGCATGGAGAGATTAGTTTTGACCATAATTATTAGGCTGGTTGTAGAGTTACGCTGACGCACGCTGACCGTCAGCGCTAACAGCCGGAATGTATGAAGCGTCGACGCCGAGCGATGAGCGTCACTTAGAAACGTTCCCTTCAATTACATACATATTGATCTGTCAGCGCCGACGATCAGCGAGCGGTCAGCGCGATTCTAAAACCCGCCTTAGTCCAAAATGATCTTGGCTGTTCCCGAATTTCAGAAGAAAGTCGTCTAAAACGTGGGGCACGTTNGGCACTTTACGAAGCTAGTGTATAGCGTGGGTCAGCCATGCGGGTCACTCACGTTGGTTCCGTTCTTCGCCGCCGTCTCGAGAGCCTGCGACAGCTGCGTGTGCGTAGCGACAACACACATAGTTAGCAAGCGAACAACACCGCTAGTAGGACACGACTTGGTACATTTGCTATTCGGGTCTCAATAATAACTTAAGACTCAAGGCCTTATTACACGTTTAACGCACAAAATGTCATTTAAGGTCCTTATGTAGATTCATACACAAGGATATTATAGCTTTAGATGGTGTTACTATATTCGTGAGTCGACTTATGACAATGAGGGTTTTCGCGTATGAAAAATCCGCCAGATGGCAATACGTAGACGCGAGGTCCAAATGCTGCATGATTGGTTATTTTTGACATGACATTGACAGATATGTCAAAATCCACCAATCACGCAGCAGTCACCCCACATCCACGTCCCGCCATCTAGCGGATCTTTCATACTCGAAAACCCTCATTCAGTAAAATATTAGATAACGCAAAAGTTGATCACGTGACTTTGTAGGGTCATATATTACTTAGATGACATCCCAACTAATATTATAAATGCGAAAGTAACTCTGTCTGTCTGTCTGTCTGTCTGTCTGTTACGCTTTCCCGCTTAAACCTCGCAACCGATTTTGATGAAATTTGGCATAGAGATAGTTTGAGTCCCGGGAAAGAACATAGGATAGTTTTTATCCCGGTTTTTGAAACAGGGACGCGCGCGATAAAGTTTTTCTGTGACAGACAAAATTCCACGCGGGCGAAGCCGCGGGCGGAAAGCTAGTAGGTATATATTTGTAACATTATGACAGGTTTTTATAGAACCTCGTAAGTAACCGGAAAGAATACAAGCAATTCATCAAGATTCAAATTAATTAAAATTTTAGTTAGAATAGCAAAATGTACAGAGTCGAGTGATATATTAGTCTATGTAAAATTCATATTATTAGTTTATGTACATGTGTGTCTGTTAATTGTATACTTATATGTAGCTATAAAAATAATTCTAAGTATATAATTATATTATTAGTGTGTCAGTGAAGAACATCGAATAGCTTATTCAATTTGAAGCATATTTTTATTGCGATAAACATTTATTAGCTTAATGATTTTGATGGTTAGTAAGCAACATCGAATTATAGATAATTTCTTACACTATTGTGTAGTAACTTAATAATTTAGCTCTAATATTCTAAATAAGGTTAGCGTGTTATAACGTTTTCGATATTTTCTTTGTGACTAGCATACCATTTGAATTTATTGTGACTTTTCAATATCACTAACCATTCTAAATAAAATCTATAGTGAAACTATGTGCAGGTAACTTTGCTTTTTGTTATCTATTCAATCGTCCTAAAGTCTACTTTTGTTTGAAAGTGTTGGCAGTGTGTCATAGCATACAGGCTAAAGGCTGGTACGCTATAGCGTAGACGTGCGGAGAGGAAAGAACGACATGTAAAAAATTCTTTATCTCTAACAACGAACACCTAGCCTCATTACTTAAAAAGACATGTACAATTTACTAAACTGGTATAATATCTACCTCGTCTAGATTCAAAGAAACATAATTTGACTAAAAAAGAACGTAATGCTGATTAATAAATTATGCTACAAACTCAACTTGATGCCGCACATACAAAAAAGAGAATCTGCTTTTAGTGAACACCCTTTATAAGGTTATTACGTTTAAATAAATAAACTTCTAAAACAAATTCGTTCTTACGTATAAACAGATAAAATTCAAAATGACAATCACAAAGTCGCTCCCTCTCCGCGCGTCTCGCCGGTCCACAGCCCGACATAAATCCGCCAGCTCACCTGCGAGAAGTTAGGCACGGATGCAGTCTTGCGCATCGTGATGGGCTGGCCGCGGGACTGCTCCAGCTCTTTGACAGCTACGCTTTGCCGCAGTCTGTCAAGAGTCAGTATGCTCTCGACTGCGCTGACGCCGCGGGTGTATTTTTCTGTTGGGATAGAATAGGGGTTTACTTAAGGTTTGTCATTCGCCATGATGAATGGTTTTCTACCGTCTTTGAGCACACTAGTCGGCGCTACTGGCGAATGACAGGATTTTATTCTTGTGAGTGCAAATGCGATAGTCCACCTAGAGATTCAGCGGTCACCAGTTGGCGGCGCCACTGTTACAAAGAACACAGGGCGATAATTATTTTCAATTTAGTTCATTACTCTAAGACAGGATTGCACCTTCTTACTTTAACTTTGACAAACGTCAAAAATCTGTCAAAACTCCATACAAAAAACACCGGCGTTATAGTTGCGGTCAAAGTTAGGTGGCACAACTCAGCCTAAGTATCTCAGGGGAAATGAAAGATAGAATAGGTTACTTAACATACTTTGCAATGTAATCTATGAACGTACAGACCGTGAACAACACAAAAAGGTTTAAAATAACTTATTACATTTTTAGGCGGCAATGGAATATACAATGTACAAGATAGAAGTAATCTTACCGATATAAGTCTCGCCGTCGGCAGCGCTTGAATCTTCTCCAGTGGCGGCGATTTGCGCCAGACTCTCCCGGTCTTCCAACTCTTCGGAGGCCTTCGGAATGTTCGAGACCACTTCATACGTGACACCGGTTTGTGACAGCTGATCCGTCCTGTATGCAGTAACAAAAAGGGTCAATAAACGTAAAGAAAATGTCATAAGCGCAGACACAGAGATACTAACTCAAACAAACTAACGTAATTTTATATTTGACAAGCGAATAACAAGAGTAGATTGATACACGCAGTATGACGTTAGTCTTATATCGTAATAAAGCCTGTGATTTAAAAGTAATCAATGATAAGAGAGGTCTGAAACTTTCTATACACTGCCCCGAAGTAGCCTGCCATCAAGACACATAGCTTGGTCTCATATTATTTATCTAGAATTTCCATCGGCACTTCTTCAACCTTGAGGGCACTTTATGTATTTGGAATAGGTATAATTTTGCAATATAAAGTGTAATACGGTTTTGCATAATGAAACGTACAACTCACCTGACAATTTTCTTACGTATCCTATCCGTCAAGCTCTGCCGTTTGTATATGTTTAACCCTAGTCGTTTCCTAAGTATGAGATCCATTGGCGCCGGGTGCGACAGCCGCACTGTTGTCTTCAGAATCAGGTACACGCGTTCATTGGCTAAAAAAGAAGAATTTAATAAGTATGTCGGCGCCGGACANTATTAATTTAACACATGTACGACTGTACTCAGTGTTGCACTATCAAATGCAATTGAAGCGCCTCTGTGCCAGGGTTTTTATGTTCCTGGTCAGGCTATAAACTATTTTTGGATTGGATCTCAACGGTCAAGTATGGCCAAACTATCCCACAATTCAGATCGAGTTCTCGTATCCAATATGGCAGTAGGTATATCAGCGCACAAGTGTACACTGATAATCCTAGGTTATTACGCGCCGTTTCTTTATGAGCGACTATGAAAAAATCATGCCAATATGGTCGCTCATTGATTTCTTAGTCTGTCAAAGATCTACATGTTTCGAACTGAAGCTAAAATTATTCCACAGTTAAACTCAGTTCAGTTACCCTGTTGATGTACTGCGAGTCGAGGATAGAGGGCTTCTAGCAGGCAATATCAGAGACATCTTTGTCGTAGTAGCGCAATATCATCATTCCCCAGTTCAAATTGAGTTCTATTATCCCATATGGCAGCTTGTAGAATCCCTAAACTCTCCACTTACCCTCGGTAACCCTGTTGAGGTACTGCGAGTCGTGGATAGAGGAGTCCCAGCAGGCGATGGCGGAGACGTCTTTGTCGTGGTGGTGCAGTATCTGCAGCTCGTAGAACTTGTTGCCGTGCTCCTTGGGCAGGATGAAGTGGAAGCCAGTCACGTCTTTCGAATAAAACCTAAACTCTTTCTCCACTTACCCTCGGTCACCCTGTTGAGGTACTGCGAGTCGTGGATAGGCGAGTCCCAGCACAGCAGGCGATGGCGGAGACGTCTTTGTCGTGATGGTGTGGTATCACCATGCCATTATATAGATACTGATATGTAATATGGCAGCTTACTTATACATAGTTGCCAACGACAGTCTTTCGAACAAAAGTTACACTGTTTATCCACTTACCCTCAGTAACCCTGTTGAGGTACTGCGAGTCGTGGATAGACGAGTCCCAGCAGGCGATGGCGGAGACGTCTTTGTCGTGGTGGTGCAGTATCTGCAGCTCGTAGAACTTGTTGCCGTGCTCCTTGGGCAAGATGGAGTGGAGACCAGCCACGGTCACCTCCTCGCCTGACGGGTGCGTTGTTAGGTCGTCCGCTGTTGGTAATATTAATGATTAGATAATTGTACAGTAAGTATGTAGTACACAAATACATTGCTTTGTACTTCCGTACTGGCAGGACTGTTCATCTCCCCGAGTAGACATAGAAAACATAACACGCGCGGCGTACCCGCCGGCAGGTTTAATCCACGAGCGAGTAGTGAGTAACGTAAGAGTGCGTATTCTTCAATCATTGTAAAAAAAATATTCGCTATGGAAAGAAAAAAAAACGCGTGTGGCGCGTTAAATGGCGACACAGTAGCTTCTTGTAGCAGTCAGCAATATCGTATCGGCACAGTACCGATCACTGACGTATGTAAACGAAACGGTGCTCGACTCTGATACAAACTATAGTCTGGTCTGTGAGCACGTAGAATTTTGTCCAATGACCCCAAGGTCGCGCGTAATTATGTTGCTGTCGCGCTCGCATACTCACTGCGGGCGCCCGTCGCACAGTCGCGACAGCAATATAAATACGCGCGAGCGATAAGGATGGGTAGCTTGGGGTCATTGGACAAAATTCTACGTGCTCACAGACCGGGCTTTAAATTACACCATATTGTTCCCGTATTGAAGCTACCATCACTTGCTCATTCACAACTTACCGTTGAGGTCAAGGAATAGAACAGGTATGTGTTGTTCCATGCCAGTCGGCGGGTTCCACGCAGCCGGCGCGCCGGGTATAGGACTGCCAGGGCTCGGCACCAGCACCTATACCACAAAAGAAGTTATCATCACAACTTGGCACTGACCAAAGTGTCGTGAACTATAATAGACAGTTTGACACCATACCCCAATAATTCGAAACCACAACTGTTTTAAAAAGACCCTTCATTCTGGTCTTAAAAACTTAATTCATTTTAAATTACCTGTAAATTACGATTTTTGTTCGCTTCGTAATTGAAAAAAGTAGTTTGATTGAGTTGACAAAATAGTGACGTCACTTGCTTGTAGTGCCATACAAAATCTATGGGAGAGTTTCGTTTTGACAGTTTTAAAAAGTACGTTAATTGACTGGTGGTGTCAACATGTCTATTTCAAATATGATAAAAGAACTATGCAGACATAAAGGCAGACCTTTACAGGATTTGCCCAAAAAAATCTCATTATTTTTACCATGAAAAACAATGAAGAAGAGGTGAAAAGAACCAGTCCCGCTAACTCTACTGTCCTCTTACACATAACGCCGTAACTAATGAGAAAAAAAAGTTTCACTAGATCTGCCATAGAACTGCTTAGCAGAAGAAATAAGAAATGTAGCTGCTTTGAGAAACAAGGACTAGAAGTTTAAAATGTAACTTACGGCATTTCTTTCTTCTGTGAGTGAGACCCACTGTTCGACGAGCGATTGCTCACGTTCCATATCCCGTTCGCTCTTCATTGAGGGCGACATGTTCACAAGTTTCTGAAAAAAAAATGCCTTTATATTAACTTGCACTCACTCTGTGGTTAAAAATAACAGCTGAATCACACTACATCGTCAATGTGAATATTTAATGGTGTTAAAAATATGAATTTTACCTGTAGTTGTGCGTGCAAATGCTGCCGACGACGAGCGAGCGCGTCGCTCCACCTCTCGCGAAGAACAGCCAAGTCCTCTTCTTGGTACGAGTCCAATGGTTTTTGCAGACGCGACCTGGTGATCAAGTTTCTATTTTAATTTACTTAATCCTTCAATCATTCGGTTAAGCACGAGTACCTTAGCTATATTACTACTCATCTCAATGAGCACCTTGCTTTTAAACTAGCTAGACAAACTTAGTCATGACATTTTTTAAAGACACTGCTAACACTGCCACAGCTCGTCAGCATGTCGCTGCAGGGTCTACTCACCACAAGGTTGTTGCAAGGCACCTAAGCGGAATAGACCAGGTGCTATTTGGATGGGTGCTCAAAGTGAAATACGTTATTCTCCATTCTTTGGAACGGTACTGCAAGTTATTGTAGAGGCTAAACGGCCGAGACATTCTTTCGCAGTTCCACCCCAGTAGTAGTGACGGGACGTTTGCGGAAGGCGCCTTGGTCGTTTCTATTACCTAAGGCACCGACCACTATGCAGGAGAGGGAACACCCCAGGTTTTTAGTGGGTTCCCCACATAACAATATTGATAGGCTATTATCCTGGGTAAAAAGAGGTGAAGGTCCTCCTGTGCCCATGAAGTCTATCTAGCGGTGACGTCACGCACCTGACGGACACGGAGCCGACCTCGACGCTGACGATGTGCTGGCAGATGATGGGCAGCGTGCCGGAGTTGGTACACGCCGCCTGTCTACGTGTCGCTGCAGGGTCTACTCACTAAAACCCGACGGTGTTCTTCAAAGTCTTTGGGATGGAACTGCGAGCTATTGTCCAGGACATTCTTTCGTAGCTCCGTCTCAGACTGGTTCTCTNGACAGACGGACAGACGGACAGACGGACAGACGGACAGACGGACATGACGAAACTATAAGGGTTCCGTTTTTGCCATTTTGGCTACGGAACCCTAAAAAGGGTCAATAAACGTAAAGAAAATGTCATAAGCGCAGGCGCAGAGATGCTAACTCGAACAAACTAACGTAGTTTTATATTTGACAAGCGAATAACAAGAGTAGATTGAGTTTTCTAATCAAGCTATCTTAGACCGTGATTAAGTCTGCGATTTACAAGTAATCAATGATGAGAGAGGTCTGAAACTTTTTTATCCTACACCGATGAAGACTGCCATCAAGGCACATAGCTTGGTCTCATATTATATCTAAAATTTTAGAACCGCGGGCACTTCTTTATCCCATCTTTATGTTTTTGGAAAAGGCGCAATTTTGAAAAATAGACAACTAGAAATGTGTATTGGCAACTGTACAATAGGATTTTGCATAACAAAACAAACAACTCACCTGACAATTTTCTTACGTATCCTATCCGTCAAGCTCTGCCGTTTGTATATGTTTAACCCTAGTCGTTTCCTAAGTATGAGATCCATTGGCGCCGGGTGCGACAGCCGCACTGTTGTCTTCAGAATCNTGTAGGAAAAGTGATTGTCAACCATCCAAGATATTATCTCCTTGCCCGTTAACCCACGCCAATGGAGATTCCACCCCTAGAGTTCCTTCTGATAGAGACCCAGTGCCTTTAAGTATTAAACTATTTTTGGATTGGATCTCAACGGTCAAGTATGGCCAAACTATCCCACAATTCAGATCGAGTTCTCGTATCCAATATGGCAGTAGGTATATCAGCGCACAAGTGTACACTGATAATCCTAGGTTAATACGCGCCGTTTCTTTATGAGCGACTATGAAAAAATCATGCCAATATGGTCGCTCATTGATTTCTTAGTCTGTCAAAGATCTACATGTTTCGAACTGAAGCTAACATTTTTCCACACTTAACCTCAGTTCATTTACCCTGATGTACTGCGAGTCGGGGACAGCGGACTTCTAGCAGGCAATATCAGAGACATCTTTGTCGTAGTAGTGCAATATCATCATTCCTCAGTTCAAAATGAGTTCTAATATCCCATAATGTCAGTAACTAAATGCCAATTGGGCATCTTACTGTCTCTCTAGTCAATGCTAACGTTCAACAGAAGCTAACATTTTTCTCCACTTACCCTCGGTAACCCTGTTGAGGTACTGCGAGTCGTGGATAGACGAGTCCCAGCAGGCGATGGCGGAGACGTCTTTGTCGTGGTGGTGCAGTATCACCATTCCATCATATAGCTACTGCTATGTTATGTAATATGGCAGCTAACTTGCCGTTGCCAATGACAGTCTTTCGAACAAAAGTTACACTGTTTATCCACTTACCCTCGGTAACCCTATTGAGATACTGCGAGTCGTGGATAGACGAGTCCCAGCAGGCGATGGCGGAGACGTCTTTGTCGTGGTGGTGCAGTATCTGCAGCTCGTAGAACTTGTTGCCGTGCTCCTTGGGTAAGATCGAGTGGAGACCAGCCACGGTTACCTCCTCGCCTGACGGGTGCGTTGTTAGGTCGTCCGCTGTGGGAAATGATAAAATAATAAGTAGGTAAGCACAGTAAATAAATGCGTTCTTTGTTTTGTATTTCCGTACATCTAAACATTTCGTACTGAGCTGCGGATTCGAATCCCATAAAGATGATGATCAAGACAAATGTGACCACGAGCATTTATACCCAAAATAATGAACATTTTAGTAAGAATGTTTATCTATTTAAATATATTCTTTTCTTTATGAAGTTACAATAACAAGTTATGCCAGCCCCCCTAGACAAAACGCACTTTTTGATCGAATCGAAAATCGAATCCGTCAAAACTCCATACAAAAAAGGGGCTTTTCGACCACTTATCGACTGGTTTGCGATTATAATTTGCACTTTGTCTAGACCCACAGGCCTGTTCATCTCCGCGAGTTTACATCGAAAACAAAACAAGCACGATGGCACCCTACAAGATTACTATTCGACAAGGCCTCACATACGAGCAAGCATTGACTCACGCACGCGTATTCTTGTGCATGATGGAAAAAAATATAGAAAATGGTGTACTAAATACTGTGCAGTATTTAACTACCTAAATAATAATAAAAACACAGAATGTACTTTTTTAAGTTGCCTCAAGACACTGAGAGGTAAATAAGTAGTTAATATTATTCATGATAATTCATGTTAAATCATGTATTTCCTCCGCCATTTTCTGCAGTTTGGCATCTCACGTCACACATAATTTTACCGAAGTCAGCCCTATGGCTTCGGCGCAGTACCGATCAATGACGTTTGTCAACAAAATGGTGCTTGACTCTTGAGAAAAGCTAATAATTACGCCATATTGTTAATGATGTTGAGCATATTTTTTTTTAAATACCTTCGCGAAGTAAACCTTACGTACGTAGTACTTATTTTATTATTCTGTGGCTATGCTTAGTTTGTGAATAAATAATAACATTAGCCTAAAGAGCTTTTAGCTTATTCATCATAGCTAAAACTCAAGGAATAAGTAATCATCATAACATTTAAAAGTCACATGAAAAGTCTACTGCAAGATTTTTTTTCTAAAAATCTATCTTTTTATCCTGTCTTTCTGTCACCTGCTCATTCACAACTTACCGTTGAGGTCAAGGAATAGAACAGGTATGTGTTGTTCCATGCCAGTGGGCGGATTCCACGCAGCGGGCGCGCCGGGTATAGGACTGCCAGGGCTCGGCACCAGAACCTATACAAAAGAAGTTACCATCACAACTTGGCTAAATGGATGTGCAAGACCGATGTTGTAATCATGAACTAGAATTTTGAATAGGCCAGTTTCCTAAAAAAATATAGTCCATCAATTATTATATTATCAAAAAATATTGGACACGTATTTTTTTATTTGTCAATCCTTTGCAGACATACTCGTAAAGACAGACCTTTACTGAATTTTTACCACGTAAAACAATGAAGAAGAGGTGAAAAAAGCAAGTCCCACTAGTTCTACTAGGCTGACATCTTCTTACACATTACGTAATGTAACCAACAAAAAAGTCACTAATTCTGCCGTAGAACTGAAGAAATGATGCTGCTTTGAGAAACAAGGACTAGAAGTTTAAAATGTAACTTACGGCATTTCTCTCTTCCGTGAGTGAGACCCACTGTTCGACGAGCGATTGTTCACGTTCCATATCCCGTTCGCTCTTCATTGATGGCGACATGTTCACAAGTTTCTGAAAAAAAAAATTGCCTTTATATTAACTTGCACTCACTCTGTGGTTAAAAATAACAGCTGAATCACACTACATCGTCAAAGTAAATATATTTGTGTTAATAATAATATTAATTGTACCTGTAATTGTGCGTGCAAATGCTGCCGGCGACGAGCGAGCGCGTCGCTCCACCTCTCGCGAAGAACTGCCAAGTCCTCTTCTTGGTACGAGTCCAATGGTTTTTGCAGACGCGACCTGGTGATCAAATTCCAAATTAAAACTGAATTCTTCAATCATTTTCTATATTCGGTTAAGCACAAGTACCTTTGCTGTATTACTACAATGGCCGGCCGGCATGACGGCCTCAATGAGCGACTTGCTTATAATCTAGCTAAGACAAACTTAGCCATAAGGAATTGTTTTAGATACTGCTGACCCAGTCGAAGCTAGTATACGCCACTCGTTAGCATGTCACTGCAGTGCAGGGCTTACTCACTAAAATCTGACGGTGTTCTTCAAAGTCTTTGGGATGGCACTGCGAGTTATTGTCCTGACCAAACAACCGAGACGTTCTTTCGCAGCTGCGTCTCAGACTGTAGTTCGTTCTTTTAGGGACATCCGCGGAAGGCGCCTTGGTCGTTTCTAGTACCTAAGGCGTCGACCACTATGCGGCAGAGGGAACACCCCAGGCTTTTAGTGGGTTCGAGCCCCACATAATGGTATGGATACGGGACTATTCCCACCTCTCGTTCCCATCACTCCTGCGTAGTCATGATCTACAGCTTGACCGCCACAAAAACCCAACCAATGAAGGTCAAGTTATGGATAGCCATTATCCTGATAAAAAAACGGTGTAGGTACTCCTGTGCCTTTGACATCGGCGGCGGGCTATCTACTGCTGACGTCACGCACCTGACGGACACGGAGCCGACCTCGACGCTGACGATGTGCTGGCAGATGATGGGCAGCGTGCCGGAGTTGTGCGCCGGCCGCGCGCCGCTGCTGCCCCTGCCGTAGTTGGTACACGCCGCCTGTCTACGTGTCGCTGCAGGGTCTACTCAGTAAAACCCGACGGTGTTCTTCAAAGTCTTTGGGATGGAACTGCGAGCTATTGTCCAGGACATTCTTTCGTAGCTCCGTCTCAGACTGGCTCGCTCTGTCAGAGCAAGCGGCGACTGGCTTCATGCGAGTTAGTACCTACGCTAACGGCGCGCGTGAACATATGCATGCGCACGGGTCCCTCTCTAACGGCCACCAAACACCCCCATATCAAGTGGTGCTTTTTTTTGTTCCCTGCTCGTTATTCGACTCGCTTAATGCGCAACCCCAAACCAACAACCATCAGCCTCCAGCGAGAGGCACGCAGGACACGTGCTGCGCCGTTGCGGCCTCTTTTGACGCCACCACACACCCCCTGTATCTGATGTTCGAGGCCTATTAGGTTGCGTTTCCACTAGAGCGCATCCTCGCACATCTCTGGTGGAATCGCAGGCTAAGAAAGGGACAGTTGGAAGTCATACTCATAAACTCCTCCTGTGCCCATGACGCCGGCGGCGGGCTATCTACTTCTGACGTCACGCACCTGACGGACACGGAGCCGACCTCGACGCTGACGATGTGCTGGCAGGATGGGCAGCGTGCCGGAGTTGTGCGCCGGCCGCGCGCCGCTGCTGCCCCTGCCGTAGTTGGTACACGCCGCCTGTCAGCATGACGTCACCAGCGGGCTGTCTACTTCTGACGTCACGCACCTGACGGACACGGAGCCGACCTCGACGCTGACGATGTGCTGGCAGATGATGGGCAGCGTGCCGGAGTTGTGCGCCGGCCGCACGCGCACGCCCACGCGCCGCTGCTGCCCCTGCCGTAGTTGGTACACGCCGCCTGTCTACTCACTAAAACCTGACGGTGTTCTTCAAAGTCTTTGGGATGGAACTGCGAGCTATTGTCCAGGACATTCTTTCGTAGCTCCGTCTCAGACTGGTTCTCTCTGTCAGAGCAAGCGGCGACTAGCTGCAGGCGAGTTAGTACCTACGCTAACGGCGCGCGTGAACACAGGCATGCCCACGGGTCCGTCTTAACGGCCACCAAACTAGAAGTGCTTTTTTTGTTCCCTGCTCGGCATTCAGCTCGCTTAATGCGCAGTCTCAAACCAAGGAAGGCGTCGTTACACCTTCAGCCTCCAGCGAGCGGCACACAAGACACGTTCTGCGCCGTCGTGGCCTCTTTAGATGCCACACAGACACCCCTGTATCTGATGGCCGTGACCTATCCTATTAGGTTGCGTTTCCACCAGAGATGTGCGAGGATGCGTAAAGAACCAATAGAATCGTTTCATATACCTCGCCTCGGTAAATGAAGCGATTCTATTGGTTTTTTACAAACATCCCCAGCTATGCATCCACACACATCTCTGATGGAAACGCAGGCTAAGAAAGGGGCAGGTGGAGTTCATAAACTCTTCCTTTGCCCATGACGTCGGCGGCGGGATATCTAGTGCTGACGTCACGCACCTGACGGACACGGAGCCGACCTCGACGCTGACGATGTGCTGGCAGATGATGGGCAGCGTGCCGGAGTTGTGCGCCGGCCGCACGCGCCGCTGCTGCCCCTGCCGTAGTTGGTACACGCAGCCTGTGCCCATGACGTCACCAGCGGGCTATCTACTTCTGACGTCACGCACCTGACGGACACGGAGCCGACCTCGACGCTGACGATGTGCTGGCAGATGATGGGCAGCGTGCCGGAGTTGTGCGCCGGCCGCACGCGCACGCCCACGCGCCGCTGCTGCCCCTGCCGTAGTTGGTACACGCCGCCTGTCTACTCACTAAAACCTGACGGTGTTCTTCAAAGTCTTTGGGATGGAACTGCGAGCTATTGTCCAGGACATTCTTTCGTAGCTCCGTCTCAGACTGGTTCTCTCTGTCAGAGCAAGCGGCGACTAGCTGCAGGCGAGTTAGTACCTACGCTAACGGCGCGCGTGAACACAGGCATGCCCACGGGTCCGTCTTAACGGCCACCAAACTAGAAGTGCTTTTTTTGTTCCCTGCTCGGCATTCAGCTCGCTTAATGCGCAGTCTCAAACCAAGGAAGGCGTAGTTACACCTTCAGCCTCCAGCGAGCGGCACACAAGACACGTTCTGCGCTGTCGTGGCCTCTTTAGATGCCACACAGACACCCCTGTATCTGATGGCCGTGACCTATCCTATTAGGTTGCGTTTCCACCAGAGATGTGCGAGGATGCGTAAAGAAGCAATAGAATCGCTTCATATACCTCGCCTCGGTAAATGAAGCGATTCTATTGGTTTTTTACAAACATCCCTAGCTACGCATCCACACACATCTCTGGTGGAAACGCAGGCTAAAAAAGGGACAGTTGGAAGTCATAAACTCCTCCTGTGCCCATGACGTCAGCGGCGGGATATCTACTGCTGACGTCACGCACCTGACGGACACGGAGCCGACCTCGCCGCTGACGATGTGCTGGCAGATGATGGGCAGCGTGCCGGAGTTGTGCGCCGGCCACGCGCCGCTGCTGCCCCTGCCGTAGTTGGTACACGCCGCCTGTAAGCATGACGTCACCAGCGGGCTATCTACTTCTGACGTCACGCACCTGACGGACACGGAGCCGACCTCGACGCTGACGATGTGCTGGCAGATGATGGGCAGCGTGCCGGAGTTGGTACACGCCGCCTGTCTACGTGTCGCTGCAGGGTCTACTCACTAAAACCTAAAGGTGTTCTTCAAAGTCTTTGGGATGGAACTGCGAGCTATTGTCCAGGAAATTCTTTCGTAGCTCCGTCTCAGACTGGCTCGCTCTGTCAGAGCAAGCGGCGACTGGCTTCATGCGAGTTAGTACCTACGCTAACGGCGCGCGTGAACATATGCATGCGCACGGGTCCCTCTCTAACGGCCACCAAACACCCCCATATCAAGTGGTGCTTTTTTTTGTTCCCTGCTCGTTATTCGACTCGCTTAATGCGCAACCCCAAACCAACAACCATCAGCCTCCAGCGAGAGGCACGCAGGACACGTGCTGCGCCGTTGCGGCCTCTTTTGACGCCACCACACACCCCCTGTATCTGATGTTCGAGGCCTATTAGGTTGCGTTTCCACTAGAGCGCATCCTCGCACATCTCTGGTGGAATCGCAGGCTAAGAAAGGGACAGTTGGAAGTCATACTCATAAACTCCTCCTGTGCCCATGACGCCGGCGGCGGGCTATCTACTTCTGACGTCACGCACCTGACGGACACGGAGCCGACCTCGACGCTGACGATGTGCTGGCAGGATGGGCAGCGTGCCGGAGTTGTGCGCCGGCCGCGCGCCGCTGCTGCCCCTGCCGTAGTTGGTACACGCCGCCTGTCAGCATGACGTCACCAGCGGGCTGTCTACTTCTGACGTCACGCACCTGACGGACACGGAGCCGACCTCGACGCTGACGATGTGCTGGCAGATGATGGGCAGCGTGCCGGAGTTGTGCGCCGGCCGCACGCGCACGCCCACGCGCCGCTGCTGCCCCTGCCGTAGTTGGTACACGCCGCCCGTCAGCATGTCGCTGCGCTGGCTCACCTGTGCATTAAAGAGATGGATTTAGAGTTCATTTTTGTATAGTTCTTTAAAGTTTGAACAGATATACAGGGTGGAAACGTTAAGTGATCTCACTCGATTATTTCTAAACTATACAAGATACTGATCCTGAAAGTGCTTCACGAGCTCTATCCAACGCTACCAATAATGGGTTACAAAATAAACTGAATCTATCCGAAAATGCAATGTTTCCAGCTTCCATACATTTAGTAAAACCACTGAATATTAAAAACTATACAAGCTATCCAAAAACTGGTTAATGATCCTGAAAGTGCTTCACGAGCTCTATCCAAGGGTACCAATAATAAGTTACAAAATAAACTGTATCTATCCGAAAATTCAATGTTTCCAACTTCCATACATTTAGTACTGCCACAGTCATGGCACTCATGTCTTGATAATATTATAACAAGTAAAGCCTAGTACTCATGTTTTCCATGAATAATTTAAAATAAGAATGCAATTTACGAGTTCATTTTAAGTGATTATTATTTCATAAAAAATTAACACTTAGGTAATATTGTGTGGCTGGCATAGGTACATTTATTATGGAGGCTGAAAACATTGAATTTTCGGATAGATCCAGTTAATTCTGTAACCTATTACTAATACCGAGCTCGTGAAGCACTTTTAGGATCAGTAACCATTTTTTCAATATCTCGTGTAGTTTAGAAATAATCGAGTGAGATCACTTATCGTTTCCACCCTGTAGAATGTCGCTGCCCTGGGTCATGCGAATATACGATTCTGTCCACAGATCACAGAAACTAAATGGAGATGTCCCAAGGGGGCGGCGCCGGTGTCGCAGCAATATGCCCAAAAACAGAACACATTGCTCGTGAAAGCAATGATGACTCAGACCATGCGCTGACGTTCTTCGAACTCTTCCTCTCTCTTTCGTTCTGTAACGAGAATCTCCGTAATATTATAAAAATGTCATACGTTGTTCAATGCAAACATCAGTCACTCATTCATACTTATTCATTCGTTCCTTTTTGACATTCATTCTATTGGAGAGAATCGGACGGATTGCACGTTGGAGTCTATAACCTCCACCCCAAAATTGTTTTATAGCCTGACCAGGAACATAAAAACCCTGGCATAGAGGCGCTTCAATTGCATTTGATAGTGCAACACTGGGTACAGTCGTACCTGTATTAAATTAATAGGCTAACTTTATGTATCAGGATTCANTATTATATTATAGGTAAACTGGTTTAAATAAATTAAATGAAACCATCAATCGAGCAAGTAGGATTTTATTATTATTCATCAATAATCAAATTCTGAACTTGAATATTCAACTACAATGTCTGCTCATGAACGCTTCAAACTCGGTACTTCTTTCCCAATTCCATAAAATTCAATACTTACAAAGTGACAAAAAACTTTAAAATAGGTAGTTGAAACAAACCACAGCTAATTTTCATAGTTGACTGTACTATACGATAAACATGTCAGTCAATTTGACAACCTTTGTCGGAAACATTATTCAATGAAAATATTGTCCGAACCCATAGTATTTCTCTTCGACAAATACTTTAACACATTGTGAACCACTTTTCTTTCACGACTATAAAAAGATTTTAGCAATTTAATTCACAAAATCAATTGCGCACATTTAAAATAAAGTTTGTTTACACTTTGACAGCAATAGACTGACATGCAAGGTGACATGTCAATGAAGTTTTCAGTTACTGTTGCCATTAAAAGAAATTAGTACCATTAATTTTCCGCAACATGGCGAGGGTTTTTATGTTCCTGGTCAGGCTATACAATTATTTACCGTGTGTCAAATGTGTCAATATACGCAATTTGAAATTTACCAAGTGTTTCCATGAACAATACGTCACGCGAACTTTGATTATTATGTAAATATTTAGTAGGCGAATAACTGACATGAAAATTTACCAAATACCCATACAAAAACGTCGAAACGAGATAAAAGTTGACTATGCGTGTGAGAAATAGAAACTAAGTAAGTATTTCTTTAGTACATGACGAGTACAGCGAACGCGCCTTGGCCAGCTGCTGCTGCTCCACCTCCCAGTTGCCGCGCCCGCTAAACCCGGCGGAGCGATGTATTTCTTTAATACTTAAGGTAAAACACGAACCTCAACAGGCGCGTACTCGCCCTGGTCATTGAGCTCGTGGATCTCGACCCAGAGCTCGATCTTGCGCGTGAGCTCGGCCCAGCGGTCGGCCAGCGAGCGCGCCTTGGCCAATTGCTGTTGTTCCACTTCCCAGTTGTATTCCTTAGTACGTGACATAAGGTAAAACACTAACCTCTACTGGCGCGTACTCGCCCTGGTCATTGAGCTCGTGGATCTCGACCCAGAGCTCGATCTTGCGCGTGAGCTCGGCCCAGCGGTCGGCCAGCGAGCGCGCCTTGGCCAATTGCTGCTGCTCCACCTCCCAGTTGTATTTCTTTGGTACATGACATAAGGTACAACACTAACCTCAACTGGCGCGTACTTGCCCTGGTCATTGAGCTCGTGGATCTCGACCCAGAGCTCGATCTTGCGCGTGAGCTCGGCCCAGCGGTCGGCCAGCGAGCGCGCCTTGGCCAATTGCTGTTGTTCCACCTCCCAGTTGTATTTCTTTGGTACACAACATAAGGTCAAACACTAACCTCTACTGGTGAGTACTCGCCCTGGTCATTGAGCTCGTGGATCTCGACCCAGAGCTCGATCTTGCGCGTGAGCTTGGCCCAGCGGTCGGCCAGCGAGCGCGCCTTGGCCAATTGCTGTTGTTCCACCTCCCAGTTGTATTTCTTTAGTGCATGACATAGGTAGAACACTAACCTCTACTGGCGCGTACTTGCCCTGGTCATTGAGCTCGTGGATCTCGACCCAGAGCTCGATCTTGCGCGTGAGCTCGGCCCAGCGGTCGGCCAGCGAGCGCGCCTTGGCCAATTGCTGTTGTTCCACTGGGAGGTCCCAGTTGTATTTCTTTAGTACACGACATAAATCAAGGCGTGGGCAGGCCTCCTACTAGGTGGACCGACGATCTGGTAAGGGTCGCGGGAAGAGCCTGGATGCGGGCAGCGCAGGACCGTTAATTGTGGAAAACCTTGGAGAGGCCTTTTTCCAGCAGTGGACGTCTTTTGGCTGAAACGAACGAACGAACGAACGAACACGACATAAGGTAAAACACTAACCTCTACTGGCGCGTACTCGCCCTGGTCATTGAGCTCGTGGATCTCGACCCAGAGCTCGATTTTGCGCGTGAGCTCGGCCCAGCGGTCGGCCAGCGAGCGCGCCTTGGCCAGCTGCTGCTGCTACACCTCTCAGTTGTGTTTCTTTAGTACATGTTATAAGGTAAAACACTAANAACACTAACCTCTACTGGAGCGTACTCGCCCTGGTCATTGAGCTCGTGGATCTCGACCCAGAGCTCGATCTTGCGCGTGAGCTCGGCCCAGCGGTCGGCCAGCGAGCGCGCCTTGGCCAATTGCTGTTGTTCCACCTCCCAGTTGCCGCGCCCGCGGCTGAAGCCGGCCGAGCGGTGACCCCACACTTCGATGGAGAGGGCGCCCTCTGGGGAAAAAATAAAAATGAAAAAGATGCAATTAGGCCGATAAATAATTATGAAAGTGGCGCGTATTATAATGATTGTATCAGCAGCAGAGTTGAAGGTATTATAGTTAGATCTGTGGCTTATTAAGTCTCCATANGCGAGGATGCGTAAAGAACCAATAGAATCGTTTCATATACCTCGCCTCGGTAAATGAAGCGATTCTATTGGTTTTTTACAAACATCCCCAGCTACGCATCCACACACATCTCTGATGGAAACGCAGGCTAAGAAAGGGGCAGGTGGAGTTCATAAACTCTTCCTGTGCCCATGACGTCACCAGCGGGCTATCTACTTCTGACGTCACGCACCTGACGGACACGGAGCCGACCTCGACGCTGACGATGTGCTGGCAGATGATGGGCAGCGTGCCGGAGTTGTGCGCCGGCCGCACGCGCACGCCCACGCGCCGCTGCTGCCCCTGCCGTAGTTGGTACACGCCGCCCGTCAGCATGTCGCTGCGCTGGCTCACCTGTGCATTAAAGAGATGGATTTAGAGTTCATTTTTGTATAGTTCTTTAAAGTTTGAACAGATATAGAATGTCGCTGCCCTGGGTCATGCGAATATACGATTCTGTCCACAGATCAAAGAAACTAAATGGAGATGTCCCAAGGGGGCGGCGCCGGTGTCGCAGCAATATGCCCAAAAACAGAACACATTGCTCGTGAAAGCAATGATGACTCAGACCATGCGCTGACGTTCTTCGAACTCTTCCTCTCTCTTTCGTTCTGTATATTAATGAGACTCTCCGTAATATTATAAAATTGCCTCACGTCACGCCATCTTTGCAAACTTTGAATATTACGTAAATATTTAGTGGGCGAATAACTGACATGAAAATTGGTCTAATACTCATACAGAAACGTCGAAACGAGATAAAAGTTGACTATGTCAACAAACACAAACTGTGTGCGACAAATACGTAGAAACCAATAATTAAGTAAGTATTTCTTTAGTACATGACATAAGGTAGAACACTAACCTCTACTGGCGCGTACTCGCCCTGGTCATTGAGCTCGTGGATCTCGACCCAGAGCTCGATCTTGCGCGTGAGCTCGGCCCAGCGGTCGGCCAGCGAGCGCGCCTTGGCCAATTGCTGTTGTTCCACCTCCCAGTTGCCGCGCCCGCGGCTGAAGCCGGCCGAGCGGTGACCCCACACTTCGATGGAGAGGGCGCCCTCTGGGGAAAAAATAAAAATGAAAAAGATGCAATTAGGCCGATAAATAATTATGAAAGTGGCGCGTATTATGATGATTGTGTCAGCAGCAGAGTTGAAGGTATTAATAGTTAGATCTGTGGCTTATTAAGTCTCCATAATATAGGTTGAAAGCTACCAGTGAGGCCAGGAAATATTGACCACGAACTGATATCATTTTGTGGGCGCGTAAATTAGCTCATACTTAGTACTGAGTTGGTCCTTGCAAATAATCAAACGATCAGATAGGTTTGGGAAATTCGAGAGAAACAGAAGCAGTCTATTAGAATGAGACAACATAACCTACCAGCACATTGCTCGATGAACTCCTCAGTGAGCGGCAGCGTCAAGTCATGACGGTGCTCGAAACGTAAGGTGTGACCTGCGGCTGGTAACGAGGGAGGAAGCAGCAGTCTGTTAGAGCGAGACAGAGACATAACAATGGCACTTACCAGCGCAGTGCTCTATGAACTACTCAGTGAGCGGCAGCGTAAAATCCTGACGGTGGTCAAAGCGGAAGGTCGCTTGGGGCTGGTAACGAGGAGACGCAGGCGGCAGTGGCAGAGTATCAGCGCACCACTGTACGAGGAAGGCAGCAGTAGTCTATTAGAGTGAGACAGCAGCACCTACCAGCACAGTGCTCGATGAACTCCTCAGTCAACGGCAATGTGAAGTCTTGCCGGTGGTCGAGGCGAAAAGTAGCTTGTGGTTGGTGGCGCGGTGACGCGGGCGCACCACTGTCCAAGGGAGACAGCAGCAGTATGTTAGAGCGAGACAGAGACAGGCACTTACCAGCACAATGCTCGATGAACTCCTCAGTCAACGGCAATGTAAAGTCTTGCCGGTGGTCGAAGCGGAAAGTAGCTTGTAGTTGATGCCTCGGCGAGGCGGGCGGCGGTGGCGGCGTATCAGCGCTCACGTGCGATGGACCACTGTCCGAGGGAGAGAGCAGTAGTCTGTTAGAGTAAGACAGAAGTACTTACCGGCGCAGTGCTCGATGAACTCTTCAGTAAGCGGCAGCGTGAAGTCCTGACGGTGGTCGAAGCGGAAGGTCGCTTGTGGTTGGTGACGCGGTGACGCGGGCGGCGGTGGCGGCGTATCAGCGCTGTCCGAGGGAGACAGCAGCAGTCTGTTAGAGCGAGACAGAGACATAACAGAGGCACTTACCGGCGCAGTGCTCAATGAACTCCTCAGTAAGCGGCAGCATGAAGTCTTGTCGATGGTCGAAACGGAAAGTTGCCTGAGGTTGATGCCGTGGGGACGCAGGCAGCGGTGGTGGCATATCGACGCTGTCCGAAAGAGACAGCAACAATTTGTCAGAGTGAGATAGAACCACTTACCAGCGCAGCGCTCGATGAACTCTTCAGTAAGCGGCAGCGTGAAGTTTTGCCGGTGGTCGAAGCGGTATGTCGCTTGCGGCTGGTGACGAGGGGACGCGGACAGCTTCACTGTCCAAAGGAGATAGCAGCAGTATGTTAGAGCGAGACAGAGACAGAGGCACTTACCAGCACAATGCTCGATGAATTCTTCAGTGAGCGGCAGCGTAAAATCCTGACGGTGGTCGAAACGGAAAGTAGCTTGTGGTTGGTGGCGCGGTGACGCAGGCGGCGGTGGCGGCGTTTCGACGCTGTCCGAAAGAGACAGCAACAATTTGTCAGAGTGAGACAGAACCACTTACCAGCGCAGTGCTCAATGAATTCTTCAGTGAGCGGCAGCGTAAAATCCTGACGGTGGTCGAAACGGAAAGTAGCTTGTGGTTGATGCCTCGGCGAGGCGGGCGGCGGTGGTGGCGTATCAGCGCTGACATGCGGCGGGACTACCACCGGCTCGCCGCCGCATAGCGAGTACTGGCAGAACACGAAGTGCGAGAGCGACGGCGGCAAGCCGGTCGCTTGCTTGATCACCACGCGGATTGTGACCTAATATGGCAAGAAACAGAGTTTTATACATGTAGGAATTGAAATGCGGTAATAGGTATATCTCCAGCTTTATTTGTATTTTCCGGGATAAACCACAAGAAAAGGAAAGTCCTCGCTCCATCGTAATACAATCGTCTTCTCCCAAAATCATATGTTTCTTTCTTACTCATTCACTCATTCATTCCTTCTCACTACCTTGCGTTCCGTTTCACACACCCACATACACTTTAAATTTTATTGTTGTTTTGGATAATCCTTTCTTTAATAGCAACCAAAATCAACTCTTTTTAAATTATTTGACATTGCAACCCCAATTTCCTGGTGAGATTTTTCTATCAATTAATCGCATCTGTATTTTAGATAATAGACTTACTTGTTGAGTGGCAGGATCAGCAGGGTCATCGTCGTCTCGCATGTCACCGGAGCTATCTGACGCTGCCTCACAAATTCTGTCTTGAGGAAACTGGCCGGACACTCGACTCAATTCCACCTAGAAAGAAAAAACAAATTATTAGGTAAATACAACGCATTCGCATGCATATTCATTGATATTTATATAGTAGGTAGGTATTGTGGGATATAAAATATTAGTCTTGCGGTTTCGTAGCGCGAAAAATGACGCGTGAAACCGCATAAACAGAAATTTTGATTATGAATGACAGTCGCCAATTCCGAGAGAAGGCAGTGTTTGACCGGGCTATTTAGGGTTGATTTTTCAATCGTCGGCTTTTAACTCAAGAACAAACTTGTCATTTTGACATATTTTCCATAATGAAACTGTCAATGTGTCAAACTTATTCTTCAGTTAAAAGTTATCCGACGATTGAAAAATCAGCCCTAAGTTGGCTGTTATATTTTATTAGAATCTTGTTGTACCTGTAGTCTCCCGGCCACCTCTCCTTGCTGGCTGATGATGGGCGTGTGGTAGTCCAGAGTCACGTCATGAAACAGTGCTTCAAGGAACACATTGGCGACTCCGATGAGGTTGTGATTCTCCTGCGACTCGTAGAACGGATCGATCGCTTTCTCGTTTGGTTCCTGTGAAATATTGTCGATCTGTGAAATAATGGTCTTCTTATGAACTTTATTTGTCATTTTAAACAGAATGCTTATAATAAAAGATCTGAATACATTCGTCAAAATAGTAGACTATACATTTTTGTTGCAAAAAACATAGAACCTATTACAAATATGAATGATGCTCTCTAGTGGCGACTATAGAAGATGTAATGTGGACAGGCCTCCCACCAGGAGGACTGACAATCTGGTAAAGGTCGCGGGAAGAACCTTTAGAAAGGATTCGGGCAGTGCAGGACCGGTCTTTGTGAAAATTCTTGAAGAATGCCTTCAGTAAACGTCATTTGGCTGAAAAAAAACTATAATCCTCAGCCGCTTTACTATTATAACCAGCTCTGACACAGGCGCCCTCTGGAAGTTTTAGAGCGTACCTCCTCGACCTCTGCGTCGGGCGCCCTCTGCTGGCGGCGGCGCCAGTCGTCGTACATGTCGCGCATGTCCACCAGTTTGTTGTCAAGCTTCTCCATCGACCACACCTGCCCGCCTCGCCCTGGCCGCTTGACCATTATATAGTCTGGTCTGCGAGCACGTATAATTTTGTCCAATGACCCCAAGCTACCCATCCTTATCACTTGCGCGTAATTATGTTGCTGTCGCGCTCGCACACTCACTGCGGGCGCCCGTCGCTCAGTCGCGACAGCAATATAGTTACCCGCGAGAGATAAGGATGGGTAGCTTGGGGTCATTGGACAGAATTCTACGTGCTCACAGACCAGAGCCCCGATTACGGTAATTTTTAACGTCTCCAATCCCGACACGCTTCTCGATTCTGCGATACGATTGGTCGTTCAACAGCGTACGTCAGCTGTTTTGACCAATCGTATCGCAGAATCAGAAGCGCGTCTGGATTGGAAACGTTAAAAGTTATCGTAATCGGGGGGGGGGGGGGGGGGCTGGCTTTAGCTGGATCTGACACAGGCGCCACCTGGAAGTGTATGAGCGTACCTCCTCGACCTCTGCGTCGGGCGCCCTCTGTTGGCGGCGGCGCCAGTCGTCGTACATGTCGCGCATGTCCACCAGCTTGTTGTCCAGCTTCTCCATCGACCACACCTGCCCGCCTCGCCCTGGCCGCTTGACCATTATATAGTTTGGTCTGCGAGCACGTAGAATTTTGCTCACGCGACTGAGCGACGGGCGTCCGCAGTGAGTGTGCGAGCGCGACAGCAACATAATTACGCGCGAGTGATAAGGATGGGTAGCTTGGGGTCATTGGACAGAATTCTACGTGCTCACAGACCGGGCTTTAGCTGGATCTGACACAAGCGCCCTCTGAAAGTGTATGAGCGTACTTCCTCGACCTCAGCGTCGGGCGCCCTCTGCTGGCGGCGGCGCCAGTCGTCGTACATGTCGCGCATGTTCACCAGCTTGTTGTCCAGCTTCTCCATCGACCACACCTGCCCGCCGCGCCCTGGCCGCTTGACCATTATATAGTCTGGTCTGCGAGCACGTAGAATTTTGTCCAATGACCCCTAGCTACCCATCCTTATCGCTCGCGCGTAATTATGTTGCTGTCGCGCTCGCACACTCACTGCGGGCGCCCGTCGCTCAGTCGCGACAGCAATATAATTACGCGCGAGAGATAAGGATGGGTAGCTTGGGGTCTTTGGACAAAATTCTACGTGCTCACAGACCGGGCCTTAGCTGGATCTGACACAAGCGCCCTCTGGAAGTGTATGAGCGTACCTCCTCGACCTCTGCGTCGGGCGCCCTCTGCTGGCGGCGGCGCCAGTCGTCGTACATGTCGCGCATGTCCACTAGTTTGTTGTCAAGCTTCTCCATCGACCACACCTGCCCGCCGCGCCCCGGCCGCTTGACCATTATAGCTGGCTCTGATACGAAGGCACCTCGCTGTAAAAAAGAAATGTATTTTATTTATGAGGTGAGGTGAGTTAACTTGCATTTTACGTGTTATATATTTTTTTGTGAGGTAAAATAGGGAAAGTTGACATCGGCAGGGTTATTACGAAACTTTACAACCAGTTGCTGATTGTACAATGAGGGTTTTCGCGAATGAAAAATCCGCCAGATGGCTTATTTTTGACATGAAATTGACAGATATGTCAAAATCCACCAATCACGCAGCAGTCAGACCCCACATCCACGTCCCGCCATCTAGCGGATCTTTCATTCACGAAAACCCTCATTGCAACGCGACTGCGAAAAATGCATGAAAACTAGCGCCACCTATAAAATCTCTTTCGTTAGTTAACGTAGCATGCAGATTTTTTTGGCTCCATGTAAGTTGTTGGACTATTAAGGTGAACAAGACGGCCTTGAAACACTAACCTTCCTATTTGGGCTTAGATTCTGTGGCGTGATCTGGAGTGACGCTGAGCCTGATATTCCTCCTTATCTCCTCGGATTGGACGTGGCTTTAATATATGAATGTATGTAGTGCATTAGCGAAAAAATGTCCGTAACACAGAACACACTAACCTTCCTATTCGGACTCAGATTCTGCGGCGGGATCTGCAGTGTGACGCTGAACCTGGTGTTCCTTCGCATCTCTTCAGCTAAGAAGTTGGCCTCCTGCACGAGCACCTTGACAAAGAATATGTCCTAGACAAACTAGACTATTCGACACTAACCTTCCTATTCGGGCTCAGGTTCTGCGGCGGGATCTGCAGCGTGACGCTGAACCTGATGTTCCTCCGCATCTCTTCAGCTAAGAAGTTGGCCTCTTGCACGAGCACCTTGACAAAGAATGTCCTACACAAACTGGACTATTCGACACTAACCTTCCTATTCGGACTCAGATTCTGCGGCGGGATCTGCAGTGTGACGCTGAACCTGATGTTCCTCCGCATCTCTTCAGCTAGGAAGTTGGCCTCCTGCACGAGCACCTTGACAAAGAATATGTCCTACACAAACTAGACTATTCGACACTAACCTTTCTATTCGGACTCAGATTCTGCGGCGGTATCTGCAGGGTCACGCTGAACCTGGTGTTCCTCCGCATCTCTTCAGCTAGAAAGTTGGCTTCTTGCACGAGCGCGTTGGCTCGCAATATGTCTGCCTTGAGGCGGCCCAGCGATCGCTTGAAGGTGTCGTCGCGCTCCGCCGCCCAGCGTTCCACGCGCGCCGCGGTTGTGGGGGTACAGGCTGTCATTTTACCTACAGAACAAGTTAGTTTTTTAGTCATTCCATATCGATAGCCTTTTTTACACATAATTTTATTTAATTGACCATATTATTCCAGCAGAGTAGAATAAGACGTAGGAATAATGGATATCGTAAAAGGTGACTAAGGGACAAATATGCGAAGATCAGAAGTCAAAGACCCATGTGATCAGTGGGGGGAGTGTATTTTAATTTTATTTTATTTATCTTTATTAAAGAAACATACAGCCTTATTTGATAAGGCATATCCTCAATTTTCTTGGTCGTGCTCCTTTAGTACACTTTTGGAAGTAAGTTAGTAGGTCCGATCGAGTCATACGTGACTACTATGGCAATGTGGTAATGCCGCAATTTACAGGACTAAAGTCATTCAATGAAAAGACAAACATTTTCTGTGCACTATAACCAAAAAGTTACCAAGTCATTTGAAATTATAGTTTAGTTACTTACCTAATTTCAATGGATCGTACGAGTACGGTGGATATGGTGTTGACGGTGATAGAATATTTCTCAGTTGCTGGAACTGTCTTTCATATTCTTGCCGTTGTTTCTCCAAAGCAACTAAAAGAAAAAGACCAATGTAGTTAATCCTAGGATACACGATTCAGTTTTTCTAAAACATGGTCGGCAATACTCTATCGAATTTACAGTCAACTAATCAATCAGCGAAAATACGCTGGCAGAGCTACACCTTCAAAATCTACAAGCTATTAAGAGATCTTTGTATTTTGTGAGTGATTCTATAACCCAATTAAATTCTACATAGTATGTGACAAATGATGCAATCACATCACACTAGTTTTTAGGGTTTCGTAGTCCTGACAAGGAACCCTTATAGTTTTGATATGTCTGTCTGTCCGAGGTTTTGCTTGGAAACTATTGGCACTAGGGAGCTGTAATTTTGTGGAGGTATGTATATTAATCACGCAGACCAAACGGTAAAATAAAATTTTGAAAAAAAAAACTTGTTTTAATGACAGATATAAGAGTATCTTTGTATCTATCTAGTTCGTACCTTGTTTGTCCTCCTCGTGTTGCTTCTCCAGCCGCGAGATGGCGGTCTGTATGGGGTCGTTGCTGAGCTCATTGAGCATGATCTCGTCGCGCGCGAAGTTATAGTCGATCGGCTGCGCGGGAGTCTGCGGCTCTGATGCTGCGGTCGCTGTGTTAAAGAGATTGAGGTTATCATACTTTATAGTCATTTCTTTATAGTCATTTCTTTATAGTCATGGTAGGGCACAAAAGTTAAGGAGACATGTAAAGTGCCCCATACGGGCTACCTTTTCTATTTTTATTATTTACTATATTTTGACGTTCATAAGTGCCACTTGTAATAAATGTATCTTTCTTTCTTTCTTTCTTTCTTTCTTTCTTACTTGTGGTCTAAACTGAATAAATATTTTTAATTTTTAATTTTAGATTTTTATTTTTTTTTTTAAGTAAGAAGATACTTGGCACACGAATCATGTATTTTTTGTATCGAGGCCCACATGAAAAGGCAGGTTATTTGACCACAATCTTGATGTTAAGTGAGATAAAGTGTAGGGTGGTCCTTAATGGCTCAGTATAAATTAATGCTTGTTATATATTTTTTTCTATTTATGTGCCAAAAAGCTCTCTATATTCTATTAAGTAGCGTACAAATGTGCGTGGCGTACGCTGGTAAGATTTAGTAGATAAGTTTATTAAATGAAAAAACTTAATGAATTTGGATTGGCGTAAACTACTTCTCTTTTGTGGAATGATGGTGTAAAGGAACGTAGAAGTGGTGGTTCCCCCACAGGATTCTGTTAGCATGACCTAGCAGGACTCTTGAGATCCGCACTCCGTTGACGAAGCAGCGTGCGCCATTCAGCGGCTCCATGTGTAAGGCCCCACCCTCGACCACCAACTGACAGTGTAACTNCGGGATTTACTTGTGTAAAAAATACATTAATTACGTAACTTGATATAGCTAAAAGTCTGATCTGAGAAAAAATCAAATAGGTAAATTATACATTATTTCTTTATTATTATAATAATAATAATAATAATCTATGGATCAGATACTTGGCTTGGCCCGTATCTGGTCTAACTTTTACCAGCATTAATGCTGAGATAAAATATATTTACATATAATAATAATAAATACACTTTATTGCACACCAAACAAATAACATAACAGAAGAAAAGGAACACACAAGGTACAATTAGGCGGTCTTATCGCTATGAAGCGATCTCTTCCAGACAACCTATGGTGATATATTATGTATGATGTACTGTCTTAGGTACGATACAACTACGGATTAAGATCGTTTAGTCGACGCAGCGTTGAAATTGTACAGATAAATGCAGTTTGCGCACTCACTACGCGACGTCAAGCAATAAAAACCTAAAATTCGAACGCCAACTTTTTGCTACAACGCTCTTAAACATATTGCTGATTTGGATAATAAAGCCTCGAATTTGTAATGGTAAAAATTAACTATTTTTAATTTTTTTGTTGTGGCAACTCCAATTTAATTTATTTTTGTATTGGCAACCACACTTCTTGGTGAGATAATATTTTAAACTATTATGTTGCATTTTTTACTATAAAATTATCACTTCACGGGATTTATTGCAACAATATCTATTTTAACGGTAAATAATATTTATATTGTTGCAATAAATCCCGTGAAGTGATAATTCTTGGTGAGATATTTTTATTTACGACTATCACCCCCATAATGACTAAACACGGTAGTAATAAAATATGGCTTGGCTCATTTTAAGTCAGCATTTAACAGAAAGTGACTTACTTGTTGTGTGGCGGGATCAGCAGGGTCGTCATCATCTCTCATATCACCAGAGCTGTCTGATGCTGCCTCGCAAATTCTGTCTTGAGGAAACTGGCCAGACACTCGACTCAATTCCACCTGGCAGCAAAAAATCAATATGTTATGATAGTGTAAACGATAAACCGGCGATAAGATTTTACAAATTTAAAAATAAACAACAAAATGAGACTTAGATAGTCAACCTTTGTGAGTCACATGTTATGGACAACTTGTTTAGTAGTAGTATTCTACTTAGTAATTTATGGGTGTACCTGTAGTCTCCCGGCCACCTCTCCCTGCTGGCTGATAATAGGCGTGTGGTAATCCAGTGTCACGTCATGGAACAGTGCTTCAAGGAACACATTGGCGACTCCGATGAGGTTGTGATTCTCCTGCGACTCGTAGAACGGATCGATCGCTTTCTCGTTTGGTTCCTGTGAAATATTGTCGATCTGTGAAATAATGGTCTTCTTATGAACTTTATTTGTCATTTTAAACAGAATGTTTATAATAAAAGATCTGAATACAAATTCATCATCATAGTAAATTATACATTTATGTTGCAAAATAGAACCTATAATGTTTTCGAGTGACGACCATGTGTTGAAAGACTCCCACCAGGAGGACTAACAATCTGGTGAAAGTCGTGGGAAGAACCTGGACGCGGGCATTGCACAACCGGTTGTTGTGGAAATCCTCGATGGAGGCCTTTGTTCAGCAGTGGACGTCATTTAGCTGAAAGGAACTATGATCACCGGCCGCTTCACATTTCAGCCGACTCCGACACAGGAAATGTATGAGCCTGAGTATCTCCACGAGTGCACAAGGGCTGCAGTGCGGGAGGAATAGCGACGGATTGTAAGGCTTGCCACCGGACCGGGTGTGAGTACGGTGTGATGACCACGACCACTCTGGCAAGAGTGTAGCGACAAAGAAGTGAGCTTAGTACCTCCTCGACCTCTGCGTCGGGCGCCCTCTGCTGGCGGCGGCGCCAGTCGTCGTACATGTCGCGCATGTCCACCAGCTTGTTGTCCAGCTTCTCCATCGACCACACCTGCCCGCCGCGCCCCGGCCGCTTGACCATTATACAGGGTGTTAGGTAAATGGGTATATGAGCCGACACTAATCCATGTTAACATGGGCATATAAATGGTATGGTGAAGTCAGAAATTTGATATCATCGTTTTATTTTTTAAATTTTCATACAAAATAAATTTTATAAAATCAGATTTGTATTAAAATTAAAATAATTAAAATGAGGATATTTATTTTCTGACTTCACCATACCATTTATATGCCCATGTTAACATGGGCTACTGTCGGCTCATATACCCATTTACCTAACACCCTGTATAGTCTGGTCTGCGAGCACGTAGAATTTTGTCCAATGACCCCAAGCTACCCATCCTTATCGCTCGCGCGTAATTATGTTGCTGTCGCGCTCGCACACTCACTGCGGACGCCCGTCGCTCAGTCGCGACAGCAATATAATTACGCGCGAAAGATAAGTATGGGTAGCTTGGGGTCATTGGACAGAATTCTACGTGCTCACAGACCGGGCTTTAGCTGGATCTGACACAAGCGCCCTCTGGAAGTGTTAAAGCGTACCTCTTCGACCTCAGCGTCGGGCGCCCTCTGCTGGCGGCGGCGCCAGTCGTCGTACATGTCGCGCATGTCCACCAGCTTGTTGTCCAGCTTCTCCATCGACCACACCTGCCCGCCGCGCCCCGGCCGCTTGACCATTATACAGGGTGTTAGGTAAATGGGTATATGAGCCGACACTAATCCATGTTAACATGGGCATATAAATGGTATGGTGAAGTCAGAAATTTGATATCATCGTTTTATTTTTTAAATTTTCATACAAAATAAATTTTATAAAATCAGATTTGTATTAAAATTAAAATAATTAAAATGAGGATATTTATTTTCTGACTTCACCATACCATTTATATGCCCATGTTAACATGGGCTACTGTCGGCTCATATACCCATTTACCTAACACCCTGTATAGTCTGGTCTGCGAGCACGTAGAATTTTGTCCAATGACCCCAAGCTACCCATCCTTATCGCTCGCGCGTAATTATGTTGCTGTCGCGCTCGCACACTCACTGCGGACGCCCGTCGCTCAGTCGCGACAGCAATATAATTACGCGCGAAAGATAAGTATGGGTAGCTTGGGGTCATTGGACAGAATTCTACGTGCTCACAGACCGGGCTTTAGCTGGATCTGACACAAGCGCCCTCTGGAAGTGTTAAAGCGTACCTCTTCGACCTCAGCGTCGGGCGCCCTCTGCTGGCGGCGGCGCCAGTCGTCGTACATGTCGCGCATGTCCACCAGCTTGTTGTCCAGCTTCTCCATCGACCACACCTGCCCGCCTCGCCCCGGCCGCTTGACCATTATATAGTCTGGTCTGCGAGCACGTAGAATTTTGTCCAATGACTTCCTTATCGCTCGCGCATAATTATGTTGCTGTCGCGCTCGCACACTCACTGAGGACGCCCGTCGCTCAGTCGCGACAGCAATATAATTACGCGCGAGAGATAAGGATGGGTAGCTTGGGGTCATTGGACTGAATTCTACGTGCTCACAGACCGGGCTTTAGCTGGATCTGACACAGGCGCCCTCTGGAAGTGTTAAAGCGTACCTCCTCGACCTCTGCGTCGGGCGCCCTCTGCTGGCGGCGGCGCCAGTCGTCGTACATGTCGCGCATGTCCACCAGTTTGTTGTCAAGCTTCTCCATCGACCACACCTGCCCGCCTCGACCCGGCCGCTTGACCATTACCAGAGTAAATACAAATGAGTAGGTTATCTTCATAGAAACGCACCGAGCGCGGTTTCTATATGAGCGCGCGCCAATACAGCGCCAATGAGGGCTATCGTTTTTATACTTAACAGTTGGCACCCCTGGCGATTGACAGGACCTTACTCTACAGTGGCGCCATCTTGATGAGTGAAAATGCGATAGTCCTCCTACCACTTTAGCGCTCACCAGTTGGTGCCACGGTCTTCGCTACTAGCAAGTGACAGGACCTTACTCTACAGTGGCGCAAACTGGTGAGCGCTAAAACGATAGCCCTCATTAGCGCACCTCACCGCTAATCCACGCTAAATTTTGTCAGTGTGTGCGTGCGCGCGCTTACATACAAACCGCACTCGGGCGTTTCTATGAAGATGACCTACTCATTTGTATTTAGTCTGCCATTACAGCCGGGTCTGACACAAGCGCCCTCTGGAAGTGTTAAAGCGTACCTCCTCGACCTCAGCGTCGGGCGCCCTCTGCTGGCGGCGGCGCCAGTCGTCGTACATGTCGCGCATGTTTGTTGTTTGTTTGCGCACTAGTTTATTGTCAAGCTTCTCCATCGACCACACCTGCCCGCCTCGACCTGGCCGCTTGACCATTACATAGTCTGGTCTGCGAGCACGTAGAATTTTGTCCAATGACCCCTAGCTACCCATCCTTATCGCTCGCGCGTAATTATGTTGCCGTCGCGCTCGCACACTCACTGCGGACGCCCGTCGCTCAGTCGCGACAGCAATATAATTACGCGCGAGAGATAAGGATGGGTAGCTTGGGGTCATTGGACAAAATTCTACGTGCTCACAGACGGGGCTTTAGCTGGGTCTGACACAAGCGCCCTCTGGAAATGTATGAGCGTACCTCCTCGACCTCTGCGTCGGGCGCCCTCTGCTGGCGGCGGCGCCAGTCGTCGTACATGTCGCGCATGTCCACCAGCTTGTTGTCCAGCTTCTCCATCGACCACACCTGCCCGCCGCGCCCCGGCCGCTTGACCATTATGGCTGGCTCTGACACGAAGGCACCTCGCTGTAAAAAAAGAAATGTATTTTATTTGTGAGGTGAGGTGAGTTAACTTGCATTTTACGTGTTTTATATTTTTTTGTGAGGTAAAATAAGGAAAGTTGACATCGGCAGGGTTATTACGAAACTTTACAACCAGTTGCTGAATGTACAATTGCAACGCGACTGCGAAAATTTTATGAAAACTAGCGCCACCTATAAAATCTCGAAGCTTTTGTTAGTTGGCGTAGCATGCAGACTATCAATTCGAGACTTTTTTAGTCCTCTTATTGCGGACTAAAGGAATTTGGTCGTAGTTACCGTAGCCGAAAGCGGCTTGGGAGTATATATTAAGGAGAACAAGACGGCTTTAAAACACTAACCTTCCTATTTGGGCTTAGATTCTGTGGCGTGATCTGGAGTGACGCTGAGCCTGATATTCCTCCTTATCTCCTCGGATTGGACGTGGCTTTAATATATGAATGTATGTAGTGCATTAGCGAAAAAATGACCGAAACACAGAACACACTAACCTTCCTATTAGGGCTCAGATTCTGCGGCGGGATCTGCAGGGTCACGCTGAACCTGGTATTCCTTCGCATTTCTTCAGCCAAGAAGTTGGCTTCTTGCACAAGCGCGTTGGCTCGCAATATGTCTGCCTTGAGGCGGCCCAGCGATCGCTTGAAGGTGTCGTCACGTTCCGCTGCCCAGCGTTCCACGCGAGCCGCGGTTGTGGGGGTACAGGCTGTCATTTTACCTACAGGACAAGTCAATTAATTTTAGTCTTAATATTTGTGTACAATAAAAGACAATCGTTACTGACTGAATAATGTATCAGTAGACAGCTCAAACCTGAACGGTTTGCATTGAAAGACACGCAGATTGTTATATGACTAAGAAAGGATTTCCCAAAATGCACCCCTTCAGGGATTTAAATGGGGGTCCAAAATAGGTACGTGAAAGTCACGAGAGCAATGCCGCAGGAAAAGCTAGTAATTTTAAAGTAGTACTTACTATTAGTTTGGTAATGGTATTTAGTAAAATTACTTACCTAATTTCAATGGATCGTACGAGTACGGTGGATATGGTGTTGACGGTGATAGAATGTTTCTCAGTTGCTGAAACTGCCTTTCATATTCTTGTCGTTGTTTCTCCAATGCAACTGAAAAAGAGAAAAAATATTTTAAATAATGCTACGATACACGATTGATTCAGTTTTTAAATATGGCCGGCAATAATCTATCGAATTTACAGCCAACTAATTAATCAGCGAAAATACGCTGGTCTACGCTATCTTTGTATTTTGTACACTAGTGATTCTTTACCCTAATTAAATTCTACATAATTATTATGTGACAAAATGTAGCAATCACATCACACTAGTTTTTGTTTTAAACTTTCATGGTCACTAACATAATTATTATTACTGACGGGATTGCTACGTACCTTAATTCAGTTACTCCATGACCATGGCGCTTGCAACAGTGTCGAAATATCGGAAACTCAAAATTAAGGCACATGGTAGCAATCCCGCAAGTAATAATAATTACACTAGTTTTTTTGATGCGTCTCGGTTTTATGCCATTATTTTTTTATTTATTTTAAATGACACTTAAAAGGGTATCTTTGTATCTAGTTCGTACCTTGTTTGTCCTCCTCGTGTTGTTTCTCCAGCCGCGAGATGGCGGTCTGTATGGGGTCGTTGCTGAGCTCATTGAGCATGATCTCGTCGCGCGCGAAGTTATAGTCGATCGGCTGCGCGGGAGTCTGCGGCTCTGATGCTGCGGTCGCTGGGGGACAGAGATAGAGGTTATGATATCATGTTGCTTATTAAAATAAAATAAGGTAAAGTATACTTGTATAAACCTTCCATGAAACTTGTTTATGTTTGTTGCTAATAGATGTCACTGTATTTTGAGGGACGAAAAGCTGTACCGCGGTGTCCAGATTTTTTCAAAAGGACTCAAGAACTGGAGAAAACTACGTTTGGGTAAGTCTCTACTTTCTCTGAACCTTTGACAACATTGTGAACCATTGACAACCTGTGTCAAGCAATAAATTGTCACCTACATATTGACGTCTTATTTATACCTAGATAAGAGTCCCTTAAGTGCGCCGAGAGTATCCGTGGTTTATTCAATACTCACAAGATTAAGTGGATACTTAAGCTTGAGAGCTTACTACTTTAAACTTAACCTTGTTTTCTTTTTTTTTAATATTTGCATTAGGAACAGAGTAACTCATTTTTAAATTCCTTTAAAATTGTAATCAGCTGACTTCACATGCAATTGAGGCTCCGAACATCAACACTATTAGATAAGTTTTGTATTGAAGAAAGTTTTGGCCAATGGATTTCATCGTGGTAATTAGGAGGATGGCAGTGGATTAAGCTCCTAATTTACTCTGTAAGAGTTTAAGATCTTTTAAAACGTCTTTTTGGAATACTCCAGTCACGAGGCACCCTTAAAATTCAACTTACTGGTGGTCTTGGGGCAGTTGACACGGAAGAAGTGGTGGTTCCCCCACAGAATCCTGTCAGCGTGTCCGAGCAGGACTCTTGAGATCACGGGCGCTCCGTTGACGAAGCAGCGCGCGCCATTCAGCGGCTCCATGTGTAGGGCGCCGCCCTCCACCACCAGCGACAGTATAATTCAACTTACTGGTAGTCTTTGGGTAGTTGACGCGGAAGAAATGGTGGTTCCCCCACAAAATCCTATCAGCGTGGCCGAGCAAGACTCTTGAAATCACGGGCAGTTAACGAAGCAGCGCGCGCCATTCAACGGCTCCATGTGTAGGGCGACGCCCTCCACCACCAGCGACAGTATAATTCAACTTACTGGTAGTCTTGGGGCAGTTGACACGGAAGAAGTGGTGGTTCCCCCACAGGATCCTGTCAGCGTGGCCGAGCAGGACTCGTGAGATCACTGGTGCTCCGTTGACGAAGCAGCGCGCGCCATTCAGCGGCTCCATGTGTAGGGCGCCGCCCTCCACCACGAGCGACCGTATAATTCCAACTTACTGGTAGTCTTGGGGCAGTTGACGCGGAAGAAGTGGTGGTTCCCCCACAGAATCCTGTCAGCGTGGCCGAGTAGGACTCGTGAGATCACGGGCGCTCCGTTGACGAAACAGCGCGCGCCATTCAGCGGCTGCATGTGTAGGGCGCCGCCCTCACCTACCAGCTGACAGTATAACTCAACTTACTAGTGGTCTTAGGGCAGTTGACGCGGAAGAAGTGGTGGTTCCCCCACAGGATCCTGTCAGCGTGGCCAAGAATAACCCTTGATATCACTGGTGCTCCGTTGACGAAGCAACGCGCGTCATTGAGTGGCTCCATGTGTAGGGCGCCGCCCTCTACCACCAGCTATATTGTAACTCAACTTACTGGTAGTCTTGGGGCAGTTGACGCGGAAGAAGTGGTGGTTCCCCCACAGAATCCTGTCAGCGTGGCCGAGTAGGACTCGTGAGATCACGGGCGCTCCGTTGACGAAACAGCGCGCGCCATTCAGCGGCTCCATGTGTAGGGCGCCGCCCTCACCTACCAGCTGACAGTATAACTCAACTTACTAGTGTTCTTAGGGCAGTTGACGCGGAAGAAGTGGTGGTTCCCCCACAGGATCCTGTCAGCGTGGCCAAGAATAACCCTTGATATCACTGGTGCTCCGTTGACGAAGCAACGCGCGTCATTGAGTGGCTCCATGTGTAGGGCGCCGCCCTCTACCACCAGCTATATTGTAACTCAACTTACTGGTAGTCTTGGGGCAGTTGACGCGGAAGAAGTGGTGGTTCCCCCACAGAATCCTGTCAGCGTGGCCGAGCAGGACTCTTGAGATCACGGGCGCTCCGTTGACGAAACAGCGCGCGCCATTCAGAGGCTCCATGTGTAGGGCGCCGCCCTCCACCACCAATTGGCAGTGCTGTGGCTGGATGCCTAAGCCTGATAGCTGGATGTCGGCTGAACTGTCCGCGCCGACTAGGGTTCGATCCTGGAATGGAAGACCACGATTTAAAAAAGATATAATAAAGGACAATTCAAACATAAATGCCTTTATTTCTAAGGAATAATATGAACTAGAAAATACTCTGGTATACTATGAAGCTCGAATTCTTCTACCAGATATTGCTATACTTTTCTTTAATTTATAATGGGTTCATTTTTGATTACAAACTCACTCAAAGATGCTGATGGAGCGAACTTGCCCAGAAATGTTGTTATTTAGGTAACTAAGTAAAAAATACGTAACAAATACTGTTGTTTTATTAAGTTGTTCTACAAGAGAATTCATCATACAACTTTACCTTTAGATAGTATACGAGTAGTTCGTTGAGCGATGGATCTGCGTTGAGGTTGACGAGATAGTATTTGTTCTTCTCAACTTTGATGCCGCTCGCTTGGACGCTTATGCCCATCTTCTCTAGGGCTTGCTGTCTTTCGCTTTGTATCCGACCTATAAAAAAATATCAATATAATTATTTTTTATTCAGTGAACAGAGAACGCCAAGCTATCGGGCCAGCGTCGGGATTGTAGTGTAGGCCAAATTCTATATTTGCCTCTGGTAAATTATTTTATTTTATTAGGGACAACAAAAAATTGTACAAACGGTTTTACAAAAAGTCTTACAGATATATCTTAAATAAATTAAAGACAGTCGATCTCCTGCGGTGAAGAGTAATTAACCTGATGATAATTATGACGGTGAAGAGAGAGGTAACAGAAATCCAGGCAAAATTATTAGTGCACGTTGCCTGCCATAAGAGCGAATAATTTCAGTAAAAAGTAGTAATGTATGGGAAAGTTCCGTACCAGTTTCAACGAGTTTCTCTTCCCAGGTCCTGGACATCTCCTTCATCAGATGTTCACTTTGAGCCAACTGTTCGTGGACGTCTTCACCCACGGGGGAACCCTGTAACCAAAAACATATTGATATTCATTCTTTCAGCAACCATCATACAAAAAGTATCGTCTCGACGAGTCCAAAAACGTTTAAAATGTTATTTGGTTTTGTGAACAGCTTTGCAGTAGTTAGATTTAATCGAAATGCGATAAAAATAGTTAATATGTTACAAATTGAATTGATAACAATAATTAATTCAAGTAGTGGAAAAACAAAACAAAAGAGGAACGAAATTGGTCGATGAAAAATAATAATGAAATTTCGTGGTGGCCAGTGTCACGCGGTCAAGGAGTTCGACCTATGCTGCTAACTGCTAACACAAAAGTTGTTGCAGTACGAGTAGCTTGATTGGCAACTGTTTTATTTTTTTTCTCCACCTTTTTGGGATGGGTTATTATTACATCTGTTATGCGGGCCTCAGCCAAGCTTAACAGCGTTGAATGACAATATTATTATTATATTTAAAAACAAATGGCCAAACTGCTTAGCAGTATCTCTGCAATTTAGTCTTGTTTTATACATACCGTGGCATACTTGAGCATCTCCTTCAGAGCTTCGACTTCTTGCCGCAGCTCCCTGATGATCCTCGCGTTGGGGTCCTCGTTGACGACAGCGTGGTTAACGATTCGCTTCGCCCGGTCAGCGTAGCGAAGCGTCGATAGCGTCTCCTCGTAGTTGTCCGCCGCTGGCGATATGGTCGCCACCTGGGTACGGGGGCATTGGTAATGGTATAAGCTTGGTAGTATCATAACTAGTGTAATCAGTCATAAGTAAACAAGAACCGGAGCATAAAGGTGCTATGGTAAACTTGGTAATTCGAAAGATAAGCAAGCAACTTTTCTCCTCGAAAAATAAAGGTTCAATTATCCAGTAGCTCCAGCCTTTCTAGACTATTGTAAGTAATATTCGTGACTGATCAAATTCCGTAATCACATTGCTAAGTCTTTTTAGGGCTGATTTGACCATCGTCGGATAACTTTTATCTGAAGAATAAACTTGTCATTTTGACATATTTCCCATACCTACTGAAACTGTCAATGTGCCAAGCTTATTCTTCAGATAAAAGTTATCCGACGATGGTAAAATCAGCCTTTAGACTGTTTTTATTTTGTAAAGCGATCGAGAAATACATTTATAATCTTCTACCAATATGACTTTGTCTAGATAACAAATGTATGTGGACGTTTCTTGGCGTACAGGAACCTAAGTTATGTTTCTTTTTATTGACCGTAAGTAAGAAAGGTTAGTACTTCATTATAGAGAACAGTACAATAATCACGTACCATAACAGTCTTACTGTTCCCCCCAAGGTTGTCTTTAAGCAGCCACGTGAGCACAGAGTCTCTGTAGGGCACGAACTTGTCCTTGTTGGGCTTGCCCGACGACTGGTCCGCCAGCTTGGAGATTACCAGGCCGAGGGTCGTGAGGGACCTGGGGAACAAAGTTATTATAAAAAACTACCCTCCTTCTGGCACAGTCGGTTAAAATGGAGGCAATTATCTAACAAGAAAATGGGCAGAACCTGTATTGGACCAAAATAGACAAATACTTTATACCTAATAGATAATAATAAATCAGTAAGGGTTTCAGAGTCACGCGGATCGCCCGCGCCTGCTATCCGCGCGTCTCGTAATAAGCCCGCGGAGATATTGTAAATAAGGTGTTTGAGTGTATCTTACTTTTCAATAGAATTGAAACTTACCCAATCTTTCACAAGCACACCACCTTATTCATTAAACAAACAAGACTTTCTTTGTGTGAAAACCGACAGAATATAGTATAGAAAATCGATGGCTTGCGTGCCTACCTACCCTCATAGACTTACCTGCACTCTAGCTTGAACACCTTATTTATGAATATTGCACGGACACAGCGAGTTTACAGCTTATATGAAGGATTTATGTGACATTTTGAACCAGAAGTAAGCCAAGAGCGTGCTGCCGTTTAAGTTGGCGTCGTGATTTGTCAGCAATAGTCACGCTATGGTTTAGAAACTAATTAGTAGAGCCAGCCCGACTACCGGCTTGCCGCAAGGCGGTGCAAAAGTCGACTGAAATATTTTTCGAATTTACTTGTTCCACACACGCCTACGATGTGGTTAAATAATGGTATAAGTATCAATAACAGAGCTCGAATACGAGCGGGAGGGAGAAGCAAACAGAATGTCGATTTTTTAATTTCCGTTGTACAAAGGCAGCCGTTGTATTGTAATTTGCATGTGTAGAGGCTTAGTATAATTAATTTATAATGTATACTGGGATTCGGGTTGGTAACTTTAGTTAAAATGTGTGAATACAACAATGGACTAAACTGAAATGGTTAAATTCTTTGTACCTTACTGTACTTGGTACATTTCTGGTTGATTTTAGTACACAGTACGGCATTGTATAATAGTACATAGTATCAAGGTAGTGTCACTCTTCTAGCACCTATCTAGGCCACTTATTTTGAGTCATGGTCCAGCTTGGCCATACTATCGCTGCTCACAGCGTCTGCGTGAGGACTTACTTGTTGATATTGGAACCCTCCTTCAGCCGGTCGCCCACCGCGCCGGTCTTGACAGCTTACTCTGATCCAGCTAAGTCCACCAGCGACAGCCTGGCGACTTTCTCGCCAGTGACACCATTCACAGCGTCTGGGTGAGCACTTACTTGTTGATATTGGAGCCTTCCTTTAGCTGGTCGCCCACCACGCCCGTCTTGACGGCTCGCTCGGACCCAGCTAAGTCAACCAGCGACAGCCTGGCTACTTTCTCTCCAGGAATTTCGGTCGAGCGTCTGCGTAAGAACTTACTTGTTGATATTGGATCCTTCCTTCAGCCGGTCACCCACTGCGCCAGTCTTGACGGCTCGCTCGGAGCCAGCTAAGTCCACCAGCGACAGCCTGGCGACTTTTTCGCCAGTGACACCTGTCGCAGCGTCACACAGCGTCTGCGTAAGGACCACGCTGAACACCGCGTGTGACCGGGATGACTCGCTGTTCATGTTTGTGGCAGCCACTGTCCGGGATTTGTTGCCTTCAGTCATTAGGTTGTCGATGTCCTGTTGACAATAATAATAGACAATTTAGACAAGTTACTTTATGGATAATAAGACTGCATAAAAGAGTCGGGCGGCATCATATCATGTCAAGAGGAACACGTTGCGAATAGAAATAAAATGTCTGTATTTTAATCGTAAAAGAAAGCTCGTGACTATTCCCACCTCTCGTTCCCACCGCTGCATCTCCTGTGTAGCCAGGATCTACAGCTTGACCGCCTCTAAAAACCCAACCAGTGAAGGTCAAGTTTGTCCCGGGAGAAAGTTAAACTGTCATTGGACCCGCAACGAAATTAATCAGAAGAACGCGAAAGCTCGTAAGATATGAAAGAATGTTAATTCAACCCCCATTAATGAATGAATAGATTATAGATACTTTATTGCACTCCACACAAAATCCAATCCAGTACAGTTATATTAAATTGTAAAAAACATCAAAGGTTATCTAAATGACAGATAGAAGGCAAACTCAAACTTTCACAAAGGACGTTAATGAGTTTGCAGCTGTGTACAAAACATCCAAGAAAGCGCTAGCCTCCCTAGACATACTTCTAAAATGAACTAATATTTACATTTTCCTCGAAACGCTACTTCAGCAACTCTACCTTTAGGTGAGGGATTATAAATACCAAGAAACTTCATAGAGCAACATTACGATAGCTTAATTTTAAGGGCTTAGACTTAGAGTAAACAGTGGATCTACTACGAAACGTGATTCCCGCATACTTCCGGGACGTAGACATAACCTGTCGCATTCGCTCAAGAAGGGCAGAAAGAGACGCATAGATCCGAACTAAAGAACACAGTGTTTAGAGTAGTCCCCTAGAACTTCATCCAATATTGTGACGACGCACAGTAGTTTGATTTTAAAAATAGGTGGACATAGGATCGAAAGTCATAATTTCATCGAAACAAAAATTGTTTTGGATAGTATTTTGAATGCTGATCAACATTTGTTATTATGCATTTTTCGTAAAAACGAGCCTTTCATGCTTAAAAAAAATATGACAAAAAAATTTGTATGGAGAAAAATCGTTTTTATTTTTTTTCTGGCCACTGTTGCAAACTGTAGCGGTCAAACCTTATGTAGTCGTAAGTACCTATGGTGTCTAATATTACTACATAAAAATTTTATGCGGGCACGCGCGGCGAAGCGAGTAATGGACATGCAAAATTTTAAATATTTTTATTTATGGATTATTGATTTTAATGCACTTAAAGTAATTATTAATAGGAAAATAGACTTAGTCTAACTTAGTACAGCCCCCTATTACCTCACTTCACACTA